ACGGCCTATTATGACCCAAGTTAATGTACAAAACATGAACGCTTTAACATTTTTTCGTAATGATTACAAGAACTTTTCAAATATTTAGCTTTATTTAACAAAGACATATTTGTTTCTTATAAAACTTTTAAGTTCCATATAAAAAAATATTAATCGTAATTACAAATTCGTATTTAAAACTGACGATAAGAGTTGTGTTGTCTTAAACATGATGTAGTTAGCCGTAAGCTTTTAATGTGCAATAATATTTTATTAAAACAAACAATAAAAAAACCAATTTCGTCGCAAGATAAACATCTTTAGATCCATCACACTATATCTATATAGTAAAGATTAACACCTTAATTATACCTAACGGGCATAAAACACTTACATATCTTCATTTAAGATTGCATAAGATAAAGCGAAACAAAAAACAATGAACTTACATTTCCATAGCATAGCCACGACACGCAAATATATCGTAATTTTTGAACTTGGAAATAGATGTATGTAATTTAGTCGATAAAGATAAAGGAGAAATACGATGTTGGTCAAAGCACGAAATACAATACTATTATTAAATTAGAACAAAGCGTAATATTAATTAAGGCTGGACCTCGCGTGCTAACAGCCGTCTCAGCTGCGCATTTGTTAAACAAAATTATTACTTTAATATGTCAAAAAATTTAAACTTATCATTATATTTGACGCCTTAATGGGAATTTATTATATCGAATTATTTACGTATTGCGTGTGTCAAATCGTTAAAAGTTAAGTTTAACAACAAACTTATTAATTTTGGACTATCTACCATTAATTGAATAAAAATCAGACTTTCATGTAATGTTAAACATAATATATATATCATTATCATAAAGATATATCTCGGTCAACTTTACGATTGGACTGATCATAAAATCTTAACCTACCATAAGAGGTGCTCATTAAATATAAAACAAAATGGTATTTATGTCAAGTTACTTTTTACTTCAACAACTGGATTTTAGTTAGTAATTTTAATAAAGGTTGTAAGTACGTCTTAACCATATCTTTATGATAAATTTGTTTAATTAATTACTTGAGCACCTGTAAGTGGTTTTAAGATATCGTAAGCCTAAATTTAACGGACTCGTTTTCTTTAATTACTTTAAAAAGTCAATAATTAATTAGTGTTCGTTAATGTGAATCATAATTTCATTATTTTATAGCCTCGCTTATACGAAGTATTAATAAATTTCTTTTCATTTGAATTCTTACTAACGTTTTAATAAAATTACTTTAAATCTATAAGCGTATAAAAATGTGAATCTATTAACATTTTTCAATATATTAGAAACGCTGAAATGGTGTTTCCTAAGCGACTTAAAAATGCAATTCTCAAAGTCAAAGAATATTCGTAGTGAGCTAACTTTGAAAGCAGTTCCATTGTAGCAGTTTACAAGCTTACTGAGCTTGAATATTCATTATATCTTAGAGAGGGGAATGAATAACCGATAAATGTATGAAAGTCGTTGTTAACTTTGAACTGCTACAAATTATTTTCATTATTTTCAATATTTTCGATAATTACTTTTCCATGCTAAAAAATATTATTTATATTACAATTACATATGTATTTGGAGAATTTTGTATTTATTTAAGAATTCAGAAAACAAAAGTCTTGTATTAGATTGTATTTTAATATTTAAGTCGTAAAGCGGTAGCTGTATTTTTATGTGATTTAAATTCGTCTAAATTCAATAATAAACCTTAAGTTACACACAAATAGAAATATTTAAATTAAATTTGTATATATACTTTTATATTTAGTTGAAGTTAAATGTAAATTACTTTTAATTTAAAGAATTATGTCAAGCTAATTTTTTATCCAATTACATTCGCTAGTGAATCTATCTTTCCATACGCAGCGTACACAATATTGACTTAACAGGTGATGGAGTCAATCAGACTTGATTAGTGTTTTACGTGCGGACAGCGTAGTGAGGGAAATTATTGATTTGTGCCTAATTTCCGGTTGATCGGCTTCGATCGGCCTGCGGGCGGCAGGCGTGGACGTGGTCAGGGCAACCCCAAACAGTTATTATAGCAGACGTCTCGACGCCATATCGATAACCAATGCCAATCAATATACCAATCATATCGCGTGCCCAGTGACTCAAAAGATTTTTTTTCTTTTCTTTCATTTTTTTCAATCAAACCCATATGAAAAGCGTACGGTGCCTTTGTTTTCGATCGTATATATTTTTATTACATTCCTGTGACAGTATATGGTACGTGTATTTATCTGATCAATCGAGTTCCTCTTTGAAATTACTTTCACGAGTTAATGGATGTTCTCACAATTCTTGATACCCTTTGAATGCCAAGGGCATCTGAGACGATAGTAATATAAAGAAAATTTAAAATATTAAGATTGGATAGCGAAATTATTAAACTGGATTTTTGCTGAATAAAAATAAATAACAAAAATACTAAGAAATAGAAACATTAATATGCACGCTCCGGGTATCTATTGGAGGAAACAAAATTATCTCATTATTTATTCGGAAGGCGTAACCCTTGTTCCAACTGGGTTAACAAATTATGTAAAGGCCGAATGTCAAAAATTGCCAAGGGTCTATGGGGTGAAATATGGAGTGAGAGTAAATAAATATCGCCGGTCAAGTGTTAGTGATATGAGGGATACTTTGATATATATAGTCGTGATGGGACCTTTAATGTTCACTTCAACATATGTTGGATGTCAACTATTAAACTGCTTTTAATATTATAAACTGCGACTCCTTGTGAAGGGAGAAGGGACAACTCCTGTAATGCGAGCTCTACCTACACGTGAGCCGGGATTTAAATTTCATACAAGGTATTATTTACATTTAGGACATTTGTTATAATTATGAAAATACAAGGAGGCACGAACAAAACAACTTTAACTTTCATCCTGAGGACTGTTTGAAAAAATGTAAAGTTTGTTTATTGTTTCTTGATATGCAAGATGCCAAATATAGTTAAATATACTTAGGTATTATAAAAATACATTATACAATTATAAATATATAACTACGAAGGTATTTTCTCTGAATAATCATAGGTAGGTACCACATGTTATTTCGGAATAAGAACTTTAAATAAAAAACTTGGATGAAATCATCGAAGCATTTTTTTTTGAGACTTCTGAGCTTAGAACAAGAACTGTTTAAATTACATATATTATGGTGAGTTCTGCGGAACTTCTTAAGATTTGATATAAAATAAAATAAGGTATCTGTTATAAATAAAACTATCCACTTGCAAGAACAATATTCTTAGTTTAATATTTAAAACAAGCTTGAACATCTAAAATACTCTTACTTTTCAATTAACTCAAAAAATGAGTGGATTAAAAAATGGATGGATTTAGATACTTTTTTATCAAATCGAGTAACCGGTTTTTCTTCGTCTTTAAAAAAAGGTATCTAAAACTATGCTTTAAGATAATCTTAGTCAGATAATATTCTATGAGACTATAATAATTATTCAAAAAATCTTGTTTATCTGTTAAAAAGTGTTAACTCTTTCATTCCAAAGCTAAGTCTCATAAATCTTAGTACAATGTAGCGACAATAACGGGCTTCCGTTGAACTCTTAATTACCAAACCCTAGGAACTCGCAGACAAAAGCATTATTGGAATTAAATACACCCAAAAATGGCTTTCATTTTGTTGCCTTTGATTTATAAGATCAGAACGAAATTATTACGAAACCGAGGGAAATAACAATAGGCTGATAAGGTTTGAACAATTTTTTATTATAATTAGAAAATGCGTGATCATAAATTGACTGCAACTTATTTTTTGTTACCATTTAAAACATGTTTTTTTGTACAATCAACATATTTTCTTATTCAATGAAGAAATTAATCTCTTCCTTTAAGCATATCGAACAGGTTTTAAAAGATTAAGTAAGTTACAATGGAATTTCCTTATGGTATTGTAATTTCTCCTACAGCTAATTTGTTCCTTATAGCCGTTACTTAGTAGAAAATCTTAAACAAAGGAGTTGTGGCTTAATATGTACGTACAGTTTCACAGTCGACATTTACAGTGTATGACATATGAGTTGAGGATTTATTTTAATAACGAAATAAAGTTCGTTTATTGTCGTCAAGTATTTAGAGAAAATAATGTTCTATAATCTATAGTATTTTATACATTTAGTTGTGTTTGAAGGCACAACAATCCCTCCAAGCACGCCGGTCATCTAGACAGCTCGTCTGGCAAGCTACATGGTATGTTGCAGAAATTGCGCAGATATTTGCTGGCTGTCACAGTACGATACATGGTACATTGCTCATTCAGTTTGAAACGATCGCGGTGGATTGATAGAAATGCTTGAAATGTTGAATAGAAACAAGAACATTTACTTCATTTAGATAAACTTGTACGTTATTTCCTGATGATTTCTAAATTTTATGTTTATACATTTTTTTGTTGAAACTACTTTTTACTAAGTAATATGTATTATTCAGATTTTAAGCAAAATTAATGACTAATTCTTATATAATTTTAATTATTCATTTATAAAAATACGTCCAATATAATTTAAAGGAGTGCATCGTATCTGAAACGTAATCTATCAATATTGAAGGTCAATATCTAGAAGGCAAGGCTATGAGATTATTGATAGCGATAAATAATACAATGGCAAACCACGTTTAACTTATTATCTTCAAGATTACTTCCCGCATATTAATATAATTTATAATAAAGATCACGAAATTAAATCTAAACGAACATAATTAATTAATGTTTTGATTACAAAAAACATTAGGTAATTAGAAAACGTCATCACGTTGAACGAGTATCGTATATAGAGGCATATTTTATATACAATGAAACACTTAGTAACGCATCGCCTATTTAAGGATAAAATTTTAAAGGCGAGTTTAGACAAATAATCGGGAATTCAGGGTGAACAGCTTTAAGCAAAAGGCGATGAGCCTAAAAATGGTTTCATTATTCAGCATTTAGTTGAATTATTACCTCGTCCTGCCTCAGCGTCATCGGCGGGGACACTTCCCTCACATCCACGTTGACACTCGAATCACTCACAGCACTCGCATTCACACTCCCTGAGTTCCTTCCCTCGATCAAGTCCCAGGGCACGTCGTCGTCGTAAACAGCTACATTCCTCAAACCTGAGCCTGAATGAAACCTCCATGGTAAGTCTGTACCGCTCTGACGCGGCCGGCGCCTTTTGTGCCTGACTCTATGCCTCGCAAATCTTTCAGCACTTGGATCCTCATCGCTCATCATCGCGTCGAATAATGTGTCCAAATTAACTTTAAGTTTGTGATGTTTGATCGGTGTTTGGGTGGTCGACCTGACTTCCTTGCTCATACCTTCGCCGTCCCACAGTTGTATCCTCAGTATGTTATCGTGTGAGGACGGCTGTATGTGGGCGCGCGCGATTGAGATCGCGATCACAGCGAGAGTTATACGGAGCGCGCGTACGTCCATCCTGGTCGGAAGGCGAGGGCCTACTGAGCCAGCCGGCGCCGAGTACCGCCTGAACGGCTGATAGTCGCTTTTCCCGCGCTTTCCCGATAACATTCTAAGAGCTACGAGCGGTCGCATTCAACATCGACGGTGAGATAACGCGTGCTTATCGCGACATGATTTTATAAAGATTATAATTACAATCTCACGTGATAACTAACAAAATATTAATAATAACACAGATAACATATATATACACATTTATTTTATACTACATATTTTGAACTAATACAATTTTGTACTAATTACAACAATCTCGAAACTCTACCCAGTTTAAATTCACAACTGAAGGAACCCGTAACCTAAGTAAACACAACATATTTTTTCTTAATCTTAAGTAAATCGCTATTAGAAATTAAGTAATCTTAAAAAATAACACCTTTGTCATTCATGGCAAGCTCTATGTAAACATTTCAAAGTGTAACAACAATTTGAATACAAATAAAATTTTAGATTATTACGTGACTATTCTATACAATTTGTTTCGTAACAATCGAAGTTTTACAAACCATTAAAATTAAACTACACGGATGTATGTAATATATTTATTGTTATGATTATATTATCATTAACGATATATGCAAATAAATAGAATTAAAGAAATTTACTTTTAAATTTTGTAAACAGCCAGTTTAATTTTTTTTTTTATGTTCCTATAGTTGTTAACCAAGGAGTCTAATAAAAAAAGTTCTTATATATTTTATTAAATATATTTCATAACAGGTCCACAGCTATACAGCCGAGTTAATTATCAGTACAATACAATCGATCACCTCTATCACACGGATCTGTGTTCCGTTAACTGGTCTATTAATTAAACCGATTTTACTCAGGTTTTTCTCGACGTATATTTGAACAGAGTCACGTATTATAGATAGGTATAGTAACCAATGAGGTTAGATACAAAGGCTTTAACCACCCCAATAGTAAACATTCCTAAATAAACATAGTTAAATTGCGCAATACTATGTGTTTTATAGTTAACCGTAACTGTGAGTTCTAGTTTCGTTTAGATCGTTACGTAAGTATTATCAATTGTGGGTGAACTAACTTTGAGGCTAATAGTTTTAGGCAAGTATTAAACTCATATCAAGACTAGCTGATATTTACATTTACAACCAAATTATGCTACATTATTTAAATGCAGAATGAATGGAAAAATATATATAAAATTTATAATTATATATATGATTGTAATTGTATTTTAATTTTGTTGATATTTTTATTATTTATTTGACATTTCTCCTAAACCGATTATGCAAGACATTATAGGGGAGAGTTGGTTATATCGTACTAGCATTTAAATCGTACCACTTCTAAATTTCCCATTCAATGAATATTTTTTTCTACACTGACTATACCAAATCGTGGCCCTATACCATCCCTCTTCACCCACTAGTTTAAATCGACGTGAGTTAACAACTGTGCACGTAATAAAAGAAAAACATTTTTTGTAGGAATTAATATAAATATTGTCGTACATACGTAAGGAGATAATTCGTAATCAAGGTAAGCTATAGTTATTCAGTTTTTTTTATTATTCCACAATTGTATACTAGATTATTGGGGGTTTTTGTTGCGTGTCTAAGTTTTGAGTTTATGCCGGATATTTGCTTTTGTTTTAGAAATGCCTTAGTTGGTTTAATCGTACCACTTGCAGTTGGTTAAATTGTACTGGTACGATTTCCCCGACTACCAACCGCAAGTACTTATAGTACTACCGCAAGTACGTATAGTAAGTACTACCCAAGGCCAAAAACAAAAGTTATTAGAGGAAACGATGTCATTCCATCACCAGTAGCGATGATTTAGGAGAGACGCTTGTTGTAGAACTAGATGATGATGATGACAGCGATGATTATCTTGAAAAGATATGACGAAAGTGCAATTGTTCTTACTACGATAAGAAGGATCCAAAAGTTGTTTGGATTCAATGCGTTCGCTGTAAACGGTGGCTACATGAGACATGTACTTCGAATCCAGACATTTGTCATGATTGTTTCCATTAAGAAATATGCACAATAATTATATTACAAATAACATTCTTGTTAACTATTACTTTATTATTATAGTTTACTGTTTTTTTTGTCTCATTTTTATTAGTTATGTTGATTGATCTCATTATCATAGTATAATCATGTTATTTTACTGAGAAAGCTTATAGTTCCTTTATATAACCTAGGAGTTAAATATTATGTTGCTATTACCTAAAAGATTCAAATAATGTTGTTTTATTACTTACCTAACAATAAAAAAAAATTGATTGAGAATTTTAATGTCTTTCATTCAGTGGTACGATTTAAACACCCATGGTACGATTTAAAGACTTAGTGGTACGATTAAAACGACTAGTCGGCTAAATCGTACCGATGGCAAGCCTCTATAAAAAAGCATTTTTAACAATGTTAGAGTAATCGCAAGGATCTGTTCTCTTCTTCTTAAGAAGCTAAAATATGAAACTTTATTTTACATATGTATTAATTATTATAAGACGTGTTATAGTCGAAATATTTGAGTTAAAGTGAAAAGTGGTACGATATATCCGACTCTCCCCTACTACCAAACAACAAAAGCTGGAGGATAAAATTTAACATAAAATTTTATAGTAGGTATATAGTATAGCTATGTGTTTAATAAATCGTGACTATATAATTCTAGTTCTATATGTATATCTATTATTCTATGAAATCTTTATAAGAGTACTTTAGTTACTTCAGATTATCTAAATCAAATATAAATAACATTTTTATTTTTTTTTATTAATGTTAATTTTTGTCAGTAACTTCTTAATTCGTTACTATTCAAGATAATAGCGACAAAACCGTTAATGCGTTAGACTATAGAGCAATCGATAATCAGAAATCAACAATTTATCAATATTACATCAATGGTACATGATAAGTACATCAATAGTACAATAGGTACAAGCGCAGCACGCCAAAGGTACAGAAATAGTGCAGTAATAATAGATAAAAAGTCAGACTATACATTAACAAATATTAAAATATTCTACAAAACATCAATATTGTCTTCACAATTATTAAATGTATCGACAATTCTTCTATTAGTACGCTTATTACAAGTATGCACTTACGCAATACTCGAGGAGTACCTAACCAGTTTTTCATTGATAAATCTTCCCATTATAGTACTAATGTAGACTATTGAATGAGAAACGTGAAACGCTTCGTATGTAGTGTGACGATAAAAACTTGTACTAAAAGCAAAAGAGGATAAGATGTCACAATTGAGACGTTTACTGTTATCAAAGTAAGATATTATTAGATTCAAAATCAATTAATTCGTGAAATTATTTTAATTATTGAATACTCTCGCTTCTATGTCGTTGAAATCCGTTTTGTTTTAAAAATGCAACTAAAAAACTATTTTGAAGGGTTTTCTGACACTATGTTTTAATGGAGTTTCAAAGTCGTTTTATGAATAGAATAGTTCGAATTTGATTAGTTTCATATCGGCTATTTAATTACGATAAAAGGGGACTGTTTTTCAAATAATTTTAGGAGTGTGCTAGGTAATGTGATTGGAACTTAGGTAATTCCCGTGTGATAACAAAATACGTAGTACATTTTATATCTAATACGGAATTTATTTTTTAAACAATATATATTGCTGCTTGCCGTAATATTAAAATATGACACGGTACCCATTAATATTATGTAATTGCATTGATGTTTTGATTTTGATGAAGTCATTTTGACAGAACTAATTTGACAGTACTCTGCGAGATGGTTGGACAATGCAAATATTCAACAAATAAATAAAACAGAAATTATTTTCGATCAAGCGATATCAATTTGTAATGTCTCTTTAATTACGTCCGTTGATTTTGAATCTATTTTTAGAAAGAATGTTTAAATATTATTCTACGTCAATTAACTTGACTCTATACTGTTATTGCTTCCTATCATGTTCAACAAATTAAAATAAAATCAGTGCAAAAGTCCATTAAAATACTTATATATATAATTATTAAAACTGTGGAAACTCATTTTAAATAAACGCGTCTTGGTCATCTTCGAACTTCCACCAAATCAACAGATACCATTCAGGCAGTGAGGATACTGGTGGAAAAGCATCGTGTGACAAAGAAGACCTTCATTTCACTCATCTTGAAAAAGCGTTCGACTAAGTTCCAAGAAGACGTGTGGCAAGCAATGCGAAAACAATATATCCCAGAAAACTATACAGGGTGACTGGTGAATTACTATCGATATTTGAGGACGTGATATTTGACGATCATATATGACGAAATAAAAATTAATATAACATAAATATTAATAAACTTCTAAGTAAAGTTAACCAAAAGTTATGTAATTAATTTCGCATCGTATGAACATCCTACAGATTACTCTACACTACACACTCACACATACGCGCGCGGCGGCGTGTTGTTGTATCAGCACGCCGCCGCACGCGTCCACACTAGGAACACTTGGAACGTGTCAACACTTTATTTATTTATACGGAAATTTGGTCAAAAATTAAGTACCTATTTTTTTTACATAATTCGAATGAGAATCATGTACCGAGTATGCTCCTTAAATATTGATAGTAATTCACCAGTCACCCTGTATACACCTGGTTCAAGATATGTACCGCAACGTCCACAAAAAAGTTAGAAGTGCGGCCACCCTAAGTAAGGAATTCACTGCAGAAGTAGAGTTCACCTAGACTCAGCACTCAGTCCCTTGCTGTTTAATATAATTATGGACTTTGATACGAAGAATATTCGAAAGCCCCTACCCTAGAATCTCTTACGTACTGATGATGTTGCGCTTGTATCCGAATCTACCGAAAAACTGCAAGTCTCGCTAAAGGAGTGGATCACTGTTTTGAAAAACTCTTTACTTCGAGTAAGCATATTTAAAACCCAAATCTAGAATGTAAATTCAACAACCAGTGACAACATCTACTTTCCAAATGGCACGCAAGTACCAAAGGTCAACCAAATTCGAGTCAAATTCGAGTCAAACCTGGGCTCAATAGGTACGCCAGACGCAAACGTCGATACAGACATATCCCACAGGATAAATGCTTAGCAAAAATATCACACACTCACTGGAGTTCTTTTTGACCTGCACATGCCCTTAGGCACTAAGGGGACAGTGTACAAAATAGCAGTAAAACCTGCGATACTGCATAGGGATAAATGCTGGACATTGAAAGATACACATGCTTAGAAGCTACACGTGAGCGAAATGAAGATGCTCAGGTTATCAGACGGAGTGACTCGACTAGGCAAAATTCGAAACGAATACGTTTGAGGTAGTATCAAAGTCATTCAAGTCCAGGAAAAGCTGACCGAAATACGCCTAGGATGGTACGGCCACGTTATATTGAGAGACAGAGAGTATGTGGTTCTTTGACCTGGTGGACAAATGTAGTCAATAAAGTTAAAAAGTCCCTGACCCGAAAACCTCCTGGCGCATAAAGATAATGAGAGCTGACCCCACCTAAAGTGGGAAGAGGCAAAGAAGAAGAAATATTATTATTACGTGCATTTTATAATTAACCCATATCACGACATATAAATATTTATATGTGTTAATATATTAAACACGCTCATTAACATATTATTAATCTAAATAAAAATTGTCTAACACATCTAACAAACAATAGTAATTGCTTATGAAAACTTTCGATAAATGCCCATACTTTTTTTCTTTTTGTGGTACTTAATGAAAATCTATAAAGATTTTGGTCACGTTCATATATATAATGATTTCATAACTAAATCGAACACAACGTATTAAATTAATTTCCTGAAAAGATATTAAAGTTGCTTAAATTATTAATATACGAAGTCACTCTATATAATTTTGTTAACATATACACTGACAATTTATTTTAACATTTCTATATCTGTTATTTAGAGCATTACTTTCTATGTAATAGCCTTATACAGCAAAACTTTTGTCATATCCGATTTATATACCCCAAATATAATACTATTTAAAACAACAATTTAACCATGTTAAAAAAATGTAAATAAAATATAATAGCTTATAAAAATTCCACTGAAACAAAAAATATATAACACTTTGTGATATTTACATCAAAGATTATTAAGAAATAGTGAATTAATCGAACAATATTGATATATTTCTAGAACATTCTAGACTAAATACAGAACATTTATATACTATTTGATTATAATCAATAAATTGTTCCAAAAACTACAACAAACATCTCAATATACTCCTATATTAAGTTCAACACAGCTTGATACACTTACAATGTATGTATATAAGCAATATTTATATACAATTGTACTAATATAATCACAACTAAAAAATCAATTTACAACAAATTTCACTAAGCTTAAATAACGGTGGTTTTTATTGTCTATGCTATTGTTGCACATTAAGCCTCAGTCCCATATAAAGACAGCAACATTCAAAATTGTACCTTTTTGTGTAACAATAAAGTTTAATTTTCACTAAAAAACTAACATACAAATGTCAAAGTCTAGATTAGTACCAATTTTAATACTGTATCAATTCAGGCCACACATTAAATCTTACTAGCTATTATTTTGCGACATAAGTTTGTGAGTTAAATAATTAATATTATTAAGTATAATAAATAAAAAAATAAAGTATATATCATTTATCTATACATTACTTATTTGCTGTTAATTTAATACTAACAATGTTATTAACTTTAATCTTCATAAAACAAAGCAAAATAAATTTAATGTACACATTAAAAAATGATATTATTAGCGACGGAAATTAAGTAAAAAAATGCATACAAATTGCTATCTTAGAATTAATGTTGAAATTCCTACATCGGTATTATTTAACAAGTATCCTAACTACGCGTTTATATAAAACTGCACACAGACAGTAGCGAGTTATTCATTCATTACATAGACATCATGTTCAGAGTTTTTTGGGATGACAAAGTTCTAACTCCATATTGTGAATATAAGACTTGTTACTATTGTATGTTTAACGAATTGTCCTTTATATCACTAATTGTTCCTCTTGGCGGGTGAGCCGGGTAGATAAGACTTTAGTCAGTCAATACTTAGGTCGTTTGAGAAGTGTCGGGAAAGCTTCGCCACGTCCAGACCGGTGAAATCAGTGAAAACATCACTAGTTGCTGTCGATGGCTTCGATGTAGACGCTTCAATACACGGATCTATATTAACTAACCTATCCTCCTTACTGCTCACTTCAAACGGCTCTGATATACCTGATGAAGAAAACAGTATTTGAAATTAGAACGACATTTATATATTTTTTTTATATAAGAAATTACTGGCCGTTTATAAAATAGTCCTTAATACACGTGAAGTACAATTTTAATGTCTAATGGGCAGTGTTGATTTCAAGATGATTCAAATTTTTTTTATTTGTAATAATAAAACGACAAAACGACGGTTTACTATATTAGAATATGTATAAGTACACATTACAAATGTTTATTATTTTACCATTTTAATGTATTACAATCATAGAATTTATATTTAAGACAAAACATTGTCTAACTAAAAATATCAGTCATCAAAAGTATATTTACATCATGCTTTATTTCTGAACGTAGCCGTCACAGAGTCGTGTGACGTCACATGTCAAGGTTATGACGTAATGTAACATATGATGAACATTTAAAAACACGTTTGTTAAAAGAACATATTTCACCGTTATTTGTAATACAATTTAGAACCATCTTCCTAATTTGCAGATTCAATATTAAAGCTTAAAACAACATTTTTGATTTTAAATACATATAAATAAGGAAGTAGTGCCATACTAAATACAACAATATGTACACAAATGTCATTGTCTAAGACAAAATAACCAAATGTTATTTTTAATACCCTACGTATCATTTTAGGCACCCGACACTTGAAAAAATTATTCAGTAAATAAAAAATTTACAGACAATTAATATTCGAAATTACGGTTAATTACTAATACTAATACGGTTGAATTTACTTTGACAAGTAAATTCAAAATCCATTCATTCAGTGAGTATATTAATACTTAAAATTACTTGTAATATGTCTGTATTCCCTGAATTGATTTTAAAATGTGTTATGACGGCGGATTTAATATTCTCTATGTAAGAGGGTTCTGTGTTCACAATCACAAGTATAAACGGATTTCGTACCTTTTATATTGATCCTAATTGTAAGTATCACTTTTCCTTTCTCTTTTGAAGATAAATCGCATTTTTATTTTTATAACTAAATGTTAAATTTATATAGATCCAATTGTCTACATAAATGTTGACTTGTCATTTTTCACAATTTATAAAATATTATAATATGTAACACTGTGAAAAATTTTGCACCAATAATCGCCGAAAAAAAAAAGTCTTTGATATATCCACGTTTACATGGAGGACCATTTACAAGAAGCATTTCATCCGAGCAGGCTAATATGTAAATACATTTATAGGGTTGAAACAAAACAGAAAATTTTGATTCTTAAACTGGTTCAAACAAGAAGATATTTCAGCCCTTTGACAACCCTATCATTTAGTTCATAATTATATTGTTTACCGAGTACACTCCTGACGTCATTATTTGGCTGGCTGAAGTATATGAAGCGATAGAAACCGGGAGTACGGACGCCGCTGCCGACGGGGAAACTGAGGGTGAAGGTGCGAGGTCTGCCCGCACTCCTCGCACCCTCCGCACCCTCAACACCCTCCGCACTCCTCGCACCCTCAGCACCCGCCACGCAGACTTTTGACAGATATTCGTACGCTATATAGTCGTCTAGACTATGGAAGTTCGCCTGGAATAAACGAATTCAAATAATTAGATAGAATAATTTATCTTATCTTTTATAATAAGTATTACATTCGGACAAGTAAAAATCTTTCAGCCATGAATCAGTAAAATATAAGATAAGAAGAATTTATGAACGAATTATTGAATTATTTTCTTTAAAAGGACAATATATTTCGAACCATATTTGTTCATATAATGAGATCAAAGACTTTCGCGAGTATTGATTTAAATGTAACTAATATCTTTTGGATTGTACTACGCATATACATATATTATTTTCGTAAAAATTATATATTCCTGACTTTTTGTTAAAACTACATACCGTGATCACGGCTGCTGAAAAGTAACCGAAACGTCGGGAGTGTGTAATTTTTACAAAAATAATAAACGAATAATAAAATCCGAAAAATATTCGTTTCATTCATATTTGTTCATCTTAAAGGTTGTAATAGCAATCAAAGTCTATTTCATCTCTTTTTTTTTGTACAACATCAAGTTCCTTATCTTTATCTTTATTCTTTATATATATAATTCTTCTGTGAGTGTGTATGTCACTGAACTTCTCTCAAACGACTGGACCGATTTTGATGAAATTTTTTGTGTGTGTTCAAGGGGATCTGGGAATGGTTTAGATTCACAATTTTCTACGCTGGACAATGTTTTTTTAATTAGTTTTTAATTTATTAGTAGTTGTCGACACAAACGATTTGTCAACTAACTAATATGTCCATCATTCTGTCGCACTTCAAAACGGAGATTTATGGCTTTAATAGGTAAACTCCAAAAATATAAAATAAAAAAACGTAACAGATATTTCTTGATTAAAGGGCGATACGAAGTTCGCCGGGTCTTCTAGTATGTATATATAGACTCACATCATATATCCCTATCCAGTCGTTAGGATTGACTTCAACATCAGGTGTGAGGGTGCACTGTGTCCTAAAGTCAGCGTCACCGATGTACCAAATCCTTGAGATCGGCTCGAATTCAACGACACGGACTGCGTAGTTGGAAAACGCCTGGAAACATTAGAATACTGTTAGTCAAATATATATGTAGATTGAAAACATTTGGAGGAATAATTTACATTACACGCAATAGATTTTCAATATTGAGAAAATATTACTTATGTATATACCAATTTTTTTTTAGTAAGGGAAGAGGATTTATATCATACTAGCTTTCCGCCCGCAGCTTCGCCCGCGTGGAGTTCGGTTATATCGCGTTTCCAAGAAAACCTTTCAAAATTCTGGGATAAGAACTATCCTATGTTCTTTCAAGGTCAACTCTATCTGTACTAAATTTCATTAAAATCAGTTCAGTAGTTTAGGCGTGAAAGCGTAACAGACAGAGAGAGTTACTTTCGCATTTATAATACTAGTAGGGATTTTATTCCCTATATTTCTAAAGCAAGCAGAAACTATGCATGCATGCATGCATATGCCATGCAAGTAATCCATGCATACCTAAATAATTAAAGACAAACCTCAGGCTGGTGTTCATCTTGATCTTCATCAGGTAAATGTGCGAATGTGGCTACTGCAATTTCATGGGCCATTTCCGATGAATCTGGTACAATAGCTGAACGCATTCGTATCTGTGCCTTCCCTACCTTTGGTTTGACTTCGCTTGATGATATTGTTCTTTGAGTCTGTCATGCAATGCATATGCAATAAGCAAGTATACTACATTTTTTGCTACATATATTATTATGAAATGTATTTTCGTATAGAACACTAAATACAAATATACTTTACATATTTTTATTTAGTTTTCTATAAAATGAAATGAATGTGCAATCACTTTTTGATGTAATCAAAAAAAGCTTTTTTGAATGTCTTGATTGAATGAGACGATATTTACATTTTAATTGCCAAAATGAAAGTGACTAAAAATAAAGAGATTAATTAATAATTATAATTATTATATATAGATCTCTCACTACTAATTATTCCAGTTTCTACTGATATTTAGACATATAATGAGATCTAAGACTTTCCCAACTATTTATTTAAAGTAAACTAATATTTTTCCAATTATACTACGAGTATTTCATTCCATAATGCAACAACTACATACTCCCGACGTTTCGGTCACTTTTCAGCAACCGTAATCACCTCAGATGCGATGAAGACATATGGTATCACATACCCTTAACATACAATCTAAAAGTCTTTAAATGTCTTAGAAATCTTATAAATCTATCAATTCGAGTCAAAGCCTATTAAAACGATCTAAGTTTCACATATATAAGAACCAGTTAGTTGAATTCCAAACGTAAAATCACATAATGAATTCATGTCAATGAACTTAAGAAAAACATTAATACTATCAATTAGAACAAGAATATATGTTAATAACGAAATAAATGTTGATGGATATTTAATTTGAACAAAAATATTGAGTTCATGACCGCTAGATATTTGGGCCAGAAAATAAGTGTGAATATTAGATATTTTATTTTACTAAATAATAATCATATATGTATACAATAATAAAAATAGTATAATGATATAAACAAATAAATACTACGAACGCCCGATCACGTCATAATGGTCTCTTCTTTAATAACGTCAATTAATGCTGTCTCAGAAAGACTTATGATAATTGCAAAGAAAAATATTACAACACGTATTGTATGTATTTCTATAGTAGTTTTTTTTTCTGACGGTATTTTCTAACTTAGAATCATTTTAATTCTCGCTAAAGCGTGAAAAGTAGCACCTCGTAATCTTCTATATATATAAAAATGGATTGCTGTTCCTTAGTCTCGCTAAAACTCGAGAACGGCTGAACCGATTTGGCTAATTTTAGTCTTGAAATACTCCTGGAAGTCCAGGAAAGGTTTAAAAGGTGAGAAAAATTGGAAAAATTGCCGGGAAAACCCTAAAAACAGCCCTTTTCTATTTCCCATACAAACGATTTTTTGACATTAGACTTGATAACTAACTAATATGTCAATCATTCTGTTCGATTGAAACAGTAGAAATTTAATAAATACCAATACCGGGTTATTGAAGACGGAATAGAGTTTACCCGGTCAGCTATACCTATATTACTAATGACGAAACTAACGCGGACGAAGTCGCGGGCAAAAACTAGTATTATATAGTTTATATGAACATCTACAATTTATAAATTCTTTGATACTTGGGTTCATTATATGTTAACCATTTTTTAATGTCAATGTCAATGTCAGTGTCAACTGTCAATGTCATTGACAAATTTGGTTAATATTCCATTTTTAAATTCGAATTTGAGTCGAACGGTTATCTAAGACTTCTAGTTGAATAGTTGATGATTTTAATGTTGTCATATATTTTTAGAAAACTATATGTGACCTTGACCTGCAAACCGAGAAAGACGCACACGATTTCATATCGATTATTAGTGTATAGGCTTTATTGATGGTGGTTAGTTTGCAGGCAAAATAAGACTCTATTTTACGTAAACTTAGAATATAATTTTATATAATTGCTTTTGAGAGCCATTGCTGAAATCGTATACATATAGTATATTTGGTAAATATATTTAGTTGTGTTTTGTTAAGAAACAGAGAACGTAATAATTTTTATTTAAAAATATAAACCAATGCTCACTATAGACGCGAAATATTTTAGTTACATCAAATAGGTAAAATTATAATTAAGTAAAATTTCCGTCGGCAACAGCTATTTTTATATAAAACCAAAGTGATTGCCTAACATCTCATTACTACGACATACAAACTAAGCATAATATGATATATGAAAGTTACAACCATGCATTAATTCTACATTAACATACAATGTTATTCAAAAATAAGCTTTAATCTAATGGTAATTATGTTTATTATCGTATAACTCACTTTTATATTGAACTGTCCAACCACTGGTTTATGATCGCTGATGGTGTACTGTGGTAGGGAGTTGTAGGAGATGACGTCAGCACGAAGAGTTACATTCTCGTAAGTGTTAGTAATAACTTTGAACAAGATTCTGTCCGTCCATGAAGGTTTACGTCTGGAAATTAAACCCTATATTAAAAGACAATATGGTTGAAATTTCAATGAGCTTTAGAACATTGTCATCAGCCTATCAGAAGCCCACTGCTGAGCAAGGCCTCTTTCTCACATGGAGAAGGTTTGAGCATTAATCACCACGCTTGCTCAAGACGGGTTGGTGATTTCAAACTTATAATTGTGAAACTATAAGTCCAGGTTTCCTCACGATGTTTTCCTTCACCGTATGTCAGTGATGTCTAAATATTCTCAGAAAGTACATATGACTCCGAAAAATCACATTGGTACTTGCTAGGTTTGAACCCGCGCCCTCGGCAACGAGAGACAGGCCCTTAACCACTAGGCCACCACTGAGTTTAGAACATTATGAGTCCTTAACTGGGAAAAAATTGTGTTAATATTTATATTAGATGAATGAAATTACACTCACTTGATGTCGTAGTCGTCAGTGCCGATCATAAATTTGTAAGTCGGCGCGAATCTTATATCTGCTTCGGAGAATTCAGAGAAAGCTTCCCCGCTCTCCATCACTGCTAGTAGCTGGTCATGTCGCAGGAGTGTGTTAAATTTGTCCTTTTCTACTTTTTCCAGGGTAGCAACTATCTCTTCAGCGCTAGGACTGTTCTCAGCTGGATGGTCTGTCCGGAAATTTAAATCTCCTATCCAGAACACGTAACTGTAACATAAAACCTGGATGTAATTATATGGGAATAATTTCTTTTCTTTCATACTTTTTCAGCGACTCATTTTGCCCTTAATTCACATCATTTAAGGAACGAATGCTTGAACGAACGAGAACTTTTATTATGAAAGAATGAAAATTATCGAATGAAGAAGCAGACATATTAATTATGTAAACCTTTTTCGTTAATCGATAGTTCTGCTGTCTGAGTTTAGATCGTAGTCATGAAAACGTGAATTCAGTTGGTTAAAAATATGTATAAGTTTTATACAATAAGACAATAAATAATGTTTTGCTAAATACAAATGTTGCCATTAAAAAGAAATCTTTATAAATGTTATCATTAAAATAATATTTAGAGATATTTTTTAATATTTTCCTCTTTGTAATCAAATCTACGTTTCGGCTGCACTAAATTACATTATACATTATGTGATACCTACAAATAATTCGTTACTAACATACATCAAATATATTATAATTATCAAAAGTAAACGAATTATTAAATATTTGTTATTTTTTTATTGACGATGCAAATCAGTACTGGATGAACATAATTGAATTTATTTTTTATAATACTTTGATCGCATGTATAGGAAGCCGTATAAGTAATGTTAGCTCCATACAGGCTTATCGATAGAATTAGATATATAGATTATGTAGGCCGATAAGATAAAAATAAAATACATAACACAATGAAAAGTATAGCACGTAAATATTATGAAATATTTATAGACATTAGTTTAGAATTCCTTTACCGTTATATAGAATCATAACAAAAGCGTGTTTCTTAGTTATAAAGGCCTTATCACTTACAGCGATCTCTTTCATGCAACCTCTTTTAAAAATATATATAGCTGGCCGTATATTTTCATTTTCTATTCTTCTAGTTTACTTTTTTTTCTTTTTAATAGAATTAAAAGTATGTTAGCAGCCAGAATTAAAAATAAATAAAGATTCAAATAAAAATTTCGTACATTCTATATTACAGTTAATTTAATATTAAAACATAATTATTCGAAAGTAGTAGCTTAATACGTATAAAACGAGACTGGTGATTGCATAACTTTAAGTAAATCAGAGCAAGTGTACCAGATAACATATCAATTATGGAACAGAATACATTTAGCACATATTATAATAGCACTAAAATGAAAGGCATATAAAAAAAGGTAATAATTAATGTGTAGTTATGAAACATTTGAATTTCTTGTAACAATATGGTGACAATTATTTTGTGGTTATGGCAACCTTCTTAATCATAACATGGTTTCCATATTTGTGATTCAGAATATTACGCAGACTTGTCAATTCTTTGAAATTTTAATATAAAGAGTGTCACTGTTCTTCACAGATTTTAGACCTCATTTTATTTAATTTCCTTAATAACTTCCGCTATAATATTTATGAAATGTGTTTTGTTGTTGTAGGCAAAATATTCACTTTATTATTTAAAGTTGCAGATTTAAAAAAAAAATCCTTAAGTGATTTGAGGAAGAAAGTAGTAGTCGGATACATAAAATTTAATATAGTTGCTTAGCCGAGTGAAACAAATAAACAGAAACAAGTTGTATAAACATAAATAAATTAATTACTCTTCATAATTTGAATCGGATTCCAGTAATATTTTTTTTTAATTTAAATTTCGAACAGATTTAATATCAAACCTTTACACAGTTTCTTTTTACTCATAAAAAAAAAAAAACAAGAAAAATATTCGAATAGTGACGTTCTAAAATTTAAAAAAGTAACGAACATTATGTCAAATACTTGTCATATGTCAATACTCAATAGTAAGTAGGTAATATATTATAATGTATACTCACTCGTGGTATAATATGTTGTGGGTCTCAGTAATATGGTACTGGTGGTCTGATATGATGGTGTTATAATCGTTGATCCGATCCGCCAGCAGGTGATCGTGAGCCGTGAGGTGAGAGTTCACGAGACACACAGAACAACCGTATATATTGAACCTCACACTCACCGCACCTTTGTTGCCCTTTGATTGAAAATATTGCATAACTTTAGTTAGATAACTATAAAGTTATAAACTAAAATCGACTTTATTCTAAAGCAAATAAAGTTAATAATTTTAACTAGAGATTAATAAGAATGTATGTTTTTTTTATATATATTTGATTAAACAAATCATTGATTAATAAATTAATCTTTGATAATGTATTTTGATCCTTGACGTACATATGTATTTAATATATTATATAAAAATTATAAATCTCATAAACTGTAAATGCCCGCAACAAAATTGCTAAAGTACTAAGTATTACGAATTATTTGCCTGACACCTTAACACGTTACGTAACAAACAAGTCTTTACAAGTAAGAGCGAAATCGACCAAATTTCATTTTATTTCATTCACAAATAAGTTTATATGAAACAAACATTAAAACTCATATTAAGTACTATGGTATTATTATTACAAATAATCGCTATCGTATTCGCATTGTCGACTATAGATTTCCGTTAAACTTTAAAGAAATGACGTCAAACATGGGAATAACAGGTTGCAAAATTTCATAAACAAACAAATTATATTAATTTTGATATTTGCAACTAAATATACATAAACAACTGATATTTTTGAAAAAGTAATTAACATAAAAAATTCATATTCGTGATATTAGATGACGAGATTTTTTATTTATTTACGTAACAACAATGAACGCCTCAAACTAGTTATGGAGAGGGCTACAAAAAAAATGATAAGTGAAGGTAAATCCGTAATGTATATTTAAATCTTGCTTCTCGCAATATGCTTAAAAATATTAACTATTAAGCAATATATAGTTTAAATATGTAATAGGTATTATTTTATTATGCCATTAATCATTATTATCATCAGATGACTATCTATTATCTGTATAAAATTTGAAGACTGTCTTTCAAATGTTTATTTAAAGTGATGAAATAAAATATCCATAGGAACTTAGTCATAGAGATAAAAGACGTAAACACTCAAAAATTATTACAAAAAAAATTATAAGAAATATAAGTATAATCCCACAAAAATATTTCACAAAATACTAACAATTGAGATTTTGGTATTCAAAATTATAAAACTTATGTAAGAATGTTGATAGAATAATGTTTTTAGAACTTACTATAATAACTTATTCTTACTTAATAAGTGTCAGAGAGAACTTTGAAGAATCCAGAAAGATTAAGACACAACCCTGACCAAGACATAATATGATCATATAAGCATAAAATTTTCTCTGCAATAGAATTGTGTCACTAAGAAACTACCTTCTACATGAAATTTTAGAAGCAAAAACAACTACAAAAATTTAAAAATGAGCCTTAAATTACTAGTAAGGCAGAGACATATAGGGAAATGTTAATATAGTACTATAAAAAAAATCTAAATTACAAAGGAAAAACACAACTAATATATGGAAGTTGTAAAATTTCCTTATGCATTTCTATTCTAATGAGATTTTCCCCAAAAACATTAATTTACCGATTCAAATAACTGGGATGTATGTAATATGTAATAAAGATTTCTTTCTGTAGATTCTTACTAATAAATATAAGACTTATTGTCGAAAGGAGATTACGGTAATGAGATATTTTAGCACAATACATCAAAGTCCATATAAACCTGACAAATTGAGCAAAAAATCATTCAAATAATAAATAAATCATATCTGTTAGAATTAAAATAATATTTAAATAACAGAAATAAAATATTACTATGATATTATAAGTAATATAAGATTAGTAAAATTTTACATAAAACCATTTCATTTAATCCAACTTCTTACAATTGAACTCTTTATTATTTTGCTTTTGTTTCATACATATAAAAGTTTATGGAAACCTTATACATAGCGCAATATGATAACATTTTTACTTTTTCTTAAGAATTAAGTATGGGTATTTTTGGGTGTTTAAGACTCAGTCTTAAATGTCTATAAGGCACAATTAGAAAACTTATAATTAGGGTTTTGATATACATATTAATGGAAATAAAACATACCCATAAACCTCCTAAGCCAGTCTTAGTATACTGAGCTTCTATATCCCTTAGATTCACCACATGTTTCATATGTGTATACACTAGAAGTATTATTCCCTGTAATCTGACGCTCTTAGCAACTATAAAGCCCTGTCTACATAGGATCTTGTTGAACATTGAAGTCCATTGATCAGTGAACAGACTGTCCATTAACATATTCTGAGGTTGAGATTTTACTTCTTGCAAGCTGAAACAAGATGATTCAAATTAAGTCATGTTTAATGGGGAAAATGGTATGAAGTGTAGATAAAAAAATATAAATTAGGTATTGAATTGTCTGGTTATAGAATAAAATATAACAAGTCAACTATCAATTATGAAGAACATATTATAGATTTAAAGTATGTTACTAAGAAATATTTGGAAAAAAGATATATAAAGATTTTTTTTCTTTTGTTTAATGCAGTATAAACTCATCAAATTTACTAAAATAAAATTTTCATTCATTCAAAAAATATAAAATGAAATGTTCTATAAACAGCATTTTCGTAAGTTTAAAAACGTAATTAGTTGAATAAACACTATAAAACTCACCCAATGACATAGAAATCTGGCAGTGGCTTATTTTTGTTGAAAACTGATGGAAAATCCAATAATGCGTTCAGATCTTGACCTGGAGACTTTGTAGCCACATTCCAGGTTACAAAATAGAACCTAGACACAAAATTCCATACAACTTTATAAATGATCAGACTAATTTATAATTATTTACGTGTTTCTTGTTATTTAATAACAATTAATTTCGCTATTTATTTTACCTGAGGGTATCCATTGGTATAACTCAATACCTCAAGTTATTATTAATGTAATGGGCACAATGACTATGATCAGCACTGATATTTACAAAAAAATACAGAGATAAGATAAAAGGTATATGAAAATACGTTCACCTCTCACATAACAAATATTGTACTAATGTCCAATACTTTATAGATACTGACTTTTCGATTTTGACGTAACTGTCAATATCAGGATTACATTAATTTCACAGCTATTATAAACATTATAGATTCAAGTATAAAAATAAAATATAACTTCTCATGAGCTTTGCCCAAATGAAATGTTCATATAAAATTTATAACAGATGTCCCTTGGCCGTAAAGATAAACACACCGAGGAACATATCTTTATTAAGTAAGGAAGTGTAATGCTATGTATTAATTTTCTGATTTTTTAACAAAATATACTTTAGTTCATTAAATCATAAGTCTCAAAATTATTACACATGTATATTATAAAAATATTAATCTTAATATAAGCGGAGACGTATAATTTAGTTCTAATTTGTATAGTCGAGTAAAATTTTTGTATTAACCTATTTAGTTTCTTTTAATTGTTCCAATTTAATTTATTTTACGATTAAAATTATTAGTTATAAAATAGTTTGTAACTTTTACGGCGGGAAATATTACCCAATTAGTTAAAATGTCAATGTCATACTTCAATATTGTCTGGGAACTGGATTGAGCGCGCATTTACCGGCCGTTTAATAACAAACTGCTTTAAGATACCTGAGTTAGTATTATTGTTATTATTTAAAGTATTGTTAATCAATCGTTGTAATTAAGCCTCAACACTTTTTAATGTTTATTTAGTTCAAATAACCGTTGTTAAAAAAGTGTACAGGTTAAAGATAACGCTACCTCTGTTTATGTTTTGATATCATTTATTAACACAAGTATTTGTTGTTTTAGACTATTTTTGATTAAAAAGATGCCGCGTACAACCAGGAAATCATTAAAAACTCTTCAACATACAGCCACGGATAGAGAAAATTTAGTGGGTAGACCTTCAAAAAGTTTGAAACACCAACTTAGTCAAGAATCCGTTGTGTAAGTAAAGTGAATTAAATATATTTTTTTAGCAATTGATAATATTTTGCATATACCATTAATTACTTATTCTTATCATTGTTATTGTTTTCAGAGATGTTGAAGTAAAAAGGAAGAATTTATGCACCAAAGAAGTTCAAGTAAATCTGGAAGACAAGATAAGTGCAAAGGACTTGACAGATCCTGACGGTGCTTCTGAAAAGTATTGGGAAATTCTATCTGAGAAACGCCAGTAAGTTAACTAGCAATAAACAAATTCAAAAGACTATTAAGTTTGACTTCATCAATATTTATTTATCATTTCTGTATATTTCAGAGTAGCCCTTCAAGATGCTTTGGAAGAAAACGAAAAACTTAGAAAGATTATTGAGGACTTAAAACAGGAGAACATGCAATTTAAACAAATGTTAGAAGAAGCCAACAGTTTTGTGGAAGTTATTAAGGTACATTGTAATGTTTTTAACTCTTAACTTTACTATATTCTATTTTCATTTTTAAGGTGATGTGTTATGAATATGTTTGTTTTGTCTGAAACTGCTCTGGAGATATTATCCTATAGAAATTGCTCAGATCAATGTAAGATAAGTTTTCAAGCTTGCTTGGAAGTTAAGCATGATGATCTAAAACACATGGTCCATCAGAAAGTGTCTGATTTTTTTTCTCAGTTGACTACTAATTACTTTGTCCTAATATCAAATATCTCAAAATATTTCATATGAGGCAATAAACCTAAATGGTCTGCCATATCTTGATATGCAGTTTTTATTGTATTGTTTTGCTTCCTGTAAAGTTCTTTGAATTTGTAGACAGAAATTCTACTTTAGTTATTTTAATATTATGAAACAATAAGAGAGATATGAAAAGTTTTTTTTTTATGTTATAGGAAATTATATATATAATTAACTCTTTACAGGAGGAACTGGCAAATAGCAGTAACAATGACACAGGGATTGATGTCAATGACGTCAGTACCGCTGATGAAACTCAAGAAGAGGACAAGTCAGAATCCAAAGATTAGATTTTGATTAACAGTACAAATGTTCTTAGTTTTGTTAACATAAATATCTATTTATAAGTACCTCTGTAAGACTAAGAAATTTTTGTAATGACTTTTTAGCTTTAAATCTAAAAAAACTAAATTAAAATGCTATTTTCTATTTTTAATATATCCTTCTAGATAATAGTCAGTTACTAAGTTTATCATGTGTTTACTAAATAAAGTCTTTTAATAAAATATAACTTTGTTTTCAATATAATTTTACTACCAAAGGTATATCAATATAGTAGGTTTAAATAGTGAAATATTTTTATGGCATGTAAAAAGTTTTTATTAAATTGGCACAACATGGCATAATAACTGTTACAAGTGAGATTTTATTCATCATCTTTTTTTAAAAATGCTTTGAAGTTATCATCAAAACTTGTTTCATATGTCCACGGTAACAAGTCAGGGTACATTGTGATTTCTCTTAAAACATCTACATCTGCATTTGAAGGCAACACACTCCTAACTTTTTCATTCAGACATCCCGTTGCATGGATGTAATGACTTATTATTAAATTGTATATAAAATTAACATATTTGAAATCTAAATTATCATTTGTACTGGGAACTTGAGGAGAGTGGGATTTAATTCTTTCGAGATAACCCGTAGTTATAATTGGCACTATGAAGTCAGCCTGAAAACAAAAAAAACATGACAATGAAAATAATTGCATTAATAATTTGGATAAAAATTGGTCAAGGTACTTTTATTTATTTAATGATTTACTGTACAGCTATAGAGAAAATTTATTTTCCATCTGGTCTAAGAGCCAGTGAACGAATACCTGTATGTATTTGACCAGACCTGGGTTTTTGTACAATGAGACCCCTTTACCTACCATACATGAGATAGGGACTCACTAAGCCCAAAGTGGTAGACGCGGCGAGTGCGCAGGTAGGTCAGGTATCGATTATTAGCTATTTATAAATGCATTTGACCACATCTGCCGTTTTGATATTTGAAAATATATTATTATTATTATTAGTGGAATAAAACAATGGCAGGCCTAGTGGCCTGCGCCATATAGTTATCATAGATCGATAACTATATCGCGCTACCTATCATTGTGGGCTGAGGCGGACAATTTTGAAAATGTTATTTTTTTTTAAATTGATTGACCAGATCTGCCATCAATATATTTTATTTATTATAGTCTTAAAACTTATATTGTTAACGGCAGACTTATTCATTGCGTATAAACATCAGCAGATAATCAAAATCTGAGATACTTTACCCAGTCAGATGTATGCATATAGATATCTTTTTTGCTTTCTCCAATGTATTACTATTGTACTCATTCTAGCCTATAGTACCCTATCGGTTTTTGTCAGATGTTCATAGTTTATTTGTCAACCTTCACACAGATGACTCGAGTTTCGTGAATTTTATAAAATACATAGTGTTGCTTTATTTTATTTTGTTAATTTCACTATTATCTATTAAACATATTTGAGATTATGGCGGATGAAAAAGAAAAAGTGCCGTGTGTTTTTTGTGGCACGTCAAAATGGGAAAAGTTATTGATATTTTCGGAAGAGACTATGGCGAAATGTCAAAATTTAACTAAGGACCAACTACAACACCAATTTAATGTTATTCAACAATTTGTTTGCCAACTCCACAATGCCAAAAAATCACAGAACGTCGATGATGGAAGGTTCCAAGTATTTGTCCGTAATTACAAAGTTTCAGACATCAATGAATATTTCAGCAAAAAAGTACAGAATTTTGACGCTACCTCAAATCTATTGTGTAAGAGTGAACTTCACCGACAATTTCTCTCATCTGGAAATATGCTTACAAAAAGCAACCTACTTCTTTAAACCCATTGGATTATGGTTGGATTAAACAGGACTTCAAATTAGTTTTCAAATGGTTCGAAGGAGGTCAACTTCCAATTTCCATCTTTTGTGAGTAACTTAATCACCGATGTTCCTGGTGAGTTAATAAAAATCAATTCTTTATCGAATATGTACGAATTAATTTACAAATTATTTATATTATTTTGCAGAATCTGCTTCAGTGAATATGGATGATGAAGACGAGTTCAACAATAATAACCATGGCTTGGATGATGATGAATGAAGATCAAAATTAATAAATATATTGACCTATATACATATATATATTGATTTAGTAAAGCAGCAATAAATAAATTTAAAAAATAAAATACAAATTGAAATTATTTTTTGTTCTTAGCAGTATACTTTAATATTTAAGATTTTTTCGTTATGTATCTCCTCCTATATTGTATACCATTAAAAGTTTAGTATATAGACTACGTGGAATATATTAAATTCATTAAATACAGTGATTAAGTAAATTATATTCATATAAAACTGCTATCATAATAACTAATATATAGACATCTGACCGGGTAGTGTATCTCAGATTTTTTTATCTACTGATGTTTATACTCAATGAATAAGTCTGCCGTTAACAATATAAGTTTTGAAGACTATCAAGACAATCAATTTCAAAAAAAAATAAATTATTTAACATTTTCAAAATTATGTGCCACAATGTTAAAAATGTGATAGTGGTCTGGCATTGATTTTTCCACTAATATTAAAAATATATTTTCAAATATCAAAATGGCAGACGTGATCAAATGCATTTATAAATAGCCAATAAACGATACCTGTCCTACCTGCACACTCGCCATGTCAACCACATTGGGCTTAGTGAGTCCTCATCTCATGTACAATAAGTAAAGGGGTCTCATTGTGCAAAACCCAGGTCTGGTTAAATACATACAGGTATACATTCACTTGCTGTTAAACTAATCTGTTTTGAATGAAAAATTAAGTGTGTACAATTTTAGAACAAAAATTATACTTTTGTTAAAATATCTATATTTTGTCTCTCTAGATTATTTCTTGGCTAATCTAAGAAGTTAATAAGTATATAGTTTTAAAATAGTAAAATAACACATAGTATTCTGAAAATATATATTATTTATAGGCTTTATTGTTATATATGGAAAAATCAACTTAATGGGATTAAATAAAAGAGAAAAACTAGTAAGTCTTAGCTAGCCTATAATAATAAGTAATATGTTATGGAATTATATAAAATAATCAGCAAAACTATAGCCTGGTCTTACCTTTTCAAAATATTCCCTAATAAATTTCTCTGGATTTGGATACACATCCTCCCTTCTGCCACTAAGTGTTAAGACTTCTACTTTAGGAGAATCCCAGTTATTAACATACTGATGAATATTAAGAGCAGTGTCTAAACCATCTTCGGTATACGTTAAAAATAATATAGGACAGTCATTATCAACTTTTTTGTTTTCAGTCTTCTTAGAAGGCCTCAATGATGGCTGATTAGGATTTCTATCACTATCTTTTGTAACAAAATTTATATTTAAAGCTGGTGGCAAGTCGTTCTTATAATTTTTAAAGCTCACAATTTCTTTAGTACCCACTGTCTTACTGGTACTGTGATAACCACTATCTTCATTATTAAAACATTGTGCTAAATTACAAAATGGTTCTTCTAAAGCTTTTAATATATCATACCTCTTCATTTTCACAAAAGCATCAATTATTTTATCTAAAGTTGCCGTTTCATTTTGTATGAAAACTTTAATTACTATATCTGCTGGATCTTCCTTAATAGAATTTGTTATGTACTGAAAATAAAAATGAGAATTAGTGACAATATATATTTTTTAAATTCATGACATATTCAACTAAACATACATCTAAATCTTCCTGTTTAATACCCAGAGCATATCCGAGTTCCTTCCAAGTATTAGGTGATCCTCCGACCTTTTTAACAAGGGTTTTCCAAGCTTCGTAACATGTAGCACCCATTTTTGATTTAGCATTTCTGTAGTAAATTAAACTAGTGTGAAGGTAGGAGACTTTTTCACTTAAAGTATGTAACTCAGAAATTTCTTTTGCCCTTTCCTCATTTAAAACTTCTTCAAGAGCTAACGTATCTATACTTATTGTGTCAGCATTCTCGCAATCTTTTAATAAATCCCTGCAACGTAAATATATAATTCATACCCTCGGTATAAAATGTTTCTAAATATAATTATTTTGTTCGTGTACATATATTATTACATTTTTATGCTGTAACTATTCAACCTATTATTTAAAATAATTAAAATAATACTTGTTGCGATTCATAACTTTTTACAAGGAAAACTTTTTAAAAAACCTACTGACGTTTGATTAGTGAAGTTTGATGTTTCTTAACGTCAAAATTCCAATGTTGAAGAATAGAAAAAGACGTTCAGATTTATTAATTGTTTCTACCGCACACAAAACTAGGGTTCTAATAAATTTAATTTTTTAAAATAAAGACCGATATTTTTTTTTAACACAAAACAGATTTTAGTTAACTTAAAATATCAATTCGTCTAGGTTTTCACCGATGCTGCTTATACGGTGGTTTTTCTTATTTATCTGATGTAACTACATATACAATTTGTTTTAGCTTTTTATGTTCTCAGTATAACGTATAAGAATAATTCTTTTTTATATTATTTTGGGAAAATATATTTTAAGTAATTTAAATCAATTCAGAATGCTCTACGCTACTGATTTTCATTACATATTAAAAAAAAAAAACATGTTAAATTTGTCAGTATTTTGGCGGGATTACAAAAAAATCTTTAAAATTTATTATTACCTGTTTAAAAGGAATTGCATTATATTTTGAGTTTATAAAACACAATATGTCTGAAAACGCGTGAGTATTATGAGATTTGTAATTAAAAATATAATTTAAACATTTATTAATAAATAATAATATTAATTGTAACTAATTACCTTTGTTACACGATTATTGAGATAATACAGTCCTATTTCCATATGTAACTGAAAAGTATATGTTTTAAAATATTTGTCACTATAAATGTACTCTTAATACATTCATGTAATATCAACAGAATAGTTGAAATTAATTGTGTATTTTTATATCAGTGGTGATTTAAACGAAGAGGAATGTATTCCATATTCCCAACCATTTTCCCTTTCACCTCCTGGAAGTCCAATCCCAGAAAATACTCCACCATCGATAAGGCCTCCTAAATATACCGGACAGAAGGGGAATTTTAGAAGTATCAAAGAAATAGGTATCTCTTCGTTTAGTTTGTAACACTTTAAATATTTTTTCAAAACCAAAACAGGTTATGAATAAGTTATTTTATGATATCTTTAAAATATAATTTCCTGAAGAAAGTTCATGCTATTCAAAGATATTTTTTAACTAAATGCGACATATGTATTTTTTCTCATTCAAAAATTAATGAGAAAACGTATTAATGATTTTAAAGTTTCTTTTAATTCAATTCCAACAATTATCGCAATCGGTACTGAAATTAAATATTTTTTTATTTATTGTCCTCGTTTGTACTGTATTATGTTTTTCAGATCCTAAATACCGCCATATTTTTTCGTATCCATATTTTAATTTTGTACAATCAGCTGTTATGGATGACGCATTGTATTCAAGTAAGTAATTTTATAATTACTATTTTTTATATCTAATAAAAGTTTTAAATAATTATATGATTTAAAGGGGTTTGGACTGATTTGAGTTTTAGCTGTATTAGATGCTTTTTATATTTGCACAATAATAATCTTATAAGATAACCATAGAAGATTGTTCCCTTGCAGTATAATACTTTTTATAGTCTACTACTAGTAAAATAACCAGATATCTAATACTGATTTTTATTAAATATATGTAGATTAAAAGATTGTGTATATAACATACCCTTATGTTTAAAGTCAATTGCCAAATATATATATATGTTCCATGCATTAGATAAATCTATGGTGGTATGCGCCCCGACCGGGTCAGGCAAGACAGTTATATTCGAAATGGCCATAGTACAGTTGTTAATGGAACTTGAAGATAAAAACTACACTGACGATTACAAGATTATATACAGTTAGTTCAAATTTCGATATCCTTGCTTTCTCCTTTATTTAGATACTGAAATTTATGATTAATTCATACAGTTAAAATCAACATAATATGATTTTTTATCTCAATGTGATCCAAATGACTGTCAAATTAGAATAATTTAGTAAGATGGGGGTAAAGGTACCGAAAAAATTAGCTATATCTGTGGAAATGCAGTTGGAACTGCTAAACATTTGCTGGTGGTATGTAAGGTACTCCTGAATAGTGGTCAATACTCGTACCGTCACGATAGGGTTCTAGAAATCATAGGTCAAGCGTTTTGTCTTTCGGTAGCCTAAGCGCAAAGGGAAATAACCACAAACGAGTGGTCAATAGGTTTTGTGAGAAAATACACTAGTGCTATAAAATCATACGTCAAGCCTTACTCCATCCTTAAAGCGGCGTCGGATTGGACTTTATGGATAGATACGTATGAGAAACAATACAAAATCCCCGAGGATATTTGTGCGTCGGCCTCCAGACCGGAATTTTTTTGTACTCGTGAATTTTGAAGCGCGTTCTGTTAATAGAGCTAACGGCTTCTTGGGAAAACAACGTCCCTAAAAACTATAAGTCCCTTAAACCTACACCTGGGTCGCAAGTACCAGTCTCTGTTGAAGCTCCTCTCACTACAACGATGAACCCGGCACCCGCACGGTAGATCCATTGAATGCTGAGAGGTTTCGTCTCAGTATAACAAACATAAAAAAATGCTCATGTTTTAATTCTTAGTACATTAGAATTATTATCAGAAAGAGGCAATTATATGCCCTGGACTATTCTATTGATTAATAGTCGTTTTTGAATTTTTATAAATATAAATATCGTATTCAAAAGAGCAATTACGTTACATTTTTAATCTTCTCGTTAAGTTATTTTATTATGTGTGTTTTTCCCTTAATGGTCGCAAGGTGAGTACCAAATCGTATATTTCCAGTGGCCCCTGTTAAAGCATTGTGCACAGAACGTATTACTGAATGGTATTCAAAGTACATGAAGCTCGGCCTCTTATGTATAGAAGTGACTGGGGACACGGATGTAGACTTCTCACAGTTACAACCATACAGGTTAAATTATAAATATATTAAAAATATGATATACATATTATTGATTTATTTTCACCAAGCATACTTATATAGAAAAGTAATCGTTTAATAAACCTTCAAAAGTTAACAGAAAACTATACACTAGATGAATACTTTGTATCTATTATATAAAACGTAAGCTGTAAAAATGTTAAAATATTTGTTATTTTTAAAGAATCACTTAATTTAATGCATGAATACTTATAAGACTCTGTTTTAAAATGAATAAAGTAAAAGTTAAAATCATTTTCATTCACCATCTTTAATCTTTACTCTAAATGTATATGTACTTATACAAATATATAAAGGCACGAAATTTTTTTTGCAAAACGAACATATAATTGTAGAATAATAATAACGACACCAGAAAAATGGGATTTGATAACTCGACGTTGTAACGATCTGTCTCTCGTGAAACTGTTCCTTATAGACGAGGTACATTCATTGAACGACGAGACTAGAGGTCCCGTGTTAGAAGCTGTTGTTAGTAGAGTTAAGACTGTACAGGTTTGTAAAGTGTATCTGACATCACAGAACTATAATTTTTATGAATTTTCATAATAAACTTCAAAGTCAAAACTGTAATCATGTTCTCTAAACATTCATGATAATTGATGTTTATATAGCAAAAAAACTTTACTAGTCAAAATGAACATCGTGAATTACATAAAGCTTAATATAGATACTAGAAAGACAAAAATCGAGAGAAAAACATTTACATATAGAAAAAAAAATGTATTAAATTATATTTAAACTTACTCATATTTTAATTCGTTATATATATATAGTGTTCAATACAATGGTGCGTCCGTCTGGTGGCTGTGTCAGCTACAATCAGTAACCCTGAGGACGTGGCTACTTGGCTTGGGGGAACAAACGCTGTACACTATAAGTATAACACATTGTTACTTATATCATTCATTAATATTATTATAGTATAGACATTTGGTAGTAAATTAATATTTTATATGATTTGTGCGGAAGATTTATATGTACTTTCAAAAAAGTATATAAATTTAAGATGTCTATATAACTTATTATTCAAAATTAATATTTAAATAAAAATATAATTTTTGGATGTAACTGCTTTTATATCGTCTCTTGAAAACTGCTCGAACCGAAACATCTTATAAAACTCAAAATAAAACGAGTCATACTAAAATAGTTTACTTATTGCGTTAATTTCATACTTCGTATTCTTTAACTTGTGTGAAGCTAATTTTGCTATTTGAGATCAAAAGATTGATTGAATCTGATTAAATACCCAACTCAAATTACTTGATGAAATTTAACATAATACTTCATATTTCATTAAAAGTTCAATAGATTTTGATCTTTCTTTATACCAAAATAGTGTTATAGTAAACAAGATTGCATAGTAAATTACTTCTTGTTTATGTCGAATGCAATAGATTCGGTGACGAGTGTAGACCAGTTAAGTTGAACCGTGTAGTGGAAGGTTATCCATGCTCGCCCGGGACCAGCATATTCAAGTTCGATATTATTCTAAACTACAAGCTTTGGCCGGTCATACAGAAATATTACAATGGGAAACCTACTTTGGTATGTGTTATATATTTTTAAAGAAAATATGTAACTAGATTTGTTAGAATATTTTTAAGGTTCCGTAACAAAATGACCAAAAACGTACCCCAAAAACAAAGTCCGATGTCTTAGTCTGTATATTATGAACAGTGATAGTTAAAGAGATAAAGTTTTTACAAATTATGCATTTATATAAACGTTATAAGAAAACTTAAAAATTAAATAAAATGTTACGGAACTCTTTAATCGAATCCGACTCGCACTTGACTGATTTTATTATCCAATATATATGTATAAATACATATTATTTTAGTATAAAAACTATATTATTATTATATATAAGTAATATATTTGTAGATATTTTGCAACACTAGAAAAAGCGTTATGTTCACCGCTGAGACTTTATCCAAAGAAATCACTGTTGGCTTTAGTCCTGAACAAAGAGCGAAACTAACAACTATAGCGTCATCAATAAGAAATAAGAAGTTACAGGTAATTTTCATTATAATAAATTATATACTATAATAATTTCGATAATATCCTTTGTTTAGTACTACTCTCTTATGTATGAACACAATAAATTCACTTAACTAAAATATTTAAAGAAATAGATCGACATTGATAAGATTAAAATTTTAAAATAAAATTCATGGGCTATCCCCGGTATTAATATCAGTGTTAATATTGAATAATTAACAAATATTTTTCTAAAATATAGCGTTGAAAGAGATATGTACAATCCTTTATTCGATATATTGTTTTCTAAAGAATTTTATAGATAACCTAAATAGCAACAAACATAGCTTTTAGCCAAAGTTTACAAAGAAATGGAACAAAGAAAGAGATTATTTTGAAATTCACAAAATAAGAATACGTGGTTTTTATTATAACTCCCTATATTACGTTTTAAAATATGTAAACATAGTCATACCATGACTCACTAAAATATAAATTTAATCATGAGATGTGATAACAAATCTGTTATACTTTCAAAGTCTACATGATTATTTACAACATTTATCTCCTCTCGCTGGACATACAATAACACAATACTCACTAGCTGCGCTCCGCGGTGTTAACCGCGGATTTCCGGGATGTAAATTAGCCTAAGTGTTATTCCTGGACGTCAGCTTCCTGTATACAAAATTTTATCAAAATCAGTTCAGCTGTTTGAGCGTGAAGAAGTAACAAACATACACACACACTTACAAACTTTTGCAATTATAATATTAGTAGGATATAAACTCAATATCATATAAAAAAAACTCGATGCTAAGTTTGATACTTATACATAATATGTAGTCAGTCACAAGTCACATGTAATTGTTTACAATATTTATCTGGTCTCGTTGGCCAGTCGTTGGTGTTGTCCGGCGTGGGGTGCCATCACGCCGGTCTGTTACTAGACGAGAGGAACGCCATTGAACATGCGTTCAGAAACAGAGATCTTCCTATACTCATTACAACTACCACATTAGGTATGTTTATATAATAATATCATATTTAGTAATAATTCACAATAATATTTACATAAATTTTTTAATTATCTTATGAAAAAAAAAGTTTTGATATCTTAAACTTATCTTTGAGGAATTATCGATACATTTATTTTAAATTACAAGGGAAATGAAAAAAATATGTTTATTATAAATATTATGAAAAAAAAACAATAAAAAACCACATATATAAATAATATTTTATACAAAATAAGTTTGTATAAAATAATGACAAGCTTTATACGATTTAAAGGAGATTTAACTTAGGGTTATTGAACTCTAGCTTTGTTTAAACCTACCGCACATTATCCTTTCATCCCAGCGCTTAGTAAACAAGCTAAAATAGATCTTCCTATTTCTATAATACAGTACAAATTTCTTTAAAATTTTCTCGCAATAATGATTATCTCAGCTCACATCAGATAATAAAGTCTAGGACATGTGATGTCTTAAAAAGATATAACTGTTAAATTCTATAAAATTCCTTAAAGCTTCCGTACTTCAAAAATCTGTCACGTATAAACCTTTCACTGTAAAAGTCGAAAGATTATCACGTACATTTGATACACGTTATATAATATTTATGTGGTAACCAAAAAAAATTATATAAGCATCTAAGGTATTTATGCTAAAAATTACCTACTAATGGTGCTGAAGATTTTTTTCGTATTTCTTTGGACACATATACAGTGATAGGTTTTATGATCCTTTACAATGTCTCTAAAAATTCTTCTAGTATAAGAAATACAAAACAAACCAATATTTTATTAGTACCTAATATATTTATTTCCATTATAGTCTTGGTATTTGGAAATGTTAAAAAAATTAACATTCTTAATCTTTAGGTATAACTTATTTCTCTTTAAGCTTAATAAGGGAAGAAAATTAATTTATTACGATTCTCTATCAAATTATGCAGTAATTAATTATTATTTTAGCTATGGGCGTTAATTTACCAGCTCATCTTGTTATTATTAAGAACACTCAGCAATATGTCAACGGAGCGTATAAGGTGAATTAATTTCCATCATATTTCACTTATCTCTTTATACTTATTAGTTTAGTATAAAAATATACACAAAATTAACTATAGTGCGTTTGATTTAAGCTGAGCTTTGCATTTGTTTGAGTGCACACGGATAGTGTAAAATAGGTGTGATGTAAAATTTTTGAATGAAACGTTATTTTCTCGATTTGAACCAGTTTTTCTGCTTTTACTGCACCTTCCTCACTTCACCTTTTGTACTGGTAGCAACGTCAAATGTTGAAAACACAATGTCAAGTGAAGAAAATTTGTATTGTTTTTGCAAATTTTTTATTCTTAATAATATTATTTCCATAATATTTCATTTGGCCCTTTACAAGTTTTGCTTATTTTATTTTTAATCTAGTATACCTCTCGCACTTATGTTATGTTTTATTTAAAATAAAATAAAATTTAATTCTAAAAGTTTTTTGTCTATTATCCTTTTTTTATTGTCACTCACATAAATTCAAAGCTCAGCTTAAGTCTAATGGACTATAACTCTATTCATTTAAAATGCTATTTGATAACGTTTTTTATCGAAATAATATTTAATAAATAGTAAAAAGCTTTTCAAGAAGAGTGATTTTAGTAAAAAAAAAATGCATAGAGTTTGTCCGCGCAAAAGTGAAACTTCGTAATGTTGGAATGAAAACAGAAAGGGGTAGAAATGGATTTTTAAGGAATTTTTAATGTGTTTCTTAAGACAAACTTTAATATCTATAAGTCACAATTGATTGCTTCCGTTAAAACCCCCCTCAATCCCTCTCGGTCTGTCCCTTTTTAGCCCCCCTCCGGGGCGTTAAACGTTTAACGCAACCTTGTTGGAAGTTGCATATGAAGTTTCACTTCAATAAATAAGATTTTATTTATTTAAAAATTCTGAGATTTTATTTCAAAACTAATTTAAATATCTATATTAATTCTATTGTAATGTATATGTATGTCAGGAATACAGTATAAGTACTGTGTTACAAATGATCGGTAGAGCGGGTAGACCGCAGTTCGATCGTGAGGCGACCGCCGTTATTATGACCAGACTACAGGATAAGGTAAGTAAATAGATAGATTATGAATACATAAGGTAAGTACTACAGGTAAGGTAAAGCTATGTAAGGTAATACAGATGACACAAAAAATACTGGTGATAATTATTTGACTGGTTACTTTAGTAATAAATTTTATTTAACGAAACTTGTGTTCTAGCTTCGACTACGTACGAATTTTTCTAGTCTATGGCTGTAAGTCTGTTTTATTGCAATTTATTTCTAGTATTTGTTCCATAATACTTTGAATAGATAAATTAAATAAAGGTTTTGATTCTGCTTTTCGTAATTATGCTCGCTGATTTTCTCGTTTTTGGTGAGACTTCATTATTATTTCGTCGGTTCCAATTAAGTTATATTTAAATATCTTTGAAAGATATCTTCAATACATTGCATGCTTTTCATACAAATTGATTTACTATTTTTTCTGGATCTCTATAGAAAATCAGGAATTCTTTTAATCCAGTTTTGTTTGAAGTTATTTTGATTTTTTTTTTGGCTCTGTGTGTCTTAAATGACAGATTTTCTTTTACATCGGTACAGTGGTTGTTATAAAATAGGGTAATTAAGAAACTTAGCCTTCTAAGATTTCTGAAGTAATTATCCTAATTTAACACGAAGTTTCCAATAAATTAAAGATGTAATAATGTTAAAATATTTATTACAAAATATGTATAAAGATTTACACTAAAATATCATAAGTAATAGTACTAGAAAAATATTGTACAAAATATGACGTGATACATGATTAACCTAAGCGGGAAGGTCTTATGAGACACGGTAACTTGCATGACGAAAATTACAATTTTTTTTCACCTTAAACAAAAAAATCGAATTATTTGAACACGATAGATAGCGCACGTATCCTTATATTAGAAGAATCTATCAATAAACTGATTTCTTAATAATTTTCATATAAATATTGATATTGAAATAACTTAGTCTTTTCACACAACTATTTCTTGCCGAACGGATTAGCGTTGTCTTCGAACTTGATTCTTGGGACGAAACCGCTGTCACCATCAACTGTGTATTCGACGGTCATGAGCCTACCATCGGGATGTAACACTTGGTAACCACCTACCACCTTGCCTTGAGCGTCACCAGATTCATTTGCACCGAAAAACAATAGCTTCTCCTGATCAACCACGTCATATTTGTATTCGTACTGGAAATAAAAAATAATACTATTTTTATCGTGAAGTTATTAAGAAAACATCAATCAAGAAACGTATTTAAAACTTTCGATTACAATTATTTTGTAAAATTTAAAGATAAATAATGGTTACAGTACTATTTAAGAAATATTCGATAGTCATTTACCCGCGTTCATACATTCATATTTCTATACAAATGTGTATTTTTTTAAATAATAATAGTGATTTAGATTATAACCAAAAACCTACATTAGGTAGCATTAAATTCCATTGCATAGTTTTTAAATCATCGTATAACAAACATCCATAGACAGTTCATGCTTATTACAAAAGCGAAAGTTTGTCAGTATGGAAATTATGTTTGTTACTCCTTCAAAAATTACTGAATGGATTTTGATGAAACTTCACCATAATATAGCTTATTTATCAGAATAATATACATATAGACTATAATTTTTTCCGGAGTTACATGTAGTCTTCTTTAGATCAACAAATAATAATTGTATTTTCTATAAAGCCACGTGACTCACACTATAGCTATCACTCCGCTTGGTTACTATATACATATATTGTTTTAACACACTTTATATAAAAACTGCCATATATTATATCTAGGAGTATCAGTTTATTACTATAGGAATATCATTTTAATACTATAGAAGTACCACTCCTTAGTCATGAACAATTAAATCAAAGACAAATTTATTTTATGTTATTAGATTTAAATATAAACTATTAAATCAAGTAATCAAATACCATACAAAAAAAATCATGTAACTGATGTACTAACTCATTTATGTAACCTTACAACCAGTTCGCACAGTCAAATTAAATATAGTTTCCAGTTGAAATGAAGAAAACGAAGAAAACACTTTAAAATATCGAGTTTGTCTATACAAACTCTTAGTAAGGTTAAATAGGTTACAGTACAGTATTTTCTTCCTGGATATTTCCCAGCTTTAGCCAGGGTCTGCCTTACATGTTGTGAATAGTTTTGGCTAAATGTTTTTACGACCGGCCGCTCGCCTGACATCGACTCTCTTTGGTTACAGTATAGTATATTTATTGCAATTTTTTTTCTCCTCAGACTATAGTATATTTATTAAGAGTTTTTCATTCATAAATCTTCGCAAATAAACGTAGGGTATTAATTAAAAACGGAAAACGTTTCGTTTATAGTAAGACAATGGAAACTTGTGTTAAGTTGAGTGTAGTATCTAATTAGAGGGTCACACCGTTAGCATACTTGAGGTCTGATAGCAAATAGATTAGTGAGATATCATTGTAATTGTTAGGCCTTAGGTCGATCTAATGAGAATAATCGTGTCTCGCTTCAAATGAATTAATTGGGTTCACAATATTGTTAAAGAACAAGCATCTGACCGAATTGTTCAAGCTTAATCAGGTCACTACAAGGACAATTCAGAATTAGGACTTTGTTTTTTTTAATTGTTTTAAACTAAAAATAATATTCAAATTATATAAACTATGTGATTATCATCAGATAATTAGTTAGTTCAAGTTTTTATTCTTTTGCAAGTCTCGTGATGATTTCGCATACAAGATAACAAACGAGCAATAACATGTTGTTACGTAATTTTTTTTGCTCAATGACCGTCTTTGTTTATAGTCTTGACAATATTATCGAGGATCGCATTCGTTTAAATTTGGAATAAATTTTAAGAAATGTCGCAAATAAAAAAGGTTTAACATAGTTAAACTTTTTGGTCTATTGTGATATTGAGATAAAACAGATTGGCACTTTTATTCGTTTTAATATCGAATATATTCTTTAAAAAAACAATTAATAGAATTAAATTTGGAATAAATTTTAATAAATGTCGAAATAAAAAAAAATTAACATATTTAGAGTTTTTGGACTATTAAGATAAAACGGATTGACAGTTTTATGCGTTTGAATATCGAACATATATTTAGAATAAATAAACAATTATTAAATTATGTTTATATTATGAAAAAGGAGAAAATGCTTACTGGCATAGGTGGGTATTTTTCTTCCTGTGGCGCGGGCGCGCACACAATAACTCCCACGAGCATCAGAACCAACGCACAAGATAACATAGACATCTGTAACACACACATTAGGAATTATATATATATGAATATATATATTATTGCTTAATATTTGTTGTAACTTGTATATGTATATCTAAGAAAAACTTCAACATTACAGAAATAAAACAAAATTCATTCCGTGCAAGCAAATGATCGTTTCACATAATATGTTCTATATAATTATATATATACTTAAACTATTCTCTAGAAAATATTAAATATCTTTAATTCAATTTTGATTAAAACACAAATATAAATCTGTATAAAGACAAATAAGGAATCAAAAATTAATTAATATACTTATGTATTAAAAATATATGAAAAAAACAACTATTACATAAAAACCTACTACTATTAATCTCTATAGCAAATACAATTAAAATTGTTCCTTCAATGAGATGACAATGATTTTTATAAGCATTGTCTATCGTGGAATTAATGTTTGAATGTTCCTTATAATTCATCTTCTAACTCCACGATAACACACTATGCTGTATTAAAAGTTAATTTTTGTTAATCATAGTTATTAAGATAATTAACGGTTATTTACTTTGTATATTTTAATTTAAATATTTAGAAAAACATAAAAAATAATATTCTATAATATGTTTGGAAGCTCTAATAAGATGTACACATAAAATAAATAATTATTGATTTTACATATAATTATTATTATAACATATACATACCATATATCATGAGTCATGAGTATGAAAAAAATTCTTAATAAATGCCACATTCCATAATACATTATATAGATGCTAAATCATAATTTTCATATATTAATTTCAGATAATATTTCAACAAAACATTTAGGTATATTTGACTTTGCAACGTTCATAAAAAATGAAGTATGTCAATTTGATTCGGCCTCGCGTGATACATTCCTGAGGGAAAAATTGCTTTGTCTCACTACCGTTGATGTATTGCGTTGAGACAGCTTTTTGTTACAACGATTATCAAATTAAAATATACACATATATATATATAAAATATCTTTATCTATATATGTGCTTAAGTTCAAAAATTCATTTAAAGAACTTATGTAGTGATAGAAAAATAAAATAGTATCTACCATATAAAAATTACTTACGAACATCGAAAGTACCTTATGATTTTATTAAAATTAAAATGTTTCAGGTCTTTTGCGCTATAAGTAATATGTATATATATTTTAGTTACGCCTTTACAAAACAAAAAATACTTTAATGCACACATTTTTATCTGTTTTAATCCTAACAGAATATTTAATATAAAAAATTGTAAAAAACTAAAGAATTAATTTGCTTTTCTTGTATCGGATTCCTATTAAACTTGAAGCTATGTATAATTTTGTGTCATAACAAAAGCTTTAAAGCGTCACAAATATTTCGTTTCTAATTTATCTATCATCACAATCACACTCGTAGCCACTTGCGGTTCACAGATTGGCGAAGCGTAAACTGTAATTTGCCTATATCAAGGAAAATGGTTACTTAGCAATATTTACATTTACATACAAATATTATACGGCTTTCGTAGAAAATAATATTTAAATTTAATAATTATCATTCATGATTCGTAATAAAGATAGTATTTATTAGATTTTGACAATAATAATTTTTATTAAAACAATTAAATTTTATAAACGAGACCTTAAAAATTTTAATATAGACATAGAAAACAATAATTGTAAACAATAAATCCTCCTTTTTCAAAGTCGCTATATAAAAAAAAAATTTAATTAAGTTTTATTATACCTATAATAATATTAGAGAACAAACACAGTTTATTTGGAGAAAAAAATACGAATATTTTCAAATATTTTTCAAACATCTTCAATCTCACGTATTAAATTTTAAAGAACAATGGACATAAAAAATTTCAGTGTCGTATGTATATGTTTTTATATAAAAATTTCAATGGCGTGCGACATAATGTCGTATATATCTCGTAATAATGACCCACATTCACACCTTTTTATTACAACGCTAATCAACGATTGTCTTACTCTTAATGACTGGATAAGGCAATAAATTTCATATCGATTACTTCAGTAATGAAAACTATAAGCGATTTACGAAGTTTCAGTTTTAACTGCGTAACTAAATATACTAAATTCTATTATAATTAAATTTAAAATATATAAAAACTAACTGGTATGCAACAATGTGTAATAAATCTTTGCTAATCAACATAATTTTATTATTAGAGTATAAAAAAATAATAATATATGTTATTCCCACATATTGTAGTCTAAGAGTCCAAGGTTTTTAATCATTTAATTCATTGTAACTCACCGTTTTAACCGCTCGGTCAAACTATCACTAATCTCTTTGAATGCTGTGTCTCGACTGTGCCGGCACCCCGAACGTCTTCTAATATATACGCGACTCCCTGGTAGGAAGATAATGAAGTTGAGACGATCTTATACTATACAGTACAGTCGAAAACATTTTTATAATATTAATTACAAAACTTACTTAATATTATTACATGAAAAATAATTTTATTTCATACATTAAGATTTATTACGAAAAAAGTTTATCTAGTAATAATTTTATTTAAAAATAATAGAATTCGATTCACGGTAAATATTTTTATAACTGATTTTTTTCGAACAATTAAAGTATTATAAATTTCGACATTATTATTTTTTTGTAACAAATGCGTATAGAATCAGTGGGATTACATTTCATAATATTAGCTTGTATGGGAGATCTTTTCGCTTGTCAATCAATAATATAATTGTCCAATTCGTTAACCTTGAACCTTTTGGACGCGTGTTTTGTGAAACCTCCATTAACAATTAAGTCATTAAATGATTGCTTAAAAATATATATAATTATGTTATATAAAGTCGGATCATCCTTATTTTGTTTGTTAATTAAGTAATAGTCTTTTTAATTTAGATGGAAATCAGAATGTAAACAAAAGGAAAATTTTTATATATTTTTTTCATACATTAATTTGTATAGGTACGTATACATATTTAATTTGAAAATATATAAGTAAGCAGTTAAAGTATTGAAAATATATAAACAATTTGATGGTTTTAATAAGATTTTAATAATATTTAGAATAATTGAAATATAGAAATTATAGTATACGTATAGTTAGACAAAGTTTTAAATTTCTCTTGGCCAGAGATGGTTTATTTGAAGTTATTATTGGTACGGATTGCGTTATGTGGGCCGTTCTTCTTCCTTAAGATTGTCTCCACCACAAACTGGGTGAAAGTATTAGAATACAACATAATACCACACTTAAATTAATGTATTGAAGGAAAACGAATAAAAAATATGTAAATATTTATATTCAACATGAAATTATATACATAAATCGTATGTAATTATTTGTTACAATCAAAAGCATCACACATTTTTTTCGTTCATGAGAACTATTTCAATGTATTTTTTCACATTAGTAGTGCAGTTAATTATAATTCCGAACACAGCCTTTTAATAAACTAAAAAAATAGATATTTTAAATATATAGTAGTTTTTATATTACAATTTTGTTTTTCTGTTCTAAACTCGACGTGTTTTGTAACAGTGACTCAGAATACAATTAATATAAAAATTGTTTACGAATTTAACTCCTAGTCGTGATCCTGTAATAACATCTTGAAATAATGTTCAGTAGGTTTACCACAAGTTTTAATTATCACACTACATACGGAAAGTTTCCCGTTTCTCATTCAATACCATACGTTATTACTACAATGTGCAGATTTGTGGATAAAATACTGTTAAAATTCAGTATAGAGTCATGACGCAAACTCATTGTAAGTATACTTGTGTTTCGAATCCATTGTAACGAGTTTTTGAGTAACCAAATAAAATGCTCAATGATATACGTGCAAAAATAATTGCCCTTTGTTTTATTGAAGCGAATTATAATTTGAATTTCAGATGTAACATGTTAATTAGATGTTTTTTTTTTACTTTTTTCATCTTAACTTATTATGTATTCGATTTAAAATCGCTAATTATATTATAAAACATCAGGATCGTGCCGTGGCCCGCGAATTTGGAAGTAGGTAAGGTCAAATGGCATCGTTTGCGCCTTGTTCTGTGTTTTGCTGTCTTATGTCATTGCGACATACACGTTCACGTATACAAAGTATTACGTTTCAAAATTAAATACACTCTTTGATATATGAGACATTCAAGCTTCGTCAATGTTATAAATATGGAAAATCTTTGTACTGTAATGTTGGTAATTATGAGTATATTAAGGTTCTATTGATATTTGGCTATTTCAATGATACCGTCAATAGCGACCGGGCGATTCTCGCTTTGCATTACCATCTTCTTGTCTGAGTTGCAGAGACATTTGTATTTGTAAGCTTCCGGAGAGAATTTGTTCTCCTGATATTCCTGTATCTTCTGTACTATCAAAGCGTTTTCCTGTTCCAATAAATTTTTTTCGCGTAACAAAGCTCTCCTAGATAGATCAGCTTTCGATATCTTCTGCCATAACCTAGTTAATCCACTTGTAGTAATAATGGCGTTAACAACCATAGAATCTTCGGGCTGTCGTCGTACATTGACTTTAGTCTCCGTCGGTGAATAAGGCTGGTTCGTACCGAAAGGGAGCACTTTTTCGCGTTGCGTCTCATATTTACGACAAAGCGCCGCCATTCTTAGTATCTTCTCGCCTTTCTTACAAGCAGCTTCCAACCATTCCATCGTGCTGTCTGATACTTTAACTAATTTAGCCAATTGACTTTGATCTGTGTCACAGCCATTGACTAATGTTTTTTTCAATCGTGCACAAGCTGCCCTATGTCGGTTGCGGCGGTCTCTGAACACCGCTTGCTTGGTCCCTGATTCATACGCCGCCAGCTCAGCCCTAAGCCGTTTCAATAGGCCGTCGCTGTTCGCAATCTTCTTAGCTTGAGACGCTATTATGTCCGCCATTATGTTCTCCTTGCGTCTCAATTTCCTAACCATTTTTTGATTGTCAGCTGTTCCAACAATGTAAGCTTTTAATACAGCTTTATATTCATCCCACATAGTATTATAGGTGTTCTCTAAAAAAGAGCGTAGATTTTCCCTTTCGTTTGCGTACTTATTTCGGTCTTCGTCTTCTTTAACGAGGTTTTCGCCTCTGGTAGTCCAAGCTAAGTTATCGGCTGTCGTATGTCCGTGATATAGTAGCAATTGCAAATGTGTTTCAGCTGTATCATGATCGGCTATTATCCGTGCTGCTTCATTTTCCCCCGCTTTAAGAACATTCGCCGTCCTTATGTCATTGTTTTTCGATAGCAATTCCAAGTCTTGAAGGAATTTGTTGATCATAGTATCGATAGTGTCACAGAAACTCGCTACCGTTCGTTGGAACTGATCGTCAGCTACGTTCATTAGTTTGACGGTGTAGTTTATCAAATGGTCTTTCTTGTCGAATGCTCTTTCGAAGGTATGCCACATGACTTCTATGTCTTGCCTGAACACCGGTTCCTTTATTTTTAACATCATCTCTCGCCAACCCTTATCGAGTTCTCCACGTTTGCGAGCCTGAGCCGTTATTTCTCGCTGTAACTCCTCACATTTCAATTTCTTACGAGCCTCGACTTCAGCCTTTAGTTTTTCTAATCTCTTCGCCTCCTTCCTTGCTTTCTTTTCTTCTTTCGTTAAACCCATGATTATTTACTAAGAAAATAACAAAATACGTTATAAACTTTCCTGTAAAGTTGTATGTCAATTTGATAAATACGCACTATTTCAAATTTTGTCATAACTTATTGACTTTCGACGAATGTCAACGTATTATTTTCAACCAGTAACACGAGTACCTAATTATAAATTACTATAAGTTTTTTTGGACCACTTTATAATGATTATATTAATTTTCTAATTCGTTCATATACAAAATATTTCTCAGTCAAGATACCAGTCGCTAGTAGGTGGTTGTGAGCCATTACAGAGCTATCTTCACAAACGTCTGGCTGAGAACATCAACAGTGAGGTAGCTTTAGGTACTATCCGTGACGTACCTCAATGCGTCCAATGGCTGAACTCAACGTTCTTAAGAGTAAGAGCTGTTAAGGATCCGAAAAGATATCTTAATTTACCACATACAGCGACAGAGCAACTCATATCGAAAAAAATTGAAGGTACGTATTATCTTATAGTTTTTATCTTTATGTTTAGTCCAAGTAAAATTTTCCTAATACATTTAAATCATACCCAATTTTTTATTTAATACTAAGTTTAATGATCATTAAAGGAAAAACTATTAAATTACCATATATAGTGAGACGATCCCAAACTTGGATTAAGCATTCACTATATCAATAAAAATATATTTAATTGTTCATAATATATACATATATATAAAAATAAATAAAATAAAAATACCAATACAAATTTTCCTCATGACTAAAACCTTAAAGGTTAATACTAATCTACAATGTCAACAAAATATTTTCTTAATATACGAAATAAAGTTTTAAACAATTTATTCATATAAACGTGGTCAATTAAAATCTCATTCATATACCTAATAAAGTAGTCTTTGGCCTCTGTGCTCGCTGTAATTAACTATACGTATTAACCTTCTATATACTCTAAGCATCTGTCTGAACGGCAATCTTAATACATAACTGGTATTGTAATTATATATACAATAATATCATAGAAAATAGTTTAAATATCATAGAAAAAAATGTAAGTGATTTAAATTCGCGAACATATTCGTATATTAATTATTAATATTTTATTATATTTATAATTAAGTATAAAACAAATAAATTTACTGAATTTTATTTTAATATTACATATTTTTTTGTCTCAGTCTCTTTTAACAATCTAAAACAAAATTAAATAAAATGTATATTCATCAAATTAATATCTGGTCTGCTAATAATTATAATTGTTTTATTTAAGGATAAATTTATCTATTTAGATATAACATTCCAAAACAAATTATTTAAAAAACCTTTAATATCTACTTTTACATATTATAATTTATGTATATATATCGTTTCTTGGAACTTCCTTTCATTTTATTTTATCATTAAACATCTTCACTTCATTTGACCTCACCAAAAAGGAGTTCCGGGTTATATGACATTACATTTATAAAAAGAAATTCTGACCTAGACATTTCAATAAAAAAAAACATTTTTTTAGCAAAATATAATTCTAACGATATCATCGTTTTAACAGTTTTGTAATTAATAACAAAAATATATACATATAATTATAATCCATATAAAATATTAACATATATAGAAGTAACATGCTCATCTGCCTGCATAACATTTAACTATAAATATCATCGCCTTACATGAACTAACACGATACCTTCATATCATATAAGGGTTATGGCATTCGTTCGCGGAATAGATTATCTTTTATCTGATACATGTTTGTATAAACAAAAATATACATACCATTATGTATGCGATATTTTTAATAATTTCCTTTAAATTTAGTATAGTTAAAACTTTTAGTATGTTTGCAATGTCAGTTCATGGCATTTGCATGGCAAAGGTGCGTCGATCAGCCTTGAGCTTTAAACCTATTTGACGATTAATATACATATATATAAAGTTTAGTATATAAGATCCTGCACACATTGAAACCTACGTACATATACAGGGTGACTGGTGAATTACTATCAATATTTAAGGAGAATACTCGGTACATGATTCTCATTCGAATTATGTAAAAAAAATAGGCACTTAATTTTTGACAAAATTTCCGTATAAATAAGTAAAGTGTTGACACGTTCCAAGTGTTCAAGTGTGGACGCGTGCGGCGGCGTGCTGATACAACACTACGTCACGACACGCGTATGTGTGAGTGTCAGTGTATACCTAATCTGTAGGGTGTTCACACGATGCGTAATTAATTACATAACTTTTGGTTAACTTTACTTAGAAGTTTATTAATATTTATGTTATATTAATTTTTATTTCGTCATATATGATCGTCAAATATCACGTCCTCAAATATCGATAGTAATTCACCAGTCACCCTGTATATATATCCCAAATCCCAAGTAATATTTCAGAGTTATGCGTAAGAGCAATGAACGGTCTCCAAAGTTCAGGTCTTATAACTATGGATGAACTGGCATGTATTGAGTCGACAGAAGCCGGTCGCCTCATGTCCATGCACTATCTAGACTTGGAGACTATGAAGCTGATAATGAAGGTCTCTGTATGAACATTGAATATTATGTAAACGATGTTTTATTGTCAGTTTAATTTACAGTTTGTCGTAAAGGACGTTCGTCATTAGCTTTTGTAATCACTGTAATATTAATTTATATAAGATTTTTTTTATATTATCGTAGTGAATTGTTATAAAATTGTTTTTTAAGGCATTCATGTTGTTCTATGATGTAGACGTATAATCTACCAGAAGGGTTATCGTGTGTAATTAAATATCAAAGAAAGTCACGTTAAACCATTTATAACTCATGTACCGATTTCGTTGAAGATTAGTGATGAGATAGGTTAGAACGAAGAGAAAGACATAGGATACTTTACATCCCATTCAATAGAAAAAGAAAAAAAAACATTTAACTTGAATTCGTATGCGGAACTGAGTTCAAGAGATCAGTTATACATTTCTAATTTTAAAATAGACGCGGACGGAGTAGCAGGCAAAAACTAGTTACACACCTAGATGAAAACAATCGAAGTCTCTTTATAGTTACGAAATTTAATTTGAGTTTTTTTTTCTATCAAACACTCATTGTATATGACAATTATACGCTAGTTAAAAATACAGCTATCGAGTTTTTGTGACAATTTGTTTCGGATAATCTCCGTTACCACTAACAAGAGTTGTTACTAGTAAAAACTTAGCTTAAATTTAATTTAAAAAATCGCATACTAATTCACTAGTAGGAAATATAATTTGTACTTAATCTTTTATAACAAAAGTAAAAGTATAGAAAGTGTTTAATATACAAACAAAGGTATTAAAACAAAGGTAATAAAACAAAGGTAATTGAAACAGATAGAGGGCGATGCGTCGCTGGATCGTCTTTTATGGTTGGTATGTGAGAGCCATGAACTATCAGATATGTATCTCCGTATAGATGAAAGAAGATGCCTCAATACACTCAACAGGAATAACACTTCATCTACTATTAGGTATCAAATGAAGGGAAAGATTACTACGCGACAGATGAAGTTGAATTGGTATGTATATTACACACACACACACACATACACACACACACACACACACACACACACACACACACACACACACACACACATACACATTAAAAAAGGCAATAACTATGTTATACAAAAAAAGTATTGAGTATTTTGGTCAATGTAGAATTTATAAGAGATTTTTCCTTACAAAATTTATTAATAATATTTTTATTACGGTATAATTAACAAAAACATATTATATATAGTTTTCTTTTTCTATTTGATATTTTAATTTCGTATATTTATTGGCTATATTGCTCATAATAAGCATATATTTTTATAGCTTTATTTTACAACCTATAATTATATGTATATATGTAGCTCCTAGAAATAATACAGAAATAACAAAATTCCCCTTAAAGGTCAGTCCTTTAATTAGTATATTTTTATATATAATATTTTAATATTCATTCAAAACATATCTCTCACCTCTGTATATTATAATTTAAACGCTTCCCAGTTATTAAAGTTGTTGCACCTTTTACTAAGTGCCGTCGGTAACGCTTCGTTGACAACAGATTACCATAATTTACACAACCAAATAATTATAATAAACCTTAACCGATATATAATAGATGGCTGTGTAATGGTATTCAGTAGGGTGACCATACGTTATGGAGATATTATAACGGGATCTGTAGTATGAGTTTGTATATAAAACTGAATACGCTTAGTTTAATGGTTTTCACTCATTAATATTCGTAAATAATCGTATTGGTGTGATTTTTACAAAATAATAATAATAATTTACAAAATAAAAATAATAATAATACTTTTATGCACATGAATTTATTTTTTTTATTAAAATTACGTACGCTATCACTAAAAAGGTGTAAAATACTTTAAAAGTGTAGAAAATTAACTTTGCTTATGGTTACAATACTTTTCTATAATAAATAATTACATTTTAAAGAGTCCAGGCTTCTTTTAATATGCTGTCAAATATTATATATGCCATTCTTAAGACATTTTTAAAACGGTATAATTACACCTCAAGAAAATGCCATATTTTTTTAAAAATATCCTTTGCATATAAATTACTCTGCCACGTCCGGGAAGATTTACTGTTTTATCCTTCAATATGTATTTTTAATCATATATTTATAATAATAAAATTATGCATAAATATGTATATTATTATTAGTACTATTATTATTATATGTAGGGTACTACTATTGGCTTACAAACGCATCAAGAAAATATGTAAAAAGCGTAGAGTGTTATATAATCTTTAGCCCAAATATTACTTAAAATTTGTATAACTAAATATTGGATTAATTTTGTCAAAAGAAAAGTCATCATATATTATTTTGTGATCAAGAAACGAAAGATCTTTGATTTACAAGGATTATTTAAGCTATTATACTTAGTGGAGTCAGAGTTGTTATCTTTCAACAATTTATCACTTAATTTTTTCGTACTTTTTCATAGTACTTTAAAATTTATTTATCTAACTCTTAGATACATATTTTCAGTATAATCCAAGCTGTACTCGGTTGTCTCCCAATACCCGATCCTTCTTTGAACCAGGAAGCCTTAAAAATAATGAGAATAGCAGACAGAGTTTGCAAATGTTATATTACTTATAAATATTTGAATATTATATCTTAAAACGCGGTTAAAACAATTAAAATCATTCCCATTTTTTTAGGTCTCGTTTCATATATAACACGTCCAAATTTTATATCTGATAAACCGAAATTCTATTCGGCGATATTAAATGCTATAATATTAGCTAAATGCATCACGGCACATTTGTGGGAGAATTCTTTGTATGTAAGCCGTCAGTTGAAAGGCATTGGACCAACTTTTAGTACATTGCTTGTGACGGCGGGTAAAACAAACTTCATGTTGCTAGAGGAAAGTCACCCGCGCGACTTAGAAAGGGTAGCTCTATATTTAAAAACATATATATTTGCGTAAAATTCGATGGAATTAACGTAAAAGTATGAATGTCCACAGATAATGAATAAAGGTCCGCCAGTTGGTAATATATTACGAAAACAAATTAGTTTATTGCCAAAATATAGTATAAATATAACTCAGTTGAACGAAAATACAGTTAAAATACAGTTATTGTTACTAAATCAAGCTTATTTAGCTGAGAACATAGAGCATTTAACAGCCGGAGTGACTCATAAATGTTACATCATAGTGGGAGATTCGGAGAACTTCTTACTATATTTTTCAACTTTTAAGTATGTTTTGCCATATATTTTTATGATTATTCTAAATTCAAATTATTTGTAACATACATAGCTTTTATGGCTACAATGGTTTTTACACAAAATAATAGTAAATAATTAAAATATTCTTTGTTATAAAATTATATAGGGATTCTGACCTCATTAATGTATATGACGGATGTTTGAGCTTCGAAGTTAGCAGGAAACATACATGCAAACACAAAATTACTGCACATTGCGTCAGTTCCAGTTTTGGTAATAACCTGTTCATACGGATTTTTAACATAAAAATTATTACTACTTATTTAAATGATATCTTTTAGTCGGGATCGACACTCAATGCGAATATTTCTTTGAAGATATCAATCCATTTAGCAATACAAATATAACTCCTAACAACATCCCAGAAAAGATAAGTCCTAAAATACAAAGTCACACAGATAAGGAGGGTAACGATCGCAAAAGAAAAATCAATAATAATAAAAAATCAATGCCACATGTAGAAAAGAAGAAAAGACAGTCAATACAAGACTTTCTAACAAAAAAAGAGCCTTTTGGAAGAAATTCTAAATGTTGGTTAGGGAATTCAAACATTATGATGGAAGAAAAGCAAAAGATTCCAGAAAAAACAGAATCACTTGAAGTTAAATGTGATATCACTTCAAATAACGAGAAGGCAGTTGATAATAAATTTGCATATTCTATTGATGAAGACGATTTCCTTGAAGACTTCGATTACGAAGAAGTGGATGATGAAAAAATAGACGAGTTGTTAAATGAAATAGAGAATGAAGTTAATCGTCCCTCGACATCAACATCGAGCCATACATATATACAGAAAACAAAACTAGACTATAATACTAACAGTTCAAAGACACATAAAACTAACTATTACAGAGAACTCAATAATAAAAGTAATGTGAAAAATAATTTCACATGCATTGATAGAATCGAAAAAAATAATGAAAATGATAACGATAGTATAACAAATAAAACAACTGGCTTCTCGGAAGAAATAAAAAATCACATTCAACAATACTTACGAGAAACTCAAAATAATGTAAAAGGCATAGGAACAAATTTAACTGAATTAAACATAAATTTAAATATCGACAAACCGAATGATACACGTGAAAAAAACAACGAAGTGGAAGATAATGATATTTTTAGACCACAAATTATAGATTTAACTGGGTCAGAAGCACAAAAATATAATTGTCCAACAAAAAATTACAACTCAGAAGAAATCTTTAATAACGATTTTAGTTCCGAGGCTCTGTGTTCTAAAACTGTTCAAAACACAGGCGGTGATATAACAAACGAAGTAGCTGAGATATTTTTAGACCACAATGAAATAAATTCGATTGAAATCGAAACTGACGAAGAAATGTCGAACAATAAAGAAAAATCTCTAAATGAATTTCTTAGACTCAGCCATCTTAACAAGAACCCTAAACAAGATATTAATACTACTGACATACAATCCATAACAAAGCCTCAAAACACTCTGCAAAGGCCTACACAAACTTCCAATGTTCTCTGTATTAGTAGTGACTCTGAAATGGGACTGTACGAACAAGATTCTGTAAAAAACCCTGAACCAATTCCAGAAAATTACTTAGAAAAACCATTAAATACTTATAAAACACAACAAAAACCATGCACAAGCTTGTATCAGAATTTCCAATCTCCCTTAAATCCCACTAAATATAATTTGGACAATAATGATCGAAATATGAAAAACGAAGGTTCATTTAAAGATATAAGAAAATATTCATACAATGAAGTAAAAACTGTTAGTTTTCACAAAGAAAATGTTACTAGAATTTGTACTTTAAATGTTGCTCTAGATGTAACCGACATAGTCCACACAAAACACGAACCAATAATTTCTGAATATAATTTTGATTCCAAAAACGAAACTAATGAAAACTCCAGTAAATATAAGAAAGACACAAATTTGCCGATAGATCTTAAAACTGAAAGTAATAAAACTTTGATTAAGAATGATAGTTCATATAAATTTAATAACAAACATTATATAAGAGAGGTAAAAAACATTGCTCTAGAAAAAGGCCAAAAAACTAATCAGATTATTCAAGAAGATAATAAAAAACCTACAATTAGAGACATCTTAATGAAGTATAGTAAAAATGATCAAAAGTAAGTAGAAATTTTCTCTACCTTCATAGACTTCTATTATAATCAATTATTCAAATATACATTTTTGTAGAACATTTCTCATCAATTCCACAGTTTTTGATATATGTTAATACTTAGTTAAATTTTTACCAATATAACCATCATTTATATATTTTTCTAGTAAAAGTTGTTCAAAGAATATTGAAACAGAATCTCAGCTTGGACCATACCAAATAGATCGTTCAGAATTAAAACCAAAAAGAAAATATAGAATATCCGACTTAGACAAAATAGAAGTTAAACTACCGGAATCGTTGATACCAAGTCAAAATACAAGTACAAACCACACATTAAGTTTCCCAACAAAAACTGAACCCAATTTACATTTTACAAACCTTGAGGAAATACAAGATGAAATTATAACTAATAAAACAAATGATGAATATAACGACAGTTCAACTGATACAAATGAAGATTGTAACAAACCCGACTTAGAAGAAACAGATTTAAATTTAGAATGCGAATCAACTAACGACTTGTTTAACTTAGACGAAGCTATACTAGACCCTAAAACACTTCTACAGTCGAACTCAAGCAATGAAGTTATTATTCCACCACCGGCTGAATTCTGTGATAATTCACTTAACGTGTCTCCACAAACAAATCTTCCTAGCATCGATTCTGGATATGATCCACAATATTCAGCTTTAGACGATACTAACGAAGTATCTCCTACAAGCTGCGATGATGAAATAAAAGATATATTTACCTCTAATTTCTCACAGTACAGTAATTTTGCTGTATACAATCAGAGCTCTTCTGGTATTTTCAATCTATTCGACAACAATAGAAACGATGTAATAAAATCTCGTTCCTATAAATTATCACAATTTAAATTTAACCGCAAGAAGATGTTTAAGAAGTAATTTAATTAGTTTTATTTTTTTAAATATAATCTTTCATATGATTTTGAATATAAAAAAAACAGTTATTCTACAATTCTACCTATTACAGTTCATAATGAAGCTTTTTAAAGTTTCCTCTACTGTATAAACTTTTAGATATGATTATTTTCAAAACGTGTTGTAATTTTAATGAATGAAAATTGTATTTTTTAAATGTTAAGAATTTAACTAAAGGCCTTTAACAATTGTAACCTGTTCATGAGAATAATTAAACTATATATAATATAGAAGACGAAACTGTAATAGAAAAAGAAATTGAATTGATGTAATAACTTTGATTTTTGTCATCATTCAATATATTAATTGTCTCATATGCTGTACTTATTTTCCTAGTGTGGTGAAAAAAAAACACTTTTAAGCAACACCAAACTTTATTGTAATAAGAGCAGATATAATTTTAAGGCAAGAAAAATATTTCATTCATGAATAAATACGCAGCTGAAGGAAGATAGAATTTCATAAATTTCACGACAGGTATAAAATATCTAAGTAAAATTACATTATTACATTAATTAAAGTAAAACCAAGACTGACTAAACATAAAAATATAACAAGTGAAATTTCAAAGTCCCGATGTTTGGGGGGCATTATAATTTTATTTAGTTGGTCTTGGTTGAACAGAACTCCAATCCTTTACTCCACGTAGTCTTTTCTAAGTTGAACAGTGCGACGTCGTACTGGCAGGTTAACTCACACCATTCAATTTAAAAGAAACTCGGTCAGTGCCTTGTCCCCGTCCTTGTAACAGACAGACAAACAACGACGACACGGCACGAGTAGAAAATGTTACAACCTCTATACTTTGCATTAAAATAATGCCCATTTTCACAGGCAAGGGATCCTAACATCGCAACCGTTAATTACTAGTGACGTCATCACTCTAACACCTAGTTCTCAGCTTCCCTGCAAAGTTTTCAATCTTGTATGAAAAGAAAACCAATATTAGCACTGATGAAATAAATTATTATGATTTTTTTCATATAATTTTTCGCAACCTGCCTCTTCTAATAATTGCACATGTTACCTGCAAGTTCCGAACCTTGCACTTTGTATGTGTAGTGACTTCAAGGGTTTACAAAGCAAAGGTCGGGAAGTTCTTCAACAAGACTACCAGCTGAGAATATTTTTTTCCGTTTAATGCTCAGCATGTTACAAGTATCCTCAACACACCAGACATAACAATATTTAATGAAATATATGACAATTCCAACTAAAAACACCACAAATGGCTAACATGATATTGATTATATATTATATTTAAAAGCTAATATTTTTGGGTAAGTATGTATGATTTATATTATAAATGCAAAAACATGCCTAAATAATGCTGAATATTAAACTGGAAATTTATAGTCCACACTTTTTTTTGTTTTTTTTTATTATTTTATTATTTTTTTACACTTTTTTTTTAAATTATTGAGTAATTTCCACGCTGGGAAAATTACACTAATTCTATGCAAAGTATAGCTTGTATTTGTTATATGACCACTCCATACTTTGTTTCTTTATGTTCACGGGCTATGTTATTTACTCTCGCACATTAGCAGTGATGAAGCAAGACAGAGACCAAACCCATATAATTATATATTAAATTTCATTAATTAGTAAAATAATGTACTTTTAAGCGTTAATAATTCGTTAAAATAGAATTTTCATATAAAATAAATATTATGATTACTGTAACACAACTGACAGAAATCTAGTTGTGTTATCAACAAATATATCACTTTAAAAATTATTGAGAAAACTCATTGAAATATAATTTTAAACTTTATAAATTATTATGTTGTTGAGATCATCATAACATAACTTAAAAATCCTTAAAAGGAGTTATGTTTTATATAAAAGCTTATGTCGAACCAATATATATGTGTATTGTATACTGCAAATATGCCAGTTATACATCATAGCCCGAAGTGAAACTGCAGAGGCTGAACTGCCGTCAATATGGATAGTGGTAATAAACACTCAAAACCTAGCGACACCAACCCTACCTATGACATTCTATGCTGTGACTAAAATTTCTGAATATAAAATGTAAAATGAGAAATCGTAGTGGCCATATATAACATGCATAGGTTGGCTAGGATCAATTGATGTCGCGCGACGTGATATTATCACTTTTTGGTCATAATTTTGAGATATTCCAGAGCATTTTGAGCCGCAGATGATTGAGCATCCTTGCTCGTTAAACCTGAACCATAACAAACAGCCACAGGTAAAGTTGACAACTGTACCAAGCACTGGGAGCGACCTGTCATTGTCTTCTCTTCTATATCAACATATGTCACTTCAAAGGACTGCTCCGATGCAATCTCTTGTAAGAACTGAACGAAATTGAAGTCCTTATTGTTGAGCGGTGTTACCTGGAAAATAAATATTTAACATGATGTTAGTCCATATTATAGATAATATTCAAATGATTTTGTGTAACACAGTAATACATTTCAATAATATCTAAAAGATTATTTATACAAAAAGGTAGTTCACACTTTAATTCCTATACATAACACATTTTACAACAACATGATTACTGGATTCATTATCAGCAAGCAACAAATAACACATACATTCCAAATGCATAAAATATTTCTCAGTAAAAACACAATTCCCTTAACATAACATTCATAACAGCTACAGTAGTATAATAAATAAATAAGCAACTGAATATATAACATTACTCTGATGTATTAATTATAAAGCATCACTCATAGTCAACTCATGCATATAAACACCATATAAACATCAAACATACCTGCAACTTGACCAGGTTGGGTCCCACAGATTGTTTGAGGTGTTTGTGGAACTGCGACACTTTGTGGCTATGGCTGGTCGTGAGTGTTGTTATTTTACTATCTTTCAGATCGGCATATCTCGCCGCTACACCGCCCTAGAAAAATAATTATATTATACAATTTTTTTTTTTTTTTTAACGGGTGGGAAATCCTCATGGATACCACACGCCCCGGGGGGGGCGTGTGATTATGCCGGACTCTTACCGGCTAAAACCCACCCGGTTACCTTCAGCCGCTATGAGGGGACTACAAGGGGTCGCTTGCGCATTCTACCTCGTAGCCCCGGAATTATATTATACACTAACATAACCATATTTATTTGATGTTGAATTGGATTTTTTATTTGATGTAAAGTTTGAATTGATCATGTTTAAGGTAGGGCGAGATTGTCTATCGGTTTGTCATTGTTATTAGTTTAGTTTTAACCAAAATCTAAACGTTTTTTGTATTTGATCACTTATGTATGAAAGTCCACGATTTTCTCAAAGTTTACGGATTTCATTTGAATAGATTTTTCCGTAATTTAAAGGTATATTTATGAAATAAAAAAGATTTTAGTACCTGTACAATAATTAAATTGTTATTAAGACAAATTGTTTGCATGTTCTATTGATTGTATTTTTTTTTGTTTTAAGCGGCTCATATTATTAATTACCAATTACGATCAGTGTTAGTATGTTATTGATAGACCTTGATTCATTCATGTAAGAAGTAATATGTATAAGAAAATAATTTAGTTCCTCAGATAAGCATTAATAAATTTGTTAGTTAAAGAGTTAAAAGGCAAATATTTAAATATATTTAAGCCCTGATATATGAAATGCTAACACCCACGACAATCCGACGAAAGATAGTAAAACACCTGGCCAAGTGCGACCTTTCAGGACCACAACTCAGTATTTCAGTGACAAATGATTTTCAATTTATACAATATGTTAGCTAAATATCAAAAAATGTTTAATATCAACTTCACAATGAATTTATATGTACAAAGCAAAAACAAAAAGTTTTAATTCAAATTCAACAAGTGCCAAGCGAATGAGTACTTTGTATTGCAGTTGCATTGTTTGATATTTCATTTTATGATTTGTTTGAATTTAATGAGAAAAATATATTATTAATACCTCTTCCTCTGGTTGAAAAGCTTCTGGTGGATTATCTTGTAATGCTTGCCACATCTTGTAAGCCGCTTGTCTTTTTGCAAGTTTCTTTGATTTCCCCGTACCTACTTCACGACGTTTAAGCAGAGTACATATTATAGTGAACTGGCGTTCGTGTGGCAGACCTGAAATATTAATAAAATACATCAAATAAATAAAAAGATATCTTATAATTTTAAGTGCCAGTAAATAGTAACAGTAAAAAAGTATTATATTACAGAAAACAATGGTATGATAATGACTGGTGACAAAGTTACCATATTTATATTAATTACAAAATAAATATATAAAATAATTGATTTATTTTAGAGTATTGAAAAAGTAAAGTCTTACGTCTGGCAACATTATCATCATTCTCAGCGTGGTAGGAAGGTGGTGGCCAAAAACGAGACATACAAAGTTCCTGAAGCCATCCTACAGGGTTGCCCATTAATTTATCTTCGAATGACGACACCACTGTACTTCTACAAGTTAGATATTAGTTCAAACTAACATTTTAATGAAAGAAAATTAGAACTGTATTAGTTCTTTGAAAGATTCAGGAAGTAAACATCCTTTTTATATAAAATACTGGTTTTATTTAATTATTAAGGGAAATATATTTACGTTTCTGGGACTGTTCCATTGGTAGGCTGATCAGCTGGTGTAGCACCAGTAAGTTTATCCAACAGAGCCTTTGCCGCTGAATGTTTGGCCTCCTTCTTAGATCTCCCAGTGCCTAAAGCTGGAATCAACGTAAATTTGCCATGTTAATACCTTTTATATACATTTAAATAATATAAAAAAAATTCTTCTCACAGGCTATTATAAGAAAAAATGATTTAAGCTGTAAAACTTACAGACCAAAGTGATAGTGTTAGATACAAGTATTACATAAAACAATAATATGAGGTTATTAAATAAACAATTTATTCCTTTATTACAATTGGAGAAACATTTGTTAAAAAAAATACAAATTTAGAGAAAGGTCACCTATATAGGCTGTAAATTAATAATTGCCGATCTACCCTCATTTAGAAATTATTTCATACAAAACATTACTGTTTTTATACTCTCCAGAATAAAATTCCAACAAAACTCTAACTTTGAACAACTTTAATCACTTTAATACTTACCAACAAGATCGGCAACAGTTACTCGATAACGAAATGTGGGTTCATGGATCATACCCTCGATCTGAACCAACTCATATTTGGGAACTGTGCCTCGTCTAGCCAGAAGCTCTTGAAGCACTGATACTGGCGTTTTCATTGGAAGAGATTCCATTTCCTAGAGAAGTATATTTGATTAACAAATAATCACGTATAATACTAAATTAATAAACAAAACAACAAAAATTACAAAGAGATAACCAAAAGACCACTTTGAACATTCTGAGAGTAGTTATAGTTTTGTTTACAACAAGTAATTGCAAAGTATCATTAAGATACAGTCAATAATGTCACTAAAACATACAGCTTTTATATTTATTTATTTGTTTTTGCATAAATATATGAACTTCATCATACTAATAATAATTGACTTCAGATGAATATCCAATGAGTGGGTTAAAACTTAAATTTTATGTGGAATATTCATGTTTATATCATGGACATACATAATAGTTACTTCATGATAAATATGTAATCAAGATGAAAAAATTTCTCCCGTTTTTTAAACATTTACCACTATATCTTTGCTCTTATTGGTCGTAGCGTGATGTTATATAGCCTACAGCCTTTCTCGATAACTGGACTATCCAACACAAAAATAATTATTCAATCCGAACCAGTAGTTTCGGAGATTAGCGCGTTCAAACAAACAAACTCTTCAGCTTAATAAATTTAGTATAGATTAGCAGTAATAAAGCAACGAAAATCTAAAAACTTTAAAGAATCTTTCGTATTATTATAAACATGATGTTACCCTCACCCGTTTAGCTGCTTCATCAAGTGGTAGTCTTTCCAGGTTGTTGATAGGCTTGGGTCTGTTAGGATATCGCCGGCGAGGGTGTGGGGCGTGTTCACTGTCAGGGCCTGCGTGGACCGGCATCCCATGGATGACTGGAACACCTCCATGCACCACGCCGGGATGTGGATGCACTACTCCACCGTCCATCTGATTCACAATAATAAACATTACGATAACGTTACTGCAAGGAATTGACGTATTTCAAATATTTATACACGTATTTATGCACGATAATGTAAATATTTCGTATAGTAATATTTCGGAGTGCGGCATTCAGTTGATTACATTATTTTCATATTAGTTACGATCAATACGTACAATGGACCGGCTTTCTGTATAGTATATGACGGAACTTTAAATGTAACACGATATAACAGAATTTAAAGGATATAAACAGGAAATATTTTTATCAGTTATCAGTCGAATTCGGAATGAAAAAACTCAGACTAAAACATGTGATTACAGGTATGACATGGCGCCCAGGACCCGGCCATTACCAATTTAGCACCTCAAGATGGCTACAGACATGCCGGCATTTCCGAAAGTCAATTTAAATAAATGTCTTATTTAATATAACACAATGGTATATTTACATTACATATTCTTAACCACTATTTTCGTCCCATATAATTTGTTTACGGATTAAACCTCTATAAATTAATAAACTTACCATTTTGTGTAATCTATCCACTGTTGGTGCTGTACTAACAAATCAACGAGATTTTGAAATTGTCTAACGTATTTCAAACCTCGAATTAATCTTAATTTTCACCCAAACCAATCAATATTTATAGATAAAACGCCGCTAACCTACTTCACTCAATTCATTCCATCATTTTTATTTTTGTCTATCATAGAGTATTAACTATTTTATACATGACATATGTAATGGCATACAGAGTAGAAATGGAAAGACAGAACAGATTCTAATTCCATAGACAGTGATGACAGTATTATTATTGCTCCTATTGATTTTATAGAAATGTAATGAAAAGTTTATTAAAAGAAACTGGGTAATGTGTGGGTACAATGTCAAACATCCATAAAATAACAGGGGAAAATATTTGTCTCAATGTTTTTCTTGAGATTGCACAAAAAAGAATAAGTATGTATGTGTAAATATGATGGGTAAGAATATTAAAGAATACAAGTATTTTGCTGTTATTTTTTACTACATTTTTGAAAATATATTTAAGGTATTGTTTGTACTAAATAAATTGTTAACAAATAGCACAACTTAAAATATCAAGCAACCAAATTTCGGATATGTTTTTATAAATACTATTATATTATATATATCGGATTTATTACAAAATCGTTGTTTTAAAAGAGAGGGACGCCAGCCTCGCTGACGTTACAAATGTCACCTCTTCTAGTACGGTCCATGATATTTTAAAATGAAACTTCAAATGTTCTTATTGCTCCTGTATTTCTCAAAGATTTTTCATAATAACATACTTCAATGATACACACTCACTGAACTCTGAATTATCAATTCTGAAGTCTCAATTCTGGAGTCCGCCGTCGTGCGTCCAGACGTCATATTTATAACAAGATTCAAACATAGTTCTATTCTCCTTTGATTTCGTTTTACTTTTAACGTTGGCTTAAAAGACGTAATGATCAAGTGGTTGAAATGCTTGAGTATGAATTTTTTGGATGTATTTTAATAACTCAATTTTCTGTGTCTAGCATCAACAGATCTAAAGAATTGGAATGAAAAGTGTTCATTCCAAATCAACATAGTTTTAACTTCTTATGGTTTTTTTGGTAAAATTGTGTCTTTGAATTATTTTATAAGAAAATGAAACTTAAGTTTTTCGGATAGCTTTTTTTATTATTTTGTTTCTACATATACAATCTTTGGGTTCCTCTACAACAATTATGATCACGGGCAGGCGAGATGTATAGTGTCTTTTGAAAAAAAACGCGTATTAAGAATCCGAAAGTTAATTTTCATTTAAATGAGTACTCGCGAAAAACTTACATGTATTTCAAAACTATTCCATATTTTTCCAAGCACCCATTTTATTCTTTTGTGATGTTTCTTTTTTTACATAATAAAATTCACGAAGTTAGTAATGAAGGTGACAGTTTTCCCATATTATAACAGTATTTATAACATAGAGTTTAAAGACTGCAAACATAAGAGTATCTCCTTTCACTAAACAATAGAATTCACAATGATGAATTAAAATGCAGGAAAATAGTTTGCATTGGAAACAGGTGGAATAGATTTAAAATATTCTACTAAAAGTTCAAAAGATACTAAGTTTAATATTACATAGATCAATTGCTCTGATATATAAGTTTTTAATAATACTTAACCACAATTAACAAAATATTGAGTAAAATATACTTAAACTCTAGGGGAGAGTGGCTCGTCCAAGAAGTAAAATTATCTTGTTAAATATTATATTAAAAGAAAATTATTAATAGAACAGAAAGGGGAATCGCAAAAGATCTATTGTATGGGAATTGATGAATTCTTAAGCTCTAAGAATTGAAATCTTCTTCTTCTATATATATAAAAATGGATTGCTGTTCCTTAGTCTCGCTAAAACTCGAGAACAGCTGAACGGATTTATCTTATCTTAATCTTGAAATGTTTGTGGAGGTTGAGGGAAGGTATAAAAGCTGAAAAAAATTGATTCATTACTGGAAAAATCATAAAACAGCCCTTTTCTATTTCCCATACAAACTTTTTTTTTGACATTAGATTTGACAACTAACTAATATGTCAATCATTCTGTCGCACTTCAAAACACGAAGATTTATGGCTTACAGGTAAACTCCAAAAATATAAATAAAAAAACGTAACAGATATAGTATCTTGATTATAGGGCGATACGAAGTTCGCCAGGTCTTCTAGTATAATATATTATATTTCATCACCATATAACATCACCAAAAGCTAATGATAATATAGAGTCTCGTCTCCAGACATTTCAGCAAAAAGTAAAAGGATTCAAAACAAACCATATTATAATGAAGCTATGCAAATTAGCGTGGTCGATAATGATAGCAGCAACAGAGAGCTTATTAGACAACGCTAGCGACATCTACTTATCGGGTCGCGTATTACTTCATAAGTTTATAACAATACCTATACAATGGGTACTGCTTTTAAAATATCGATGAGAGAAATCATGTAATATATTGATAATAATGATTATAATTGTCATAACTAAAATGAATTATTCAAAATAATTGTATGAATAAAAATGTCACATTTAATTAGATATGGCTAGTATTATTTTTTATTTACTTATACATATTTTAATTGTGTCCTTATTTTAAATTTGGATTTGGATCAGGTCTATAAGTGTTTCCAACATCCACTTTAAATCATAATTGGTACTTTGCTATACCTTAAATTAACATAATGGTCCCTCCAAAAAACACGACTGTTATTCCCTGATTTGTATATACTTAAAGCTTACTTAATAATTTCCATTTCTTAGTATTCTTCATAGTAAAGTAATATAATGAAGTTAATTAAATGAAGGGCGCGATTCAATTATGACGTTGTTTTAGTAACAAACTAACTTTATTTTTCTCTGTTTTTGTAACCTTGCCCCTTTTTTTTTTTTTAAGGGGAAAATCATCAAATGACCCCTCTTGCCTGGGTGGGGCAAGAGGGAGTGTCAGACTCTTACTGACTGTAACCTTGCCCCTAGTATAGGTATAATTAAATTTGGAGTTAAAATTAATTTAAAAAAAATGTAACGGACCGGCCTCATAACACTAAGTACCTACATAGATAGGGGTAAGTATGCTTGTATGTAAGTTTCTTAGTTGCGTTGATGTGTTTTGACAGCCGAATGCAGGAAAAAAATTATAATGGGTTAATTTAAAGTTTGGTATTAATTATGTAATTTTAAGTAATAACAAAAAATAAATCATAAATTTACTGAACGGTTTATTTACATTATTAATAGTATGTTAAGTTCGGTTGTCAAATTGTACTAAAATTATTAAATACATCGCTGCAGATGTCAGCATCTGAAACAATTAACAGTTTTTTATATTTCAAATACCTATATAATAATCCTTTTCAGACTCATTATTAATTTCCTTAAAAAGAATTTGCTTATGTTAGATAATATCAAATACTTAATCTGTTTGTATATCTCTGGCAAATCGTAATTGAAGTAAAGATTATGAAGATTATAATAGATTAGTCAAAACGGTACTAAAGACTGAAGATATCATATCAAATAAAAATCAACTTAATATCTTCTTACAAGTTAAATACATTTACTATTTATTTATCAACAAACTTACATTATAGAATAGGGTGCCATCTAGTTGAAAGTATTCGTAAGCGGTCAATTCGAATCTTTGGTAAGTCATAAGTGATGAGAAATGTTGGATCTAGAATAAATATCAGTATAATAAACATTATACATATTAATAAATAAACTTTTAAAACTTATACTCTTAAATTTATGTAGGCAAATGTAAATGTTCCGGAAAATTCATATAATACTAAACTTAAAAGATGTTTTGAACTAAATATAGTAGGTATAGAAATAATTACCCCCATATATAGTTTCATTTGAAATGTACTCATATAATCTTAAATTTGAACCTTTACAATTTAGTTAAATAATAATCAATTTAATTACCTCTAAGAACGCTCGTAAATCTTGTTTTTCTATCGATAAATTGTGTAGTCGCTGTCCAATTTTTAATGCCTAAAGAAGATAATATTTTTAGAATAAGTTAGATGACGTATAAAACTTTCAAAAGACTCACCTCCTCTTTTAACCTGGTGCCTGAAAGTGCTATTACATATACTTTTAAAATTTGATAGATAATCCAAATGGAACAATTAACGAAGTCGTGGGTTGTTAAAGTTCCATCGATGACCAAGCCGTGGTATATTATATGAGCCTCACAGATAAGTGAATGGAAACATTGAATAGAAGATGCTAAGATCGGTGCTTGAAAAGCTCCGTTTATATAGGTTTTAATTTCAAATGCTTTTATGTAAGCTAATTCTAGCTGCCGCAGGCTTAATGTAGTTTTCGGTTTTACTTTTATGAACCCGTCTGATTTAATGTTACGATTATTGTCGAGTTCAAGAAAAATATCGTTTATGTTAGACAATATAGCTACCACCATCATGATGAGAACGTAGTAAAAGGCGATTGATACGAACTGTATCATTTGAGGTAAAGTAAAAGTAGTTGCAACTAAAATGATTTTCCATATACTATTATTACGTGAAAAGTTTACACACATTTGAAGTAGTAATAGTAATAATAAAACACTCATGACTATAACATTCGATTGGAATTGAAGGCGTCTAAGTATTCGCTCACAGTTTCGTCCTGGCGGCATTTCGACCCACGTTGTACCAAGACTATTTATAATCTTGATGTACACTTCGCGATTTATAAACGCGCATATATATGCAGTTATACAAAATATTATCAGAGCAACAATTTCTATGACATAATTCATTTGAGGAACAAAATCTTCAGTCATACCAATATATTCGGTCGAGAAAAATATGTATTGTACATGCAATATCGTGAAAGCTATCATAGTCAAAGTTATTGATACACCACATAAGGAATTCACATACACGGATTTATTTTTAATTTTTAAAAAACTCTTAACTTTCGAAAATTTAACACTGTATGGAAACAATCCGAATAACGATATCACAAAATAGAGTGGTTTAATGATATCTTGCATGAGAGGTGCTTCAACAGAACTTGAAAATAGAAATACTTTCAATGATTTAAACATATTACTAAATGGATTTTCAGTGGAACCTTTGTAGGTGAATCACAGCTAACAGATTGACTGATGGCAAACGCTATTCAAGTGCAATGGAAAGGGCGGTAAATTACAATATTCTAACTAACTGTTGCCAAGTAATCAAACATTCATATTTTATTTGGGTTTTGTAAATGCGCGATATCATAAATAATTTTGTAACTACAAGTTTTTTTCCATGTAACTGGACTTAATTACCGTTAAATGTTACATAATAATAGGTAATTCACATCGGGAACATAACACTGAGGATTTTTGATAGCTAATAAAGTCTTCAACGAGGTTCTTATGTACTATGAAATAAAATTTAGTTTAGAAATCATTGACTAATAGCTTTTTGGGAGATTTTCGATTTAATTAGTATCAAGGCGATTATTTATAGAGATAAAACCACAATATATGGCACAATAACATCTACTTAAATTATAAAGTTAAAAAATATTGTGTAAAAATTTGATCTTAAAATGTTCAGGTAAACAATATTTTGTATTCATATTCAAATATAAAAAAATATTGTAATAACTTATATATCCCTATAGGTATTAGCATTCCCGCCATGTAGGATTATTTAATATAAAATATCAATTTATTATTGTAAGAATGAAAAAAATATAGTATTTTACAGTGTGACGATTTTGAAGCTACTCTCGAATTTAGTCCTGATAACATCTACTAAACTCTAAAAAGGCATAAGTGTTCATTTTCAACTGTTTATAAAAATAAAACCAAAAAGATGCATAGAAAATACTAGTTAAATATGAAACATAATAATGCCAGCTTATTATTTTTCTTTGAAGAATAAGGGCTTTAATTTTTAAAGTGGCTATATTTCTCCTCCCTAAACTATAAAGAGATTTTAATGGGTTCAAGAATAAACACTGCAAAAATATCTTGAAAGAAATATTTTTATGCTGTCAGCTTTGTCTGATATAAGAAATGTCATTCAAACTAAATTTACTTTTCAATTTTAATCCCTAAGTATGAAAAATTAAATAAAATATAAAAAAATAGTAAAATGGCTTCAAAATTTCTGTGTACTTTTGGTCGAAAGTCTCCTCAATTGTTTATAAATCGCATAATCTCTCAAAAACTTGCAAAAGTGCCTGGTTTACAGTTATTAAACGTACCCATAAAAAGAAAATACAGCACTGGCCCTGCTGGAATGAAAGTTACAATATGTGGAGCTGGAGGTTGCACAGGTGGCTATTAATATATAAAACGCTAAAATCAAATGCACAAAATATGTCTGTAACTGAAATTGTATAAAAATTTTACCTCTTTATTTTGCATCAACATCCCCTTTAACTGAAATCCTCAATATCTTGAAAAGCTATAGTTAAGTTTTTTACCGTCTCCCACCGAGTTCGACTACAATAAGTGCTACTGTAGTCTGTCACAAAAAATATCTTTGAAATGTTATATAATATTGTTTTGTTTGTAACATAGGTCAGCCACTCGCTCTTCTTCTAAAACAATGTCCATTATTGGATGAGATAGCACTTTATGATATTTGTGCAACTTGTGGCTACGGCATGGAGTTGAGTCACGTTGACACAAAATGTAAGGTCTCTTCTTTCTCTGGCAGACATATGCTTTGCGATGCTCTCAAGGTATTGATTTATTACTTAGAAATAAATTAACGACTATATTGAACATAAAGTATATCTTTGTATATTTTCAGGGCTCAAGAGTTGTTGTGATAGTCGCTCGAAACAAATGCGATTCATTTGAAAACAATGCTCCGATTGTCACAGAAATTGCATTACAAATTTGTAACACATGTCCAGAGGTAATAACGGGTGTTAAAAGTTTGTTTCAAAATCTCATATCTCAAATTTACAAATTATTACTCGTTTGAATCTATGCCTTAAATCTTAATAATATATGTACAGGCATTTACGATAGTAGCCACGGAGCCAGTGGAGAGCATGGTTCCTTTAATCGGCGAGATACAAAGACTACGTGGACAATACAATCCAAGATTTCTACTTGGATGTGTAGAGCTGAACTGTGTGCGAGCTAATACGGTCTTGGCAGATTTTCTAAGAGTACCACCGGAGTCAGTTAGAGTTCCGGTGGTGGGAGGGGCTACTCCAGAAACTATGGTTCCTGTACTCTCCGCAGCTGTTCATCCTTGCACATTATCGCAGGAACAGGTACTATACTTAGCTAATTTCCATATTATTCTATAAATTATTCTTATTATTATAATTATCTTAGACGGAATGTGCTACCTCATGCATAATGAGCGGTAACGACGCTGTATGTGCTGCAAAAGGTTGCGCGACAGCAACTGCATGTCTCTCGGGAGCGTTTGCTGTGGCTCGTACTACTATCAATGTGGTGAAGGGTTTACAGGGTAGAAAGAACGTTGTGCAGTGTGCTTATGTAGACAGTCTAGGCACATGTGCTCCGGGATGTCAGTTTTTTGCTAGTGAGGTAAGAACTAATGACAGTTTAATCAAGCTTATTATATATCATAATTAATGCTCTTTGTCTAAATTATATATTGATCAGGTTATCCTCGGACCAGCTGGTGTAGAAAAGAATTTAGGTATACCAGAGCTTTCTAAGTTTGAAAACTGTCTCTTATGCCACTGTTTACCGTATGTCCGTAATGAAATTGCTCGTGCCATTTGGCTCGTAAGTACACTTAGTATTTGTATCAAAACACTAACTATATTCGTGATGGCTTGTTTCTTTATATTAGTTAGTTCAGTTAGTTCTGAATATTACTATCTATATTGACCCAAATTACAACATTAATATTTGGTATGAAATCTAATGTTATTAATGATTATTTTTTATTCTCCAGGTATACACGATGTGTCAGCAGTGCTGCTGCTATGGCTGCACCGTTCATCCTAGTACGTGTTACACTCCGCCTATAGTTCCCTGTGTTCCACCTACCAACTGGACCTGTGATTGTCCCGACGCTTGCCGAGATGAATACCTCGCTTCTGTTAGTACTTTATACACATAAAATTGATCAATGAACTATTTAATTCACGAGTAAAAGATCACATCGCTAACCTATTGCCAATTGCTGAGCAAAGGCGTATTCTTACATGGAAAAAGTGTTTTAATAATGTCAAACTTATAATTTGAAATTATATGTCCAGCTGTCTCACAATATTTTCCTTAACTGCCTGTCAGTGGGGTGTTAGAAAGTTCATATAACTCGAAAAAATCACTAAAACATTGGTTCTGGTAGGCTTTCAAATCCTCACCCTCTGTACGAGAAGCTGGCATTTAACAGCTAGGCCACCTCGACTATAGTCATGACTCAAAGATCTAGAGTTATTTATTCATACTGTTTCAATTCTTTTTGGCTTAATGTTATGTTTATTCTATTTAAAAAAAGATGCGTCTTCAATATGATTTCGATTTAATACATTAGTTGTTATAAATCCCTTTCTGGTGAAGACGGATTTAACTTAAATCTTAATTAAACATATATTAGCTCAGCTCATATATCAGCTAATTTACTAATTTACAAATGAATTAATTATTATTATTATTATATTTTAAGAATTTATGTATTATTATTTTTATTGACATTTTATGTATCATTATTATTATTTTCTAAATGAGTCATTGTTACTTGGTAATATAAATAAATAAATAAATCAAAAATATATATATATATCGTCAGATCTGTCGTGAGATGACCTGCATGTGCGGTAGTACAGCTCTGTGCTGGAGGCCGCGGGAAGCAGATTACGACGCAAAACGAGCCTCGAACCTTACACATCAAATGCCGTTGAGAAGCGCCGCCTGTAATGTGTGTAACGTGCCACGAAGCGTGCGAATTCAACAGGCCTTGCGAGAAAAGAAGGGAGATTTTTAATATATTACTGATATTAGACACGCCAACCCAATGAAACTATGTCTTACATATGAATAATAGGAGGAGATTTGAATATGTTCATATAAAAACTGCTTGCATATCAAATTTCGTGGTACTAGCCTATTTCAATATTTCAGTCAAAGGAAAAGAGTACGATTGTTCATTGAGGTTGGTTAATGTTATGGACCTCACTAAGAACTTGAAGTTGTATATCTGAATACTGAAATTAATACATAATCCTCTGAAACTGTGTTTACTTCCAGTTTTGTTTTTGGTGTCTGGTTCGACCTTTTGATATTATTTGAAAGTAATTTTTTTTATATATTTGCTGTCCGAAAACTATAAATCCCATTAAAAAATAAAAAAAGCATAATATTGTATATTTTATTTAAAAAAAATTATTTACTACATAGTACATAAATAATTATAAAATTTAAAACGTTTGATGTTTATACGTGAAGAACATTTTTAATTTTATTTTGTAGATTGTAAAATCTCTCTTTCATGTTAGTGAGGAACTTGTTAAACGGACATTCGCAGTTGTCCTGCTATAGAAAAAATAAATAAAAATAAAGAGTTTTTACACAAATAGAAAATAATATTTTAAAAGATATTCATAAACCACAATACCTGTACAGGTGCCTCCAATTTCTTTTCCTTGTTAACAATGCTTTTCTAGAATTTTTAATATGTACAATAATCAATGATACAGTTATAAATGAAACTATAAATGAAACAGTTATAAATGAAATTTACCTTTGATATATTGATGCTTATTCCAGATGGTTGACTTATACTTTTTAGAGATTTCTATAAAAAAATTAAAACATTAATAAAAATGAAATTTGAACTTGCTACTTAAGTGAAATTTTTAGAAATAAGAACCTTTGGTAAGCATATTGTGATGCCAGAAGGTCCTTCGAAGGGCATGCCAGGTCGATAGCAAGGACCAACCGAGGCTTTGCGATCTAACATCCAGATTTCACTTCTGGCTATCATTTCCTAATTTTTTTAAGAACCATATTATTTTACATTTTCTTATTATAAACATGATACGATTTTAATAATGTTTATATATGTATAATTGTATAACCATCTTCACAAGTTTTCCATTTATGACTTGTGTGTCGTGTAAATTTTCTTTACTAAATTATACTTACTTTTAAAACTACATTATCTTGATATTCCTTTTCCTCCCAGGATATTTCTCTTTTGGACTTCGGTGAATTTGTCTTCTGAAATTTTATGCATATTAAAAGTTATTTCTTATTAGAATCAGGTATTAAAAACTTGTTGCCTATAATTATGGTTGTTGGTAAAAACGGTCTCTTTTCTTACATTTAAAAAAGGGTACTTTAGACTCACTGCAAATATTTTACATCGTACATAAAATTCCTTAGTACCAATAAACTCTGGGATCAATAAAGTTGGCCAAAGTCAAAACCGAGAAAGAGGAGGCAATTTAGTCTTAAATCTGTCCAATGACACTTCGATAAAAATTCAAATCAAGGTTTTGGGGGAAAATAATTAGTTATTCGGCGAAGTTATTAAGGTTCTTGTGAGGAATACAATGTGGACTTGTTAAATAATATGTACCAAACCTCAATAAATATCACTTATAACAACAGATATATTCTTAAAGTTTTGACTTGCAGAAATAAAATAATATATTAATGAATGAACGATGTTGATGTTAAGGTTCAGCTTAATCTTGGTCAACGATTGATAAGAATTATTTATTATAAGAGTTTTATTAAAAAAGTTACAAGTAAAAGTGGAAGTTAATAATATTTTTTGAATTATTTATAACTAGTACTTAAATAAAAAACCATGTTCATTATAAGTTACAATATTATATTAGTATTCTAATATCAATACATGCACAATTTATAATAAATAGAAAAACCACAACATGATATATAGCTTTTGGTTGAGCAAGGTTATGTAACATTCTCTAAGACAGATGAGCCTTTCGGTAAAGCATGACACTAAATCGCATTCATACCATGAATCTATAACAGTATAAAAAAAATCTTTTACAAATTTGGCTACCAATCAATGAATATTTTTATATTATTTTTATTTTATTTACACAGCAAAGGACACGTGCAATGCTAACTCCTAAGATCCGTCATTTTAGCTGGCCATCCTCAATCGTCAGCGTTCGCTTATAGCACTGTTATCGAAATTCACTCTGCTGTGGATTAGCTTGTAACAAATATGTATTCTCATTTATAGCTTAACCGCAAGAGCCTATGCAAAATTTTCTTAAACTAAACTTCAATCGAGAATGGCCAGCTGGGTAACAAACGGAGAGAAATTGAAAGAGCTCAGTGGCGCCAGGTATGTTTATATGGCAACTTTGCGGTGGTCGGAGATATTGTCCTCGGATGGTGCCTCGTAAGCCACTCCGCAGCAGAAGAACTGCCGCACCATGCGAGAGACGCGAGATGACCTCGAGTCGCTCCGCGGCAGCCCGCCAGCCGCTTCATCATCCGACTACAAAAATACAACCATATACCATCAATAACTTATAATCAATTGGATATATTTATTGCGAAACTACTGAGCGGGCTGCCGCGCAACTACTATAGATATCTTATAGGTAGGATACCAACCCAGTTTGAATGTTTCTTCTCCAATTCGGGAGTCCGCAGTTCTGCAATTTCTTCGGTAATGCTGTCTTCGTCAGGTTTTCTGGGTGCATCTTTTTCTACTGGTAGGTCGTGTGCGCCAGAAAGCGCTGCATCTACCTCTGGGGGAATGGGTTGCGATGGTGGTAGCATTCTCTGGAAAATATTAAATTATTAAAAAATATAACTGTCTTTATTATACGTTTAGAACAATGAAACAAGCTAAACAATAATCTTTTATTGATCTGGTATTTCCAACTATGACATTGTTACAATAAAAGCCGTGAAAAAATTCAGTGATTATATCTTTAAGCGTGTACAAAGTTTATCTTTATTACCAGTAGAGTCAATGCATTGCATGTCATTCAGCAATAAATAAGATTTTATATATTTACCTTTTTGTCCACATCAATAGCAGACATGGGAATAGATTCTGGCGAAGATTCTCGTCTTTTGGTATTTGAGGATAGTTTTTTGGCATGCTTGTGCTTTTCAGAAGACATAGCTGAAAAATATAAGGAGTATCTCAATAAATAAATTCAAATATACACTTATGTTGTTATTTTATGTTTGTATCTGTATTTTTTCCAACTTTACCTTCACTCTCCTTCCGTTCTCTCTTCTCTGCAATGGCATTTGCTGAATCTTCATTTAAATGTTTCAATTCTTCAGCTACAGCTGTAATGAAAAACTTAAATTTAACTAAAATATTGAAATAACAAATTCATTTATGAATGTCAAATAAGTCACTTTAATAATTACAAGGTACAACGGGTGCTTTCGATCGTTTTTGATACATCTCGTTGTCATCTTGAAGCTCGGTGGGTCTGTATGGTTGTTTATGACGACCGTCCGTATTCTGTTCGACCATGACTATAGAGCTGCCGATGGCACTGGACACACCCTTTTTTTCTTGATCAGACATCCTCTATAAAAACTCAAGCATCCATACGTTTTATTGCACGAAAAACACTCACTTTTTGTCACCAGAAAATTGGCTAACAATTTTTAGAAAAGTACAAACGGCTGATTGATATGTCACGCTTTGAAATTTTGACAGTTAACTTTCTTGTTTTTCATCCTTTCTATTTTTGAAATCAACCGTGTTAAAAAGTCTACACTAACAAGCTAAAGAGAGGGTAATGAGAAAATATGTAAGAATAAAGCAATTTTTTTCTGACCTTGCTATTCATTTGTATTCCAGATTAAAAATAAAATAATTTAGACTTGGTATAAATTAGTTTTTGATTTTTTGTTTAATGTTTATATGTTATATATTTTTCAATGCTTTCAGCCTCTTTGAATATATCCAAGTAGAGTGGTAGAAGAATAAATATGCAAATCACGTCAGTGTACTAAAATTATGTATTGATATATTCTTATTAAATTATCGTTGTCTTTTCGCAATTTTCTCAAATATAAATTGAGGAATAATGCTCGGAAAAAGGAAAATAATATGTGATGGAAAATAAACAGTCTCCATCCAAGAAGAAACTGAAATCGATACAAGAGGAAAAATTTATACGTGAAGTTGATTACGATTCCTTTGCTGAGGGTTCCTCTCACCCACCTAAAAAACTGTTACTAGGTATGTATGCATCGATAACGACAAAATATTAAAATAAGATTGTCTCTCGATGTCAAAAATCATAGCACATTTTTCTTTTTATTCTTCAGAAATTTTTCAAAGAGGATCACCTTATGACAACTCATCCCAAAAAGTGTTAGTTTCCATAAAACCGAGAGCACCTGCAATTAAAACTTTATATATTGCCGAAAAAAGTAGATTTCAAACAAAAAAGGTATTATCACGATTTTATTTGATTCCAATATTTTCTAATAATTCGATTTAAGGTTTCTCTTCCCATAGCATAGTGAAAGATCTGGTTCAAGGCTTGCCATAGGAGATCATTCATCGTATACAACCCGTAAGTACTATTTAGACGTCAATATAAAATTGATAAGTTAAATGTATATAATAAAAGAAAAATTTAGGTTTCAGCGAAGATGATTCAAATACAGTTAACTCTATAGTTTGGGGACCAACGGTATATGTGGATTCTACAAAAAGTGAAATAATTACTAGCAAAAGTTCAAGTAGTTCTCTTCCAGCAGAGAGTTCTACACTACAGAATTCAAAATGTTCCAATACAGATATTTCTTATCAAAATGTCGTATATAATACCAAAAAGAGATCAGCCGAAAAATGTTACGTTTATACTCAACCCCCTTTAAATATGTCACGCCCCAATCACAGTAAAAATACAAAAGAATGCAATTTAAACAAAGTTGACATCGGCACCTTAGTTGTCACAAATCCACCTGACGATATACCTCCTCACAATATTGTTAATTTAAACAGACGAATTGAACACTTAGAAAGAAAACTGCTGCGACAAGAAATGGTTTTCCGGTCCCTAGATCCCAGTATTCCATTGTCTTCGTCTGACGAAGAATCTAAGAATCATATAATGAGAGTTAATTCAAATAACCCAAGTCCTGGATGTAGCTACGTTGAATATAGCCACGTGCCCGAAACGTCGGCATTCCAGCGTTACACTCAACAACCCGCTCCGTTATCAGCAAGCAAAGCTACAACTATACAAAAGGAGCATAACTCAGAACAATATGGCCGCGATTTCACATTATATGATGGTATTACTGCACGAGGTAGACGACAATGTGCATCTGTGCCTTGTAAACGAGATGCTGGGTCTAAGATGGCCGCTGAAAGGGTACATAAAATAAGACATAAACTAAATCCTGTCCGAGATTATCGTCTAATGGATACTGTACATTACTTGGCTCAAGGGGAGTTTGCTCCGCGAGATGATGGCATTAAGTTAACGCCATCCCGAGAAGCTGTGCTAAGTGATATTATATGGGAAGATGTATGCCGCACTCATTGGCCTAATGCACGCCTTGCTCGACGTATGGGTCACTCTGAAAGATATGGACCAAGATCCGAACTGCAGCGTTTAATCGATAGTTTACTAAGAGAACGTGTAGCTCACGTTGAACGCAGAAGACGACGACATTACCGTATAGTTAAATTAAACCATCGTCATGAAAGTTGTCGACCTTTAGGTAAAACTGGTGATATAATTGTAGCAAGTCACAAAAGCAGACAAAATACAGACGAAAGAGAAGTGGCTCTCAGCGATCATAACGCTGTTAACGAGTTTATTTCAGAGAGGCGACGTAATGAGCGACATTCTCATAGACAGCACAGAAGCCATGATCGTCTAGTTTTTCCAGAAACAAGGAATAGGAAGCAATTTAAACAAGATGAATGCTCACCAGGCACGAGTTATGCAGCAGACAATTCCACGGGGAATAGAGAACCGACTTGTTGCTATCACGCATGTGGCCCTAGCAAAACTCAGAGGAGTCCTTTGACGGAACCAAATTACTCTGGAAAAATTGACAGTGAACTGGCAAGAAACAGTAGCAAAGCCTCGGAGAAGGTTAGAAATAAAAATCCTCGCCTCGTAGTAAAGAAGAATTCTTCACGAAAAAAAAGCTGTACTAAGGAGGAACCTAATCTCGAGCACTATATTTTGTTACCAACACTCGTAGTAAAATCTCCCTCGAACATGCGTCGACAGAAAAAGTTTAACGAATTATATCACCGCATACTCAATGTACAATTAAATCAAGGTATTTTTATATTATGCCCAATTTGATGATATAAAAAAATGTTATTTCTCATTCTATACGTTAATAATTAATTTAAATTATTTACAGATCGTGATATCACAGATACAAAACCCGAAGTAAATCCACAAAAGAAAGACGTTGGTTTGAATATAAACATCACACTTTCCAACAGTGAAGAGAAAATTTCAAAGTAGCTATGTTCTAATAGATTAACAATAGATAAACAAATAATAATCTTCACGTTATAACCAACATATCTCTTTTCCTTTTTACAAGATAATACAAATTTTACATCATTTTGTGTTATTTTTTTATAATATCTATCAAAAATATGTCCTTTTTTTATACTAAAATATATCGTGTGAAAATTTTCATCTAATATTTTTTTAATAATGAAAAGGGGATTGTTTTTTGAAAGACTGAAGGCCTCTTGATCTTTCCTATTGTTGTTATAAAGATATTCACGAAGATTTTTTCATGAACTTTTGGAGATACAACCATAAAAGACGTAAACTATATATTGATATATATTAACATTCTTTTCAACGTAGAATTTGTAACCAATTTATAATTTAATTAATTTAAAACCGTCTACCACCTCAGCGGTCATTAATAACGCGTTCTGACGAATAGTTTCGTTTTTTACATCTTGCAACATCACGAACAATGATGATGTCAAGTTACGCTATTAATTTCACGGAACACGCACGCAAATTTTCAGTAAAGACCCATTATAAAAGCCGGGTTATTCATACATTATAAATTTATGATAACTATAATTATGTATAATTTATGTTTTGGCAAATGAATAGATGTTGGTTACTATAAACGTATATTTTATTTAAAACAAACGCAACTAAAATCTCTTTTCAAACCTCCACTAAACATGTGTGTGACAAGCAAAATATAATTCAATATTGAAGACTGTAATCATGAATTAGTAAGGAAATACCAATATTTCATTACTCCTCTATATGGGTCTCATATATGCTTAAATATCCATTTCCGGCTTTTTTAAAGTAAAACTTGTTAGAAGATTTGTACCCATTGTCGTTTTAAAAGTACCTCACGCGGAATAAATTTATCATTAGTATACCGCTGAAACTCCAATGTATAGAGTGAGAATTTTGATATCCATTAATACCTTCAGTGTTTATATACAAAAAGATTTATAAAAAGTTTAGTTTTCGCTATTTCAAGTCTACTAAGAAGCTAACTAAAATAAAATCTTTAGTTTACATGAGTAGTAGTGATCAGGAAAACGAAACGTCAAACTGAACAAAGCTTGAGGAAAATAAGCACATAGATAGATTTTTACTTTAACATATATAGTTAATACGTCATAAATAAATAAACAATATTAATAGCCCCAATTTTTGCTCAAATTTTAACTTTGTTATTTTATACATAAAGCTGTTTTTGGCTTTGTATTCAAATGACAAAATATATGTAATTTTTACTAACTTAATAACAATATTATAATAAGAATTTCGTATAAGAATTTCGGGTCAAAAAGACGAACAAAGTTCTGATAAACTTCCATTAAAAATGTCAGTCGAACGAAATAATACATATTTGATAATGATTTCGATCGTCCGTGCCAATGGTCTATAAAATCGATTGCCTAGTTTTAAATGACCACGTTCTTTGTGTGACATTAAATTGTAAAATGGAAATACTTTAATACAACACTGTATTTTTATATTGACATAATTTCTCTTTACAATGTCTAGTCGAGGAAAAGTTTCATATTCATATAGATTAATAATAAATATGTTTTATAAGCTTCATTCACTGAATGTTTTAACTTAATTTAAAATAATATCTTAAGAGTAACTAAAATTCTCAAAAAATATTACAAGTGTATTCATATTTATATAAATTTAAGATATTTTTTACTTTTGTCTTGAAGTAATAAATTGACCACATTTCCAGTATATATCATATATATTTTTAATTCCTTACGAAAAGTAATAATAATACGCAAAACTATGAATTTTTAAATACAATTTACTGGATAATTTGTCAAATTTCAACTTTCTTTCGTCATTTTAGCGTTAGTTTCAAAGAACTAACTGAACAATCTTTATTTATGTGACTAAACAAACATTAAAATTATATAAACCTCATATATAAAATGACAGTTAGTCTTTTTGGAACGGGTAAATAATTTAGACGTAAATATAGTGCTTCTAAAAAATGCATGATAAGAATCGACTGATGGAAAGCAACGCTCGAAAACATGGCACAGTCGTATACAAACACTGTAATGCACCAAGAGGTAAGAATCATTATAAATGATACTAATAAATATATTTGTTCCTACTAGGTCATTCAAATTAATGCCTGCTAACAGAGGGACTACTGAAAGGATACATAGTCTTTTTTAATACTATATACCGATTTTATTCACAATTAACTAATACTGTTATAGGTTCGAATGTTTATATGCATTTTTGTTTGATATTCAATCAGGCTGTAACTAACCAAAACGATTTTGGAAATACATTTGTATTGTAAAATTTTACGTATATATTCATATTTGAAATATGTAGAAGTATAAGTAACAGCCGAAAACGTCATGAAAGCCACGAATAGGTTACAGATAGATACTACGAAGTCGAATAAGTTATCATTCAAACAAATTAAAACAGTAGCTAACAAAGTAAACATTTGACATATTATATTCTAGTTAAAACAAAAATGTATAATAGTAGGATTTGTAATAAAAGCGGAGCTTGCTATGATAAACAAGCTGAAAGGGCTTGGCTGGACACGGCCTGTAAATCGCGTGCATGTCCGATCACGTAACACGTACAGTCTGCGATCACCGTGCTATATGAACATTTAACATATAATTTATTACCAAAATATATTATATTTAATATATATGAAATATTAAACTGACTATATCAATCTAATATTTGTATACACAACAAAGTAAGCTACCAACAGTTTCTAGGCGCAACTATATGTTTTATCTGTCTGTTACGTCGTAAACTTGAACTTTGCGATACCTTTAATATTACTCATTTCTATAAAGTAAAATGATTCGAAATTAGCCCTTATTTTATACGTAATAAGGTTTAAAGACAAACTCAGTGGAAGTATGTGTATAAATCGCAACCGTGTACTACTGATAATGTTGAAAACGATACGGGTTTTAATGACCCGCACCTGATAATAGTGAAATGTGAGCAACGTGGCTTACTTCAATAATATCTACTAAAAGAAACTCCTTTTTTAATTATTCTTTAGGAATATACAAAACATGATATCTTTAAGTCATAAACTACAAACTCTTTCGTGATTTCCTTGTCGAAATAAATTAAGAACATAATATATTGTGGTATGTCGTGTATAATCTTTAAAATTAAAAAAATGTTAATATCAAAATTATACAATATTTTAATAAAATGCAAGTGAACGCGACCTTAGCGTGGCGTCGCGTGGAAAGCGTATTTGATAAAAAAAACACAAGCATTTATCTCAAAACTCAATTCAAATTGCAGTAACAGTGCAAAAAAAAAAACGAAGTGAAGAGCATTTACTCTGTTTGTCGAATATATGTTTTTTACAAATGACATCAATGTTTTTAAAACATGTAAGTAATTTTGTTTGTATAAAATTAAATACGCATTTGAAAATCATCAAAGCAGTAACTGTTTTCATTCATTAAATAAATCTTACTAATAATACATTTTTTAAGCAAAAAGCGAAAATAGATTGTCTTTGAGCCTGTAACGTAATATGTAGTTGTAAACCCTCCTATAAGTGTATATAATTAATTTTATTTCTTATATTATTTTCATTAATTAAGCTGTTCCCTTTAAACTTTTGGTACTCCTTTTTTTCATCTTTACATTACTCCTACATAAAGAAAGTGTTCTTTGTCTAATATGAAAAAATACATTTACATGGCGGTTACATAACTTCTTGTTATAAAATTTTAAGTTAATTGATATTTGTTCTTGCATCTAAAAATATGTAAAAGGAATATTGCAAAAAATACACAATAAATTAATGAGATTTTCTAAGATTTTATCAAGTATTCATTTAAATAAATAACCGGAACGTCAGGTGTATGTATGTAGTTTATAATTAAAAATCGCGTAGTTAATCCGAAAATATTATTTTCACATAATAAATTTTTGGGTAGATACAAAATAATTTTTGACGTATTTTTATTTAACGAAAAAACACAAATTCATGATAGATGAGTTTCTAAAAACATCTGGATGGCATTAAACGAGTTTATATCCGAAAAACACATTAAAAAACCACACATTTTATTATACATTTCTTAGGCAAAATTATATTTTGAGTTTCAGAACATGATATGTATTTAATATTATTGATTTGTAAGACACTTATGTGTTACAAAGTTCTTGAAGCGACCTATTTAATATTGATAGGAGTTCGATGACCACACACGCTACAGGGTGTTCACCCGGCACATGAAAACGTGTCAACATCAATTATCCTGACAGAACTATGTCTGATAGTTATATGGAACACCCGTATAGCGTTTAAAACATATCTTTATCTATAATTACTAGAAAATTATAATGTTTTCTTCAATAAATCATACAGTCTTTTGATTTCTCTAAAGAAACGGAAAAATAATTTTACATCCAACTGTTTCAAGGCCAATCGAATTATTTAATATTATTCTTCTTATTGTAGTTTGAAAATATTCTATTTAATTTCAATATTATACAATTGTAATGAGATGGATACGATTCATCAAAATAAGTACACATAATTAATTTATTATCCTATATTTGAAAGAGAGAAAATAAAGAATACAAAATTCCAACGGAAACATAAATATATTGTACTCTAAATGAATGAAGTAACATTGCATTTGAATGTACCATTAATTTATAAATGAATGGTATTTATTTTTAAAGTCGCACAAAGTCATGGAATCTAATTATAAAGATGTTATATTAAAACGTCTCACGCTCTTATATCGAATGTTTTATTTTGAGAACAATAAATTCTAACATTTCACAACATTAATGGAAAAAATGCTGAAATTAATGCAAACGATGCTAAGTATTTGCATAAAAATTCACTCTGAACTAACGGTCAGGTTAGTTTAACATGAACTTTGTAACAATTATTTGAACGAAGTCTTGGTAATATGTGCAGGGCAAGGGCTAAGGTCAATCGTGATATTTTATAGGACTGTAAAGTTGTAAATCTTGTTATATCGCATCACGATGTTCAAGAAACACATGATACAGGATGTTTGGGAAGAATTAAATAATATTTATATTATTAAGCTAAATAAAAAGATATATAATATTGTAATAAAATTCAATCCTGTATAATTTATATTCGGAATAGATTTATGTATTACACTATAGTCGTATTGTTGATAGTAAGCTACTATTATAGAGATAATTTTTGTTTCATATGAGTTTTATTTAAAAAAAACAAGACAAAAAAATATGTATAAAAATTAAAAAGCATACTGTATATAATCAGAAACTCTTGGAAACCCATCTGATAAGAAACTGCGTTGAAGTAAGGTTTTAATAAAAGCTTATTCAGTTATTGAATCTACCGTTAAACACTACACTAGTCACTTAATTTTATAATAAAGACCTACATATATCAACTCACAGCAAATAATCAGGTATATTATTATTGTAGCACTTCGTAGCAATTAGTAGAATTCGTAGCACTGCTACGTAGAATAATTATTCTATATGTAATAAGCTGATACTTATTTAATAAGCACGTTATAGTTACCAGTATGTGAAGATATTTTTTTTTAGCAAGTTATTTGTAAGTATCTGGTAAGTAATGTCCCGGTTTAAGTTCTTTAAACTGTTTGTAATTTATTTACTTTTCGTTGTATGTAAATGTATTGTAAATGTTGTAACATTAGTATTTAATATTTCCTTGTATTCTTGGGAAATTTATTATATATATATATATATATATATATTTCACTTCCTGAGTAATATTTTTCAATATTATACGATTTTAAATGTTGAATAAAAAGTACATTGACTATAACTTGAGAAGAACCTTTTTAAATCTATCGGCCACTGTATTTTCCTAACAGGTTCGCTACAATTATTCCCTTCGACTTACTTTAAAAAAAAATACTTCGTGGGTACAAAAAAAAATTATTTTCATGTCATATTAAAAATATGAATATATATGATATTTAAATCGCAAAAAAGATCATGTAATGGTTTTAAAAATATAGCTAATGAGATCATAATAACGCTTCAAGCTATAGCAGCAGTAACACAAACTAAACTCCGTCAATGGGCCATTAGTGGTCCAAATTGCAAGCTGGAGCGAGCTATACTAGCTGGCCACGGCCGCCGCTTGCTAGAAGAGGAGGCATTACCATTGTCAAAATACCACATAAATCTGATAGCGAAATGTAACGCGTTGCATGAAGCTGCTAGCAAAGGATCTCTGTTGGAGTTACAGGTAATATGGTCAAAGTATAAGTGTCAATATGTTGTTTAAGAAGTTTATTGTTGTAAAGTCGTCTTGATAGTTGCAGTTTTTTATTTATAAATTCATATTTAAAGCGAAGTAAGACTAAGAATTATATGGAATGAAAGGCTTGCGATATGTAAATAGTAGTTATAGTTTGTTAAACGACAAATATGAAGACTTAGCTTATGTCTTATAAATTTTTAGACCCAACTATGTTCAAGTTAAAATTATATTTATTTTGATTGAAAATATAAAAGTATTCAAAAATATTCTCACAATAGTTATTCCCTGGTACCGTAACATCAAAGGGATTTTTCTTTATTTGTGCTACATTTTGATTGACGTTCCGCACTCGTTAGTTTGAGCCGATATTATATAACGTTGATACTTTGTTAATAAATGAAGAATTGAATTGAAAATACATGTGTAAATATAACAAATACATCCCTCGATTATTGTGTAGAAACCAAAAAAATCGTTTATATTTGTAATCATATTAATAAATATATTTTTATAAACATCAGATTTCTCTAAAATCTCGAAATTATTTTAGGCTCTTCTGGAAGGTGAATACAACCACCACAAGTACGTAATGTGTTACGACGAGGCTGGTGTAGGTCTCCTACATAAGGCTGTGTTCTATAACTTCATAGATATAGTGGAGTGGCTTGTTAAAAACTATCCTCAATTGGTGCACCAGAGGGATTCGGTATGTAAAAGTTTTATTAAGAAACAATAAGTATAAATAAACTTTAATGTTTATATGCCTGATCCTTAATGGTTCTCACTCCAGACATTCTTTTAAATAAATACTTTTTGTTAAAAATTAATTATAAAATTTTTCTATTTTTAATTAGATAATATATAAAATGAGAAACCTGTAAGCGAAAGATTATGTTCTAAACGTCTTTCCTTTACTTTTATAGTTCATATTTTATGGTAGTTTTCCATATTTAATAGAAAAACAAAAGATTTAGGAACTAGTTCGTTTCTAGCACGTCAAAGTGTTTTTAAATGATATTATAACAGGAAAGTAAAAAGTTATCAAGAAAATAAATCTTCAAGTAAAGTGCATAAGTTTTCAAATTAATTATTATTTACTTATAGAAATTTTATGCACTCAAATGATTACATATTGCATTGTAACTAATACGTATTCAGTAATGAAAAAATGCATAAGTCCTAGAACCGATATTGTTGTGTATGCACAAGATCCATTATACAAAAATATGTGTTATGTCAAACAAGAGTACAAACACATGTACATACAGTCATTAGGCATCTAATAACATTACCTTGTACACTTTAGTACGAGTTTCAATCGTCAACTGATATGTTGAGAGTTTAAACGATTTTTCATATAGAAAACTCCTAATGAGAACACCGATCTTGTGTTCCTAAACAAATATTCATGATAATGAGGATTTCTTTGTATCAAATATACATACGTTACAATCTTAACCAAGTTAATATCGCCGACAGCTTTGCTCTCTTATTAAGTAATTTAATCTAATTATTGTTATTCAAATCGTCGTAGAATTTATTCGTTTGTCTTGCCAGTACATTTATATATAGTCAATTAGATACAATATGGTAGTTACAATGTAAAGCCTATCATATGTAGTTGGGTCGTACGCCGTTGCACTACACCGCTGCGAGTAGGTCCGAAGGCTCAGCTAGTTCATTGCTGGAGTGTGCGGGGGCTGACAGGGGCGCGAGGGACGCCGCCGGACATACTATAGCTCACTACAGAACCAACCTCACTCAACTAGCGCTACCCGACATGCCAACCCGACCTAGCCCGCCCGGTGAGTATAGACAATTATTTATTTTTTATTTTTTCATATGAAATCCAAGGACTCTTATATAAACCCTTTTTTGTCACCATCACGTTGTACCTTATTTTCTATTTTGATTACATATAATAATTAAAAATATATAATTATGCATATTAACTATGATTTAAAATTTGTAGTCTATTTAAGAATTTAGTTAAATATTTTTATTTGTATATTGAATGGTTTAAGTTTTTAATTTTCAGCATCACATCATTTTTTTTTAAATTCACAAACCTAATAAGAAACTAATATACAACAATCATATAAACGAATGTTTTTCAATTTTCTAAGAAGCAATTTTAATGAAAAGATTTCGATTTATTTTGTGCCCTTGACTTTTGGAGTCGATGATGACTTGTTAATTTATTAACATTACACTTTCATGTATATAATGTATAGAATTAAATTAAAATTAAACTAAAATCTTTACGAATAAAAAAAATAATAAAACTTTGAGTGACATTTCTATGTTATCTACAAGTTTAAAGGCTTAAGGGCTCAAAAGGACTCGTATCCAAAGCCATGAAAACATTTACAAAAAAAATACAAGGTTAAAGAACTAAGAATAATTAAAATATATATACAAAAATATTTGTATGTTATAAGTATATAAAAAATTGTGCAATCCCAAAAATAACTATGTATACAAACAAAATGAAAATGGAGTGATTTTTTATTTACCAGGTTTAAAATTTATTGGTTTATTTTTGCCATCGTACACAGCTTTTTTTTATATTTGTGGCAACTTTAGTTTTCATAACTTTTTTTTTTATAAACCTATTAACTCTTAAAATCGTTTAATTTAGAACCAAAAATTGAAAGAAGATTTTTTACATACATGTTTATTACATTATACCTGGATTAAAATTAAGAATTTTTTATGCTTAGCGAGGTGCAACACAGTCTCATTTTATTTCGTACAACACACAACATTAAAAAGAAATGAAGTTATTAAATCTAAAAATAATAAATTAATGTTGTGAAGAAATTGAAACAATAAAAAAAAACATATCATTCTTAAGTATTAAGTGAGACACTGAATAAAACCTCTTTTAAATCAACCTCCTTAATTCAAGGACCTTTGGTTATACTATAATTATATAAGTCTAATTATTTCATACCGTAATACAGCGGCTACTTACTGTTATGGCGCGTTAAAATACGTCACACAGTCAAAGCAACGATATGTTTGCTTAGTAAATTTCGTGTATGATTTATAAAACGTATTTATGTTCATGAACAAACCTTTTCACAGCAAAGGCTTGGGTGGGGTTATTGCGTCGTCATTAATATTATTTTATTCTGACCTTTTACCAAATTGATGCCGCGCCCGCTATCACTACATATTATATGTCCATTACACGAGGATTTTTATGTTTATTACTATATGAATAAACAATTGTATTTCATAAAAACAAACAGAACAACACAACACAATATATAATTACGAATAATAATTCTGTTACTTTGTTAAAATAATTATATACAATGAATATCTTTTATGGTAACTATTTCTTTTTATTTCAGTACTTAAAGTTAGTGAACGTTTTTGACGAATGTAATATTTTTAAGTCTTTTGTTTAACAGTCGCTGATAATATGAAAATTACCAAAAACAAATCATTTGTTTTTCTTTAAAGAAATAAATTATGAATTATTAATCAATAAATCTATTTCATTTATAACAATACCTATATCAACATCACGTTCTTATCATTATGAAAACCATTTTAATATAATATTGGTCATCATTTATTCTTGTTGAGATTTTTTTTCTTGTGTATCGTCAATCGATTAATTCCTGTTTTATAAAATAATGCTTTTTAATAGTTTGCTGAGATTCATTTTAAAGCTCAATTGAACATTTTTAAGAACATACTTGCATCAGCTAATAATTTGGAATAATTTCATTGCTCCATTACAAATATGCTTTATTTTAAGAAGAGCTTTTAGTTTATAATGTAGGTCAAATCAAAACACTTAGAGATAATCCATAAAACCATTTTTTGTTGGTTTAAAAACCTTAAATTACATTTTACTTTTCTAACTTTTAGCAAGAAAAAGTTTATAATTTAAATAATACGCTTATGTATAAATATACTAACAGCCAACGTAAAATACACTAATATATTAAAATATTATATATTTAATACTTTTAATTAGTTTTAATGTTATTTTACTTCAAATAATTTTCAGTACTATATTACTAATATAATACGCTACTACTTAATTTACTATTCTCTACTAATATGTTTCCATATTATGGTAATTATTGTGTTTTTCACTCAAAAATGGTTACTTAATTAATCTTGAAGTAAAAAATTACTACGAAGAAGAGATGAATAATCTAATAGGGGGATAGTTTCTTTGAAATTTTCAATTTAATATTTCATAACCCTTAATTTTTTAGTGAATCTAAACCTTTATTCTATAAATAATAAATTTTATCGATCGTTTGTAAAGGTCATCACAAATTTATATTCCAATACAACTCGATGGTTATCGCTGACGAATTCGGTTTGTACTTAAGTGTTTTGGAAAAGCTACTATTATGCTAATCTCAACAATGATTCTGGCACGCTAACTTGTTGCTTTAGCGGGCGAAAAAGAGATGTATCGTACGAAATTTATAAAAGCTAATTAAAAATGAATAACTGTTATATTGTGAGTCATAAAAGTTTAAAGTTTTGTATAATTTAAAAAGCATTACGTAAACACGGTGTAATAATGATAATGGTAATAAATGTCGAACAATGATGTGTAGTTCTGAAAGGCACGTGTTGTATTGATCGAGGGCCGTTTCATTAAACATTTACAACGCGTCTGTCTCTTGTCTGGTTGAAAATGTTGCGACCTTGACACCCCTAACTGGTCCTTTGAGAAAAAATGAATTTATTACAGACTAATTAACGATTTTATATGTTATTATAAGTAAAGCAAGCTATATGTAAAACCAAAGTAGAGATTATACGACATAATCCGTTAAACAGAAGCCAATGAATAAGTCCTAATTACATATAATTACTATAAAAACATATAGGTTTGTCATATCGAAGCTTTTATATGCAAGAACATTGATGGATAACAAAACCGATAATAATAAAGTTATTTCTGTATCTAGAACATTCAGCAATCAATTATATGTCAAACGTGAAGCGGTGGGAATGATGAAAGTCAATCGAGTTGGCAATAAATGCATCCATTGTATACACAACCTAACAGCCTGCTTCATTTACGTAATAAGCCTTGAATATTCTATTGGATTACCATTTGAATAACGTATTTTAATTTGAATTTATGTACTTATTATATTTACCTCATTCCTAATCGTATTAATTGAATGTATGTCAATATATCTTCTTCTCTTTCTAGCTTCCTTCATGAAATTTATAGACACAATGACTTATCAATTATTTTTTTTAAATGTCACTGTGATCAAATAAACTGATTTATATTATAAGACACTTTGATAACAAGATGTGATGCACGTAATAATTTTTGAAAATATAATCTTTTGAGAGCCAAAAAAAAAGTTTATCTTTAGAGTACAAAAGATACCAATATTTAGAAGTTACACTTTGCTGTTTACAAAGAAATAGCTTACGTCAATTTTACATTACACACGAATTAAATGACTCTTCCTTGAAACATATCATCATTATTTTAATAACTTGGTGATGAAAACATAAAAACTCTATTAAAAGAATCAAGTACGACATACCTAAAAATTTAAATATACGTTCTTTTGACTAAGTAACATTAGTATGTATATAAATTTCATTTTAAAAAGTTTCAATATTTTTAATACTGTATAAAATAACGCATCAGTTTTGTTCGCTCACACTCGTGACTTAGTTTATTTTAAAGAAGATCTTTATTCTAATAGTTTAATATAATAATAGGACTGGTGATAAAGCGTCATAACATCCGGATATGGTGCCATGAGTGTGATATGGGGAAGCTGCAGCGTGTGGTGTGGGAGGGACAGGGAGCGAGGCTCCTCAGCGAAGTATCCAGCCAGCCAGTTGTTAAGAAGTTTCTAGAAGCTGTGCCCTATATTATGGTAGATAAACTGAAAGTTACCATTGACAGAACTCAGTCCAAAAATTTTCTATATTTGAATTCGAATATTAATCTTTTTATTTTACTATTCGTAACATTATCATCAACAGTTTTACATTAAGTGTATTTAAACATATTATTTTAATCTTAACTTCAATTAACGTAAATATAAACTTAAATCCGTTTGTACCAATAAGTTTTACATTCATACAGATATGGGTAAAATATCAAGATTCTTTTTCTTTCTAGAACACTATACGCGACATCCACAATGCAGTAATACAAAACGACTTAGAGGGACTCTTAAAATTAACAGCTGATCCGGTACCGCCTCACGCTCTCTCCTGCAGAGATAGCAATAACATGACGCCGATGCATAAAGTATAATATTTTTAAAACAAAATACTACCAAATTATGCTACTTTATTATTTTTTTATTAATTTCAATAATGCATTTATTCCAGGCAGCAGGTTTAGGCCACGGCGGTATTTTAAAGTACATCATTGAAAGGTATCCACAAGGTATAAAGGATGTTGACAACGATGGACGAACTCCTCTACATTATGCTGCACTTGTGAAAGACGATCAGCATACTTATAATACTCTACTAGGATCTGGAGCAGACGAAAGTGCTGTTGACAACGTAAGTTTGTATGATAAAACGTTTTGTATGCAATATTAATCTTTTTTTATTTAATCCAATATTTTCATCAAACATATCTATACATCCTTCTACTAATCACACTTTAATCAAATTCTAGAAAAATAAAACACCTGGTTATTATATAAATAAGAGTCATGATATCGATAAAAATATTTTTAAAACATTACCCGACGCACCGAGAACGCCTTCTAACTCCTATCCTCCTTCCTGGGATTGGAAAATCTTGGAAAATGATTACACAGCAGATCTAAATAAAAAGTTTAAAAAGAAAAACCATAGAACTTCTAACGAAAATATATCTTCCAAAAGTAATACGAACACGATTTCTGAAAGCATTGAAACTAATAATGGAGTGATGAAGAACAGCAGCACACAAGAACTAATATCTAGTTTTCCCGATTTAAATGAAAACGATAAGGCAGAACCGGAAACTACTGAAACTGATGAAAATACTACTCATAAACAGGAGGTGAGTATTGCATGTCATTTAGTCATGCGCCCCTTTTTATTGATTTGCAAAGCTTTTTATGAGAATGACATTTTGCATGAATCATACTTTTTATTATTTTAGGATGCACGTATTGAGGAGAATAGTGAAATTGAAAAAGAGGTCAGTAATAATGAAGAGAGTTCCGAGATTGAAAATAATGAGGATCAAGACCAAAATGGTTCAAAAAATATAGAAAATGTTGACGGTAACAATGAAGAAAATGTTAATGAAAAAGATCACAATAAAGAAGGAGAAATCAATGACGTTATACATAATAGCAATTCTGACGTCAATAATACGAATGAAGAGAATGAACAAGATCAGAAAGAAAATAATATCGTAGAATTGAATAATGAACAAGAAGTTAAAGATACTAAAAATATAGATGATACAAATAATGAAAATATCGAAGATCATAATAATATAAAAGAAGAGAATGATAAAAATAAAAGTACAGAAGATGATAAAGACGAAGTAGATGATAAAGATGTTAATGTGGATATGAATAATACAGAAAAGGAGGACGTGGTCCAAAATAACGACATTCATGATAGCCTAGAACAAAATATGAATGAATCTAAAGTAGATAATGAGTTAGAAGAAAATATATTAGGTAATGATAGTCAAGAAGACAAAACTGATAACCTTAATGAAGATATATCAAAAGAAACGAACGATGTTATTAATGAAGACTTAATAGTTGGAAGGGCTTCGTCAAAAACGTCAAATAAAGAAGGTAATATATGTAGAGATAACAATGAGGATGATGATGATGTGCAAGTACAAGGAAGTTCGTATCCCGAACATCATGACATACACACTAGTAGTCCGACACTAAAACAAAAAAATACCAGCGCCATTAGGGACAAATCAAGGGTCTCTTCTGGCACTACACATCAAATATAATAGAAATAATAATTTAATAATTATTTCAATATATGGGGGTCCCGACGAGTTCAACATTTTTGGTTCTTTTACTAATTAAGGAAACCCTGTCAGCGGCCGTAATATTCAGGAAAGTCTCATAGAAGGATTAATTAGTAGCGAAGCAGAACAGGAAACAGAAGACGCGAGTATATCACAAAGAGAGAGCTCAGTTCACAACGATATTTTAATTGTAGTAAGTAAATCATGACGTAACATTTTAACGAATATATATATTTCAGTTTCAATTCTTCATGCTTAAATATTAAGGTAAATAAAAATAAAGTAAACATTTACTTGTGGTGTTTCTTAGAATAGAAATAACAAAGCACTCAAAATACTCACGAACACCTCACAACACCAAAATCTCTAATTAATTTGCCAGCTTCTTAGGTTATGTGTCTTACTTAGTCGCAAGTGCCTTTTACTATATCCATGAGTTTCAATTTTATAAAGTTCTATTATTTTAAAAATGCAGGACAATGAAATAGATCCTGAAGTTACCGATCTAATTAATACTGCAAACATGGAAATGTTAGCAACATTAGTATTGAACGGCGAAGGGGCCAGATTGATTGGAAGAAATTCTGGAAATTTAGAATTGCAAGCCTTTTTAAATAATGTCCCAACGTACATGGTAATTATAAATGAAATTATCTTTGAAAAAATGTTGCCGTAACATGTTTAAGTTTAAAATACCCTGTTTATTTCAGCAAAAGATAAATAGAGTACATATTGCAGCTAGAGAAGGGAATATAAGAGATTTACAAGCAGCTTTAGATCGTAGGAAATTTGCTATTGCCCGAGATCCTATATCACCGAACGGAGCAACTCCTTTGCATGTAGCAGTTGTTTTTGGTAAAACGAATATCATAAAATATCTAGGAGGGAGGTAATTGAAGTATATATATTTATTCTAAATTATTTTTGTGTTGTATAAAACTCTAACCTTGATATTACTTGTAATATTTTGCCTATTTTTAAATCAAATTTGTTAAATTTCTTAAAAAATAATATAAATTATTGAAACTAAAATTATTAATTATTGTTATTACCTCAAAATTAATTTAAAAAATGCTTACTTTTTATTTAATTTATTTGGCATTTAATATGTTCATTTAAATACAAATCAATTGATATTGTTATAAAACTGTTAAATAAATCAATTTCTTTTTAATTATATAATTGATCCAAAGAAAACAATCCTGTGATAATTACTAATGTTTAATATATAAAAAGAAATACAATTATCAAGTGTGTTCAATTGTTAACTATATAATATTTATAATACTATTATCATTTCTGTTGGTGATCCTATAAAAAAAAAAAATTATAAAATACTCTTTTACTCTTTTTTGTGTTGTATAAAATATAATAATAACCTCTTTTAGGTTTCCAGAAACTTTGTCTGCTGTTGATTTTGAAGGCCGTACAGCTTTACATTATGCGGCTGTTTTACCAGATAATGGTCATTATTTTAATTTGTTACAACAACTGGGAGCGAATTCTAAAGATTTAGATGATGTAAGCTATTTTACCTATTCTCTTACTCAGCCTGAGAAGGATTACAAGATCTTTATTAAATTTTTTCACCTTTAGATGGGACGATCTGCTGAGGATTATTACAGGAATCCTACTCTGTTGACTTTCAAACAATTGTTAGCGGACTTTGGAGTTAGCGAAGAAGTAGCACAAGAAATGTTTACAGATAAAGGTTTGTATTAAAGTCATAGGATAAAAAGCAAGCAACCTTTATTTTCATATGTTAGACATCTGTGTCACTATAAACAAACTTTTTATTGTACATGTATACAGTGCCAGATGACCGCGTTTCTTCCCGTCGAGTTTTAGATAATTCTGAAGCCTTGGATACTTTAGAACGTTGTTATAGATTGCTAGCATCTGCAAAACCAACAAGAACACCTCTGTCTGCGTCTTCAAATAAAGCCACTCCCCCAAATGTTTTAGGAAGATTCCTTAAACGACAAATATTTCTTTTGATAAAGGATAGAGTTACCAAACTAGACCACAACCTTTTCGACGTTATCTGGCCAGCTGTAAAGAAGCTGCCTGATAGTAGAAATATTATACAAACCGTGGAGGAAGATTTTCCTGGAGGCGTCACTGCGCCAGATTATTATGTTTATGAAGTATTTTCAGAATTTTTAACGCCACTCATTAAAGATCTTCACAATATGAATGTTAATTCTGAGCTACCCGAACATCCAATATCAGATTTTGTAAAAAATATACAATTAAAAGATGTCACTGAACCTCTAATAGAAATAAATGTCGATCCTGGAGAAGATTTCGTACTATCTGGGACAATGGAGTGCTCAAGAAATCTCGATGGATTTGAATTACCGTTGAACTTAAAAATCGGCAAACTCGAAACAATTGAAAGAATTATAACTACAATTTTGATGAGACCAGAGTTCTCAAAAATTATAGAACAATTCAATCCCGAGTCCGACCAAAAATGGGGAACTTATTACACTATGAATGAGGTTTTAGAGAAGCCTTCCGAAATTAGTGCAACGCTAGCAGCATCTGGATTACTTATCCCAATTTGTGATAGAGAAGAAATTGATGATAGCACTCATCTTCATGGTCTGCATTGGCCGTATGGTCGTGGGGTTTTCTTAAGTGATGATAAAACTGTAGCCGTTTGGATTAATGTTCATGATCATTTACGGGTACTAATTTCTAGACCCCTTGATTCACCGGGGGAAATTGGACTTACATTCAGCACTTTGACTCGTATAATGTCATATTTACATAATAACATAGATTTCGTTTGGGATCATAAATTAGGTCATTTGTCCAGCAGACCAACTTTTTTAGGGGCAGGCATAAGATTTAGTCTTATTGTAAACTTTCCCGGTTTGGCAAAAGATACTGATAATATGAAACATTTATGTGCTATGCGAGGTTTGCAATACAGAGAAACATTAAGTCCTGATATAGCAAGAATAAGCAATTATCAGTGTTTAGGAATCACGGAATCAAATTGCTTTAAAGATTTTGCTACGGCGACTTCAAATCTACTTCATCTAGAAAAAGATTTTCTGATGCAAAATTCTGCTCATATAGCAACATTACTAAGTAATATTTTCCGTAAAAAGAAGAATAGCTTAACGGGTGTACAAGATCCAATAAATCCAATGTAAAATAATATTTTTATGTATTCCTAGCGCCCTACTGCCACAGTTAGTCATAGTTGTAGCTTTATAAAATAAGTATCGGAAAGACAAAGGTCACCACTTAGGAGAATTGAAGAATCTAAGGATTTTAGCTAAAAATAAACCACATAGGTCAGTATTTAATTCTAAATACTTGTAAACACAACCTATCCGTGTGACGTTTACCGAGTGACTGTTTGCTAGCCATTTGCTTACTCACATAAATAATACAAGTTTTCGCAATAGAATATGCAAGTTTTTCAATAACACACTGCGATAAGCACAGGGCACCTTTGTCTTTCCAATGCTAAGCTTTTTATGTTAAACAAAAAATAGTTGCTAGTATGCCGAATCCGATAATAGCCCTGAAGGTATAATTGGTTCAACAACAAAAAAAGTAATGATTTAAAATTTATAAATCAATTTCTTTCAATAGGCTATATTTATTTAAGGCGCTATAACAGTAAATACATTTTACGTGGCGTATAAAAGGCGTGTTAATAAAACCTAGTTAATTTTTCCACAGCCTTCATGTGTGTTAACAACACAGGTGGTCAACTTCACGTGTAGACACGTATAGGACTGGTGTATTCAAGGTCATTGTAATGAATATTTAATACATTTCAGATATAAGCACCGCGGCTAACGGCCACATGGACATTCCCATATTTCAAACTGAAGAAGGCAGATATCTCGCAAAGTGTAAGCTATTTAACTTTTCTGTATTTTGATATGGATAACAGTGAATATTCTGAGACAAATGATGACTTGGAACAAACTTTTGCAGCACTCGGCGATCCTTTGATTAAAGGTCTGACCGAAGTGGCTAATATCAAACCTAAAGATCCTGTAGCATTTCTTGCGACTTTTCTACACAATTTTCCTGAACATGAGAAGCCCCGACCTGAAACACAGGTAACCTAAAACATTAAGATATATCATAATAAAAATTGTGCTGTTTCAAGGCTTATAGTTTTTGAATTACATTTAAAACTTTATATATTTTTTGTATTGTTGTTATTTAATATCCAATCCATACAGGAATCAAATGTATTAGTGACAAAAGAAGCTGCTGAATTTGAAAACGATCATCCACCATACGCAGAAGAAATGGAAGATAATAACGAAGATTCGTCATCAATGAAAGAACAAAATCGGTATCGCACCGCCACAAAACCGCGCCCCATCGACGTCATAACTGTCGATCCTCATACTGATACTAGTCCGGATGCACCAGAAATCGCCAGCAGTAGTGCAAATAGGGTATGATTTAACATAACTTAAATATGGTTTTAAAAATGTGAATGACTTGTTAAAAAAGCTTCGGATGTCCTAAGATTTTAAAAATACATCCTGTGTCAAGTAACAAATATCTTAAATAACTAAGTGTTTCGAATTTTCTTTAATACCCTTTTGAAAGAATCGATGTTTTGAAAATCGATTTACAACGATATTAGAACTTATATTCAATTATATTAATTATTGTAAGTTGTAACAGATTTGTGAAAAGAAGTTTTAATTTGCTGGTGACTGGACATACAATTTTATTAAATTCAAGGATGAACACGGTCAATCAATGTTGCATTTCGCTGCCGCTCGAACACATACAAACAATGCTCTGTTTCAACTTTTGCAAGAATCTGAAGTGAGTCTCGGTTATAGAGACGAGCTGTATCGGACAGCACGAGACGTCTCCATACAAGCAAATGTACTAGAAAATACTGTGGAGATAGACAGATGGGTACTTTCTTTGGCTGCAAGAGGTATTACCATCATTTATAAATATATTTGTACAAAACATGACATATATTTTGGTTTATGTCGAAATTATTCAGTATAAGTAAGGATGCAAATTTAAGATTTTTACTACATATTAAGATGTATTTAAAAGGACTACTCTTTTAGTTTTGTAAGATTAAACATAGGTTACTAAAATTGTGTATTAATCTTGCAGGTAAAACAGACAAAATCATGGAATTGCTTCTTCAAGGCTACGATCATATATTGGATATAGTGGATGAAGAAGGAGTGCCCATGTTGGAAGTGGTTGGCCAACGCGGTGATGATAGCATGAACAATTTACTCGCCTCCATTCCACCCTTCGAGGTAAATGTTCTTTGATATTTGGTAATAGTGATTGATTACAACTTTACACCGATGCAATATATAGCGTGCCGCATGTTTTATTACTTAATGTGTTTATTGATCAAGTACCAATTACAACCACGTGAAATAATTTAGAGCTTTTTTTTGGGTAACCATTGAAAGATATCGCATTTTTCCGTCGCTATATACCAGTTCTTTTTTAAGAATATAGTTGTCTGCAATGTGTATATAATAATATTTCTTTGATATTTATTTCATTTAGATATCCCTTAAAATGCGACATTTCGGTGCTAAGTAAATGTACATATTTATATACTTTTTTTGTCCAACCAATTTTAAAATAATATTTAAATGAAGCTACTGTATAAATCAAATATTTATTTAGCACTATTTTTTAAATGATTTTAACCTTTCGCATATTTGGAACTGTATTGGAAGTCAATATTTAAACTGACATTACAAACTCAAACTAACGTCAGTCAACACAGATCGTGCTACCCTCATGCATAAGCCACAAATACATGGTTGATTTATTTTTACATTTCTTTACAAGTTGTTATAAAAAAATGTAATTAAATAAAAATTTATTAAGGAATCTCGTGAATCTCTCCATGGAGCGATTCGTCGTGGAGATATGAATGTTGTCCGTGAAATAATATCTGGTGAACGTGGACATACCCTAGCACGAGCTCACAACGCACTTGGTCGCACTTCCCTCCACGTGGCTGTTTTGGCACAACATGAAGATGTTGTAGATTACCTTTCGGAGACATGCCCTGAGCTGCTGCGGGTCGGGGATAATGTAAGTAAAACCACAGTGAGGTTTCGAATACAACCATCCGCGCTAAATCGAGTAAAAAAATGAGGGCATTTCGTCTGCAGGCATTAAAACCAATTTTTAACGACTTTTATTAGATACTATGTACAAGGTAATATAATTTGAAATCATATACTCCACTCAAGTTTGTTTAATTAGTAGTAGCTATGTAACTTGCGGTTTCAAGGCTTTCTGAATATAGAGTTTAATTGTGCATAATAACCGTTTTTTGGACCAGGAGTAGTAAGAATAAATACGTATATATGTATTAAAAGTATCTGATAAACCTGCGCTGTTTAGAATGATTTATATAGTATATAATGTTTAATTTTACAATAAGAAAAATTATATAGTACGAAATAGTCTTGCAACAACTATTACATATTTAAAATAAAGACGGTCGCCATGAATTCGATGGAAGTTTCGTGAATACATTATTAAATAAACAAATACAAACATTTTAAGACATGTATATGTACCTATTTCGTCATTATTATAATTTAACTTTGGCTAAAATCGTTTTCCTTCTAGTTGGAAAGAACACCATTACATTATGCAATGGGAATGGAGAAAATGGAGTCTCTAAGTCGTATTCTTATTAAAGCGGGCGCTAAGCGCGTACTTAAGGATCTCAAGGGCCGTCAACCTTCTTATTATTTCATGAACAAGTCAGATATACTACGATTGAAGGAAGAAGAAGAAGCCTATTAATATCGGAGATCAATTAAAGGTTTTGAAAATGATATTGTCTACAGGTATGTAACCAAAATGTCTGAACTTCGTCTCGGGCTCTTAGTGCTATATTCACGTATTGAGAAATATAGAGCTTGTTGTAACAGAAACTTTAGTTAAAGAAATAATTGATTAAATATTATATCTAATATTCAATTTCAATTATTTTAATTTGTTGTTGCAACTTAAATGTTAATTTAAAGCAATCATGTACTTGTAGGGACCCTTTGTATACTTTAGAGATTATAAAATAAAAGATTTTCTTAAAGATGATAGATACTTCTTTATTTTATTTATACCCTAAATACATATTCAGAAACTAAACAGCTACTAATATAGAACTGAAAAATTTAATCTAAAAAAATAATAAATAATTCTAAAATAAATATTTTGAGTAATCATCTGTAGCATTTGGTTATAAGAGTTGAAAATATACTTCATCAATTATAATCGTTTAAACGTAATCACGTGGATTGCCATGGTATTGGATTTATATACATCTGTGAGACCGATCCCCGCATACCTTAACAAAAATACAACAAAGATTAATTAAGTAATCTCGTGATAATATCTTTATATATCTGTTACTGCTTAGTTAAAACAGTATTCTGAATCCAAGTCGGTATCATTTTAGCAAATGTTCATTTATAAATCTTCGCAAAAAATGTAAGTTATTGTAAAGATAACTTGGACTAAGAATACAAGTCTGAATATGGAGACATTTGCAAATTTTTTATATACTTTCTCAATAATTTTCGTATCATCCAACAACCTATTTCAATTTTATGGCCATTAAAGATAAAATAACATTGCGACGGACATCGTAATAGCCAAGTCAACTAGTTAAAAGGTTAATGAACTCTAGTCACTTACTGAGCTCCCCCTGGTTCAGTGGGACGGGAAGTGGTTTGTTTCTGCTGGTTCGCAACCAGTCCCTGTACGCTTGTTCTCCCTGAACACGTCGCCTCTCCTCTTCAATGGCGCGACGAGCTGCACTCCGCTCCGATTTACTCTTCATTACTGTCTCGTCATACAAATCTTTTATATATTAATCTAAAACTAGTGAAAATTAAAAAAAACTCAAGTAGAAAAGTCATTTCTAAGAATACAAATCAACCTTTAAAATTGCGTTTGAGCTATATAGAATATTTATGCCATAATTTATAAACGTGGCGTTTGATCGCAATAGTATCGGAATAGATATTTTTTTAAGAATTAAGAACATTCTCAATTACATCACAGACATGTTTTCGGATTTATTTTGGGTATTTTATTATTCTACATTTTATCCGTAGTTCGATTGCGCTGCAGTCGATATAACTGGCAGAAAAAATGAAAGTGTGCATAGAAAATGTAGATTAATAAAATTTATATGCGAAATAAATCCGAAACCCGTTGTTTTATTTAAACGTGTAGGTACTCGCTAGTTTTAAGGTGTCATAAGTATGTACTTAAATACATTTTATTTCTTCCTCTTTCTTTCTGATCCACTCGGCTAGTTTTTCTTCTTTCTCTTGTTGTCTCTTTTTCCTCTCTTGTTCTATACGCTCTGTGTGGTGATATTTTTTCATAATCTCGTCGGCTTTGCGTCTTTCCGACTGAATGCGTTTGCGTTCAAGCCATTTTCTGAAAGACTCTTCACGCTGCCGTGGAGACGTGGTCGGTACAACTTGCCGTTTCATTTTCTCTAACCTCGCCTTCTCCCGTTTCTAATAAAACAATTACAGTGTAAGAAATATAAAAGTTACAATTGCTTACAATGATACATAATTAAAGCCACACTTCTTGCTCTTTCCGAGCCAACCACTGTTTAAATGCTTCCTGCTTTTTCTTTTCGTTGCGGTCTCGTTCTTCTTTAGCAGTAGTCGTAGTTGACAGTGAAGCTACAGACAGACGGAAAGTATCGGCTCCGTCTTCACGGTACGTGCGATCATCGCGAGGTGTTTCTTCTTCAGCATTACATACATTTTGTTGACCAACGAGTCGACAGGATTTCCTCTTTATACTACCAGAAGATTCGCTTGATATACGACCAGTTAGAAAAGGAGTAGAATTGCTCCTGTAAGAGCTGTGTGGATGCGGAGTGACGTCACTGATACAGGATGAATCTGTCAGTAGAGAAGTCACAGAATGAGTAGCTTCAACAGTCTCGATAAATATCGCTGGGTTTATATATCGAGTTTTGCTTTTTCTTGATGCTATGGATTCGGTGTCACTGTGATACTGAATATTCTCTCCAGCACCATCAAAGACATGATTCGATCTCTTCGTTAACAAATCACACTTCGATCGGTTTCGAGCGCTATCGCCAAAGTTCCCTTTGTCGATTACGCTCGCCATGATGTCAAAAAATCAAAAACATTCTTCAGAGATAAGCTCGATAAACCGATTCAAAAATCACAATGAGAAAAAAATTTATAAGACCTTAAAAAATGCTTCGAAAAAACTGTCATTTATCAAATGAGAATGTCTGTCATGATTTTCCATTTATTTTAAACAAAAATGGTTAATATGTAGTGGCCAGGAATGTAATAGATATGGTTTGTGTTTAGCACCCTCGCTGATTAATATAATTTTATGTTGTAAGTAATGGAAAACCAGTTGAACTTAAGAGTGAAATTATTGAAGATAAACAATTCGTCTGTAACTGATAAAGGCCGCGATGGAAAAGAAAGTAAGTTACAATCCAGGAAATCTATTCTTGCTGATGTACTATATCGCCAGCTACCAAATAAACACAAGAAATATTTAATGTAGGTCCAAGTATAATTTAAATCTTCTCATTTTAGATTCCACTAAGAAATATCTACAATTGTTTAAAAGTACAACACAACAGACATAATGTGGCATTAGAATGTTATTCATTAGTTGTTTCCTACAAAAATTGCATAAAAATATCTACCAAATGTTTTTTAAGCCATTAACGAGTAAATTTCATTTACAGCCGATTTATACATTGTAAGAGTTACTTCTAATTTCCTCCTTAGGAATAGGACTCACCATATACACCATTAAGCTCAATTTAGAAATATATAAGCCGTCGACAGATTGGATTGGATCTTCTAATAATTTCGAATTTTTCGGCTAAACTAAAATAGTTCTAATAGCACCCTATCAAGCTTGTAGCCTGTGTCTATCCTCACCTTAAAAATAATATCAAAAACAACAGAAAACACCCTAATTATGATTCTTATATTATTAAATATAATTAATATCACGGATTCAAATAAACGGCCTTGGTTCTTCTTTTCTCTACTTGTAGACAATATTTAGGTGTATGTATATCACGTCAGTGTTTCCCTAAGGCTTACGATTTCCATGCTACAGAGACACAAACTAACATTTACTAAGAAAAAGAACAATTCTATTATGTAGAGTACTTATTGTAAAGAAAAAGCAGCAGCACAAGTAAATAAAATTTGAATCTCAAATATTTTTGGTTCTTGAGAATAAAATAAAAACCTAAAAAAACAGATTTATCATTTTAGAAAACTACTGAGTATCACTTACCTTGATACATAATTTTAATGTTTCATATTATATAGTAAAATAAAAAAGGATAAAAAACAAAACAATTTGTTATTGTAGAAATGTATTCGTATTTAAATGATTATATTTTAGTTAACATCTGTTAGCCAATTGAGATATCACTAAAACATTGCGGTTTAATAATATGAATTTGAATGACAATGGTTTTGTATTTACTATTATTAATTATAAACTTTATATTATATTATATCATATAACATTGTAAGGAGGTCTATTTAGTTTACAATTCATCTAGTATAGATGATCAAATTAAATCAATTCATATTCAGATATTGGGAACCAATGTCTTGAAGAGTCCATACAGAATTCTTATATAAAAGTTTGCCTCCAATATGTATTACATTCAATGTATGTACTAAGAACATAGTACACTGGTTACTTAGATTCAGTCTCAAATATAATACAAATGTTACAATGAAACTGCAATGTGACTATCTATTTTTTACTCACTAGCTTAGATTATGCGGTTTATATTGAATAATACATTCTGGTGTATATAATGTTGCCGGCGTTATTTAGTTCCCATTTGTGCTGATACTAACATTGAATATATACAGAATATCTAGTGAATAAAAAACAAAGTTTACACTTAAATGTAATAATCCTTGCCTAGGATTGAGATTAAAGTCGTCACTAGTATAAAGATTCAGCGTTAGATGAACGCGGCTTCTTAATTTTCTCTAAATTCTTAATGACAATATCGTGTAGAGAACAATAACGGTTGCGGATCTCACACATGACCAGCCATAATGACAAATATTCCTTCTCATCTAGTTCCTGTGAAAAATAAAAATTGCATTGATCAAATATTATATAAATTTATATATATACAGGGTGACTGGTGAATTACTATCGATACTTGAGGACGTGATATTTGACGATCATATATGACAAAATAAAAATTTATATAACATAAAAATTAATAAACTTCTAAGTAAAGTTAACCAAAAGTTATGTAATTAATTACGCATCGTGTGAACACCCTACAGATTAGGTATACACACACACAAACACACGTGCGGCGGCGTGGTGTTGTATCAGCACGCCGCCGCACGCGTCCACACTTGGAACACTTGGAACGTGTCCACACTTTATTTATTTATACGGAAATTTGGTCAAAAATTAAGTACCTATTTTTTTTACATAATTCGAATGAGAATCATGTACCGAGTATTCTCTTTAAATATTGATAGTAATTCACCAGTCACCCTGTATATAGCTTTCGAAAAATCCCTACTGATATTATAAATGCGAAAGTAACTCTGTCTGTCTGTTATGCTTTCACGCCTAAACCACTGAACAGATTTTAAAGAAATTTGGTACAGAGATAGAGTTGACCTTGAGAAAGAACAGGATAGTTTTATTCCCAGACTTTTGAAAGGTTCTCTTGGAAACGCGATATAACCGAATTCCACGCGGGCGAAGCTCCGGACGGAAAGCTAGTATATACATATTTTAAATTTGAGAAAACTATAGTTATGAATTTTTAAAAATTTTATGAGGTAAATAAAAAATTGTCTTATCAATTAACATGTTTCTTGATTATTATTAACAAGATTTTCAATTTACAGATACATGTAAAAATGTAATAACTACTTGTTTTCAATGTCAAACTAGATGTATACAAAGGAAGAACATAATTATGCTGAAAATAAACCAAACCGTTTTGTTATAATGTTTAAAAACTCACTTGAACCGCTCTCCTGTAATCTTCTATATGTGGATACTTAGCAACCTTTGACACAATCTTAGCTCTTGAAATGAAATACCGTGAGATTTGATCAAAGAAAGCAGCCGCCTCAGATTCTACCGACTGAATCTCTGCTAGAGTGTCTTCTTGTATTGAAACACCAAAATTGTTACCATCTTCTATTTTTGGGATCATAAATGATATCCACATTTTAAGCTGTAATTAGTAAAAAAAAGCATAAGCATTGACATAGTAACATATATTTGAGTTTATATTTCATTAATTAATATCTATATAAATATTTACCAAGTTTGAATCTTCAACTAGTTCCCTAATGTGTGGTTTCACGAGATGTATAAGGTCACTTATAGGTTTATTACATGGTACAGTACCATTAGGCAAGGCATAAACCATAGTGCCCTCAACAGTCATCACACTAGATACCTCAGATGTATCTAAACGCTGTCGTTTAGCCGATGGCTCATCTTGTGAATTTGTGTTAACAGGTGGAGGTACTGGAATGTTTAATTCCTGAAAAAAACATATTATGTTGAATTCCCCAATAAAATTATTCAGTTAAATATTGTTTATATTATTAATAACATGTTAAACATACCTGATGGACATCAGAAAGATCTCGATTTTGGAAATGTGATGTTTCAAGAAGTTCGTTCAATTTGACAATTTTCTCTGGAAATCCTTTTATAATAAGGTGTTCAGCCTTCTGCTTGAGGGAGTCCTTGTAGTCCTGAACCTAAAATAGGTTAGAAAAAGAAAAACTTTCTATCTTAAATAAAAAATTCATTGCATTATTTCTCTCGTATCAAACATGTATTACACTGAAACCCCATGCTTACAACCCGTATGGTAAGGTTATGTTCCGATTGCTATAATTTACAATAAAGATATAAACATCGTAAAATGAATCGTAATTTTTATTATAGAAAATTAAAGTTTCAATGTAACAACAACGCATCCTTTAAAATACACAATGGTTGTCTCGATATTATTATTACTGATTTTTAAAAGGAAGGCAAAGTAAGAAAATAATTCAACTTTACCTTCTTAGCCACGTCTGTCATTGTTAATTAATAAAAGCTATCGAATAGTACTAAAAGTAGTGTAATTAAAATTATACAGTAAACTGAAAACCGCAAAAAATATTCTTTACTTTGACTCAAGTACACTCGTGTGCTTGAAAGAATGAACGATTTGGTTTGGATACGTTCACAATTCTGAAACACATTATCATTATACTTATCAATATAATTTTCAATACTCAATAATTGACCTACCACATTTAGATTATCGTCATAATTTGGATCCATTTGCTTTTGTAATATTATATTATATTTAATATTTTATTTTTATAGAAGTGACAAAACAAGACATTACATAGTATAAACACTTTTTAATTTTTTATGATATTATTGAAATTGTCTGCTTAGAGGATGTATAATTTTTTTAACATTTAATGTTGTGAATGTAATTAAATCTATTAAAAATTTTAGTGCTTAAGTAAAATAATTTTCAAACGGCAATTGTAGAAAAAATTTGCTGCAATTTGAATAAGATATTTCTTGAACATTATGTATGGAGTTAATATATTTGATATATCATTTTAAACCTATAAATTTCTAGAGTGCGTGATATATACGAAAGTAAAAAATATTTGTAGATGTTTTATACTCTTTTTGAACAAACCTAAGCAATATTTTTGTTTACAACTGTATTTTCTGGGAGAATCAAATAATAAAAGTATTGTAACCATAAAAATATTATAGTATCGGAGTTTAAAAAATGGTTACTAATTTATTATTCGGTTATTCAATATGTCAATAATTTCAATTAAACAGATTTATTTATATAACAAGAATATGATTTTCGGTTTTATTTACATTAAAAAGTATTGACATACAAAAAATGCAGTCTGATTTCTGAATAGTACTGTTGACACGATTGTAACGATTTGAAATTTGATTTAAAGCTTTAAGTAAAATATAAATAAACTTATTGATTAAAAATCAAATCACTTAATATATGATTTTAAAATGTATTAGTTTTATTCAATGGCTTCGTTTAAATTTAATTTTTCGGGAGAAAGTGAAGATGAAAATCGTGAAAATGGAGGTTAGAAATTAGAATGCTATTTATATTATTAAGATATTTTTTTAAAAATTAATCAATTTATTTTTATTTTCAGGCGAACTTAAGGATGTGGAATGGCTAGATAGTGAAGAAGTAATACCAAATTCAAACGTAGACGATCTCGATGAACTGGTTGAACATGCGAAGATGTTTACATGTGGATGTATAGAAATTGGTCACGTATTAATAGACGATATATTTAAACATAATATAAATAAGAAAAATTATGAAAATATACTTAACCTTGCTGAAAAAGAACATAGTGATCTTGTTTCTGGCAAATATGAAGGTAAACTAATTTATTCAATGTAAACATAATTTTTGTTTTCATATTCCTGATGATATTTATAACTTTGGTCTTTCAGGAGGTCTTAAAATTTGGGAATGTACTTATGACTTGGTTGAGTACTTCGAAAATAATCCAGATGCAATAAACTTCAAGGATATGAAAGTTTTAGATTTGGGTTGTGGTGCCGGAATTCTAGGAATATATGCATTTTTAAAAGGAGCAACTGTTACATTTCAAGATTATGTTAGTATTACTTTGCTTTTGTTGAAATTTTATGACAATTATTGTATTATTTGTCCAATATTTTATTTTTAATTAAAGTATTTCTGTTTCTTTCAACAAGCACATTCTTGGATATGATAGAAAAATAATTTAATGTTCATTATATTATTGCAGAATAAGGAAATACTAGAATTATCTACGATAACTAATGTCCTACTTAATATTGAAGAATCGGGAAGAGATTGCGGAATTAAGAACTTCAAGTTCTACTCAGGAGACTGGGCTTCATTTGATAAACTGCTAGCATCTGAGAAGTTTGATATAATTCTTACTTCAGAAACAATTTACAATCAGAATAATTATGAAAAACTCATTAAGTTATTCGAGAACAGGTTAAATGTGAATGGTGTTGTATATGTTGCAGCGAAAACATATTACTTTGGTGTGGGCGGAGGTACAAGACAATTTGAAACAGCCGTACATAAAAGTAGCTTGAAATCTGAAGTTGTATGGAAAACGAGTAGCGGTATACAGAGAGAAATTATTAAAATAACAAATGCTTGACAGTTACTGTTTTATTTATATCCAGAAAATATTATACATAAAATTTTTAACATGGAAGACATTACTCAATACTATAATAAACATATTTTCCTCAGTCATATATAGATAATTATTAAAGCCTTTTATGGTGAAAGTCTCTCATAGACCCAACCATCTTCACCCTGATGTAGTAACTTTCCATCGGCAACTTCTCCTTCATGTAGTCTCCGAAACCTTATTCTATCATGGAGCCTGTTAGTCTGTCCTTGCCAGAATTCAACTGAAGTAGGACGAATGATATAACCACCCCTGAAATTATTACAACAATAAGTAAAATTGATTTTATTTTGTCCTATAAGTGTGCAGTCATTAACTTTAATACAGTATGAAGGTTATGGCCAGTATTAGACAAAGTTATGATGTAGCATATAGTTGCACTAAAGTGCAGAGCAGATTTTAGCATGAATTTATATGACATAGCCTGTCACCGAGGCAGAGATACAAATTGAAATCTAAAACGACGCTCGAGCCGAACTCTAATCTGGTAGTTTTCAGAAACTACAAAGTCGGTTGAGTGTATTTTGCTAGGAAATGAGGGTATGTATTTAGAGCTGAAGATAATGACGGACTGGTCGACTCTTCATCGGGCTTTTTGGCTGCTTTGATTATAGTTAACATATTGACGCTCTAGAATATAGATGTTCTGAAAAGATGATCTAGACGTTGATAGAAGAGGACACAGTGCTTTCAGTCTCGCTCCATATTTCGAGATTTTTAAACAGTTTCTCCTTTTAGAATCCTAAGACGGCTCTTTGCTACAACAGTGTCTTTTTAATATCGTCAATTTTCGTCGCCACTGAATATTAGTGGGATGTTGCCGACCTTTATTGTTAAAAGAAGGAGGAAATAGGGAGGGTGGGAACACGGAAAGGGCAAACGGCTCTCTCACACATAGGACGAAATGCAGTCACTTTTAAGTCTAACTGATTCCGTTCATCTGTGAGAGGATATATATTATTTCCCCAGTAGAGCCAGCCCATGTTCGAGCAGGGGTAGTTTGACCACAGCTGGATTCTACCACATTACGTTGTCCCACATCTAACCATCCGAACCAATTTTTGGTAAAGGTAACAAAATATTAAAATATCGCATTCCTAAAGAGTTAGACCTTTTAGAGTTTAAGAATTTGGAACATAAAGTTATGTCTAATTTAATAACGGCTGAGAACGTTGATAACAGTCTAAAGTCTGTCGGTATGGCTTTGTAAAATTTAAAATAATAAGAAAAGTATAAACAGATATTAATTGTTATGCTAATATTCAAGATAGGTACGGCCTATTTAACAAACTAAAAAATCCGATAGTAATGTAAAAATACAAAAAATTACAAACCAGAAATATGGTTTCGGAACTTTCTTTCCCGGTACCAAGTATTCCTTCTCTAAAATACTTTCTCTTTCGCGCAATACATCTCTCGACTCAATCGGTGTACTCTGACAGCTGCTAGCAGCGGATATTTGATTTGGTATTGGTCTTTCTTGGAAATACTTTGTTGATTCTTCTTCTGACAATTTCTCAACATAACCTTCGATCCTTACAGAGCGATTTAATACAACCCAGTAAAATGTGGCTGCCACATACGGATTCTCTTCCTAAAACCAGTGCATAACACAAAAATATACACTTATTTGTCTTTGTTACTTTCTTACGGTTTTGTATTTTGATAATGGTGGTAAATTGGATAAATATTTGAAATTAAACCATTCGAGACGCAACTACTTTTCTAGTTAATTAATTTTTATATTCATTGTAAACCACTATTTAATTATGATCCTTTGATGCATCTAGTTAAAAATATTTTTACAGAAATTTCTAAATAAGGCTCAAGAACAACAAGAAGATTGACAAAAATATTTCAAAGATATATTGTTTAGGCGTTATTATATAAGCATAGGTAATTTAGGCTACGTCACTATCATTACTTTAAAAAAAACTGAATTTTAGTTATTTGATAGGTACCATATCCTGTGCCTTGCTACTTCCGTAGTTTGTAAAGAATTTAAATCCCTCTTTTCCGTACTCTTTACACAACATATATCTTGCAGAGGGGCATCCATTCCTTAATATAATTATTATTATTTATTCAACTAGCAATAAAAATGGGTACACAATAGTTGATATTTAATAAAATTTCGTTGAAAAAGCTTCTACATTTTTCTAACAATTGACCATAGGGAATTCATTCATTCATTCCATAGGGTATATTTATTATAAAATACTGATTAATTTTCAATTCTGAAAAATGTATAACTAAGAATCTTGAATACCTACTACCAATATATTTTAAAACCGACTTAATTTGTTGATATAAACTCAAAAATATTAGCAAAACATACCTTGTAGCTGTAGCTAGGCACATTACATTTGGTTCTAAAATTTCTTTTTTACTAACAGCTTCTTTAAACCAAGCATCAAATTGTCCAAAAGGTTCCTTTGATACCAAATCTTTTTCTAGGAAAGTTTCATCCTTACTTTTATATTTTATTCTTAAACCTATTGAATTTTAGTACATTATATTATTGAATGAAATATATTATGTATAAATGATTGATCAACAATGACAGAGTTTTTTCAATATTCTGTCATTTTTATTAATACCTCCTAAGTTGATACCCATGGCACTTAGAAGGAATTTTACTAGGGCCCTCATACAAACTGGATTATAAGCTATGTTTGATACTACTTTTTTATTTAGACTATGGCTTCATTTGAATTCTTTATTCAAGTACAACGTTTATCCTTTGAATGTCAATGTACATTTGTTGCCATGCGTTAAATTCAAATATTTAAGATAGATTATTATGTAAATTACGATAACACATTACCGTGAATGTACAAATAATATTTTTTACGTTCTTATGCTAATGTGAAAAATCTTTTGTATACCGTATTTTGACAGCCACCTAACATAGAAAAATATAAATTATTGATAAAAAAAAATATATAGTTCATAATTTATGTAATTTTTTAATGGTATTCAAATATTCTTGTTTTTTTTTATTAACATAACCAGCAATAATAATCTTAGCACTTAAGGAAAAACTACAATTGTGTAATGAAAATATTCTACTAAATATGAAGATAACAAGGAAAAGACTGTGCAATAAGATTTTCAAGTACTTTTCCTATGACTTGGATTCATCTGATAAAATCCTAGCATCTGAGTTAGATATAAATCTTAGCATTTTATTTTAAGACAGTTTAAATAATAAGTCCTGTATTTGTTGCAGCAAGATAACGTTTTCGTTATTGATTCAGCCACAAGGCAATTTTAAACAGCCATACACATTAATATGATAAACAATTATTATTATAGTATTATAAAAAGAAAAATTATAAAAATAAAAAAGCTTGATAGTTAATAATTGTATTAATTATATCAAAGACCCATAACACCACCTTTATTACATATATTACTTAATATGGAAGACATTATTAATTACTCAACAATATTATTTCATCTTAATTAAATATATATATTTTTTTACAGCTTCTTATGGTGAAAGTCTTTCATAGACCCAACCGTCTCCGCCCTGATGCAGTAACTTTCCATCGGGCACTTCACCTTCCTTGGGTTTCCGGAACTTTATTCTATCATGGAGTCGATCTCTTTGTCCTTGCCAGAATTCAACTGATTTAGGACGAATGATATAACCGCCCCTGAAAGATAGCAAAATATAAGTATACCAAACTTTTGTTACTCTATGAAGTGTTAAAATGCCTACTAATATTATAAATGCAAAAGTAACTCTGTCTGTCCGTCTGTTACGCTTTCACGCCTAAACTACTGAACTAATTTTTATAAAATTTGGTACAGAGATAGAGTTGACCTTGAGAAAGAACATAGGATAGTTTTTATTCAGACTTTTGAAAGGTTCTCTTAGAAACGCGATATAACCAAACTTCACGCGGGCGGAAAGCTAGTGTTATATACATTACAATATCAATAGTTCATAAAGTTTCCGGCGTCTTCTTTAGTATCTTTTAAATAAACTTCTATATTTATATCATTAAAGTGTTCCAGATAACAAAATTAAACAAAACAATCTCAGTTGGATAACAATTAATAACATTTATATATATTTAGTGTACTAAAACATAAATTATGCCAGAGATATCACTATCAGAAATATGATTACTGCAAACATTTCTGTAAATAGTAAAATGTGAAGAAACAGCTATTTAATATACTGATCGCTAGTAGTACTTATGTGAATTATTATTAATATTTGTATTTTAAATTACAGGATTTATTCATACACAAAATATAGCAAATGATAAGTAATTGATACGAGGGGAGGTCAAAAAGTTCGCGGAATGGAGGGGATGGAGGGGGTTGATTTACTCGTCCAGGTAGTAACTTGTTCAACACCTCATTAATAGTATATATACCAAGTTTGAACCAAATCGGGTCATTAACTTTTGAGTTGTTGACCTGCAAACAAGTGAATCGGGAAGAAGTCAGTGAGTATGGAGAAAATTGAACACCGCGCCGTTATTAAGTTCCTCACCAAGCAAGGAAAATCCGCTCAGATAATTTTTGAAGAGCTGTTATCAGTTTACGCGGACTCTGCCCCTGGTAAAACCATGGTTTACAAGTGGCATGGACTTTTTAAACAAGGAAGAGAGTCCATTGAAGATGACGCCCGCTCCGGACGACCGATTGAGGCCACCACACCGAAAATCGTCGCAAAAGTAGAAAAACTTATATTGGAAGATGCCTGGTTGAAGAAGAAACGGCTTGGAGCAATGGTTAGAGTATCTGAAAAAAGCATTTTTAATATCCTACATCATCATCTTGGGATGACTAAGGTCAGTGCAAGATGGATTCCAAGAATGCTCACGCCACTTCAAAAGAGCGATCGTGTCGAGTGTTCTCGCCAGTTTTTGAAGCTCTGTGGAGAGAATAAGGACGAAGTTATGGACCGGATTTTTACTGGTGACGAAACCTAGGTTCACCACTATGAACCTGAATCGAAGCAAGAATCGATACAGTGGCATAAAAAAGGCACAGCTCCTCCAAAGAAGTTTAAAGTGTCACAATCGGCCGGAAAGATCATGGCGACTGTCTTTTGGAATACAGAAGGTATTTTGCTGATCAATTATAAAGATCGTGGTGTGACTATAACGGGACAGTACTACGCTTCTTTATTAGATAGATTGAAAGAAGCTATCAAGGAAAAAAGAAGAGGAAAGCTGTCAAAAGGTGTGCTCCTTTTGCACGACAACGCAACAGTCCACACGTGCCATGTTGCGACGGCTGCCATTCACCGATGCGGACTCGAAAAACTACACCACCCACCTTACAGTCTAGACTTAGTCCCCAGCGACTATTATTTGTTTTCAAAAATGAAAAAAAAGCTGCGGTGAAAAATATTTGAGAAGTCAAGTCCGCAATTTCGGCCTATTTTGATAGCCAAGATAAATAATTTTTTTCGAATGTATTAATAAATTATTTGTGAGATCCGAAAAATGTATTAAGGTTAAGGGAGACTATATTGAAAAGGAAAAATAGTTTCGTGTTAAATTTCAACCCCCTTCCTTCTCATTCCGCGAACTTATTGACCTCCCCTCGTACAACAAATTACTAACCAGAACTTTGGTTTTGGAACTTCTTTTTCTGGTATCAAGTATTCCTTCTCTAAAACGCTTTCTCTTTCACACAATATATCTCTGGATTCAATAGGAGTACTTTGATAACTAGTCGCAGCGGCTATTTGACTCGGTACAGGTCGAGTATGAAAATATTTTGTTGATTCCTCTTCTGAAAGTTTTTCAACACAACCTTCGATCCTTATGGACCGATTTAGTACTTCCCAGTAAAATGTTGCTGCCACATTAGGATTCTCCGCCTATAATTAACATATATATTTGAAATTACAGTTCCTTGTAAGAAATAATGTTATTAAGTTACATTTTTCTCACAATATTACAGATATATGTCAGTGCTATTTTAATGTTTTTTTGTAATTGTATAAAAATTGTTGGTATTTTTAATGTTTTTTAGACTTTTTAATATTAATAGTATTTTTTATAGTTTCAATATTTTCAAAGATTACTCCAGACGAAAAATGGACAATCTATGTATAAAAAATAAATATTCTACCATTTCTTGTGCCTTTCTACTGCCATAGTTTGTGAAGAATTTAAAGCCCTCCTTTCCATAACCTTTACACAGTACAAATCTTGCTGAGGGGTATCCATCCCTTAAATAAAATAATTATTATTACTCAAGTACCAAGCACAATTAACTAGTAATATATCTGCATGCATGTTCAATAAAATGTAATCTCATTGCAAACATATTTTTTAGTTCACAGCTCAGGGAATATAAACTATGTACTAGTTTTTGCTGGTAAGTATATCTCTTAGCACTTAATTTATGGTCAAAGAAAAATGTATGAAGTATGTTAATCAAATAGATGTGATTTCATACATAGTTCAACTCTTGTGCCTCAATCCTACGGAAAAAGGAATTTTGGGATGTTTTTCCAATAATGGAGCTACATTCAGTGTGTTTCTTTAAAAAGTAGGTATTTTCTTGACTTTGAATGTATTACAAACTAAAAGTGAAACTCATAAAATTATTTTAGAACAATTTACACTCTATTACCATTTCAACTTGTTTATACAGGCTAAAATATATTTGAAAACTTACTTTGTAGCTGTAGCCAAGCACATTGCATTTGGTTCTAAAATTTCTTTTTTACCGCAAGCTTCCTTAAACCAAGCATCAAATTGTCCAAAAGGTTCCTTTGATACCAAATGTTTTTCTAGGAAAGTCTCATTCTTATCTTTATATTTTATTCTCATACCTGTTTAATTTTATTACACCATATTATTAAAAATGATAACATTGTAATTAAATCAATTTAAAAAATCTTGTATAATAAATACCTCCTATGTCGATACTCATGGTGCGTAGAATTAATTCGCTTTTAGTACTGTTAAAAACAATGCTTGAAAGCCTTGCTACTGAAATGATTCTCATGGAAGTTGGAGTGTTATTTAAACATTTAATACGTCCAATCGACGCATAACCATTTAGAAATAACGTTTATCAGCTTTATCTGTTTTTACTTTCTTATCAGTTGTACGTCAGTTTACCTTTGACATTTGTTAAATTACAATGACTAACAATTTTAAAATCATATACTATTTTTCACACACTATTAACTTTACAAATATATAAATGCTAAATATATTAATTAATATTGTCAAATTTTATTTAACTTCTTATTAAATAAAGAATTGAATGAGAAAGTTAGCCAGTATAATTTAATATATTAAAATGAATTTAAAACAAAATATGATTTAATTTAATACAAATTGTTTTTATCATTCAATTATAATATAATATTTTATATATAAGCATTTAGAAATTGAAGAAATAATGACAATTGAGTATTGACAACTCACTTTTATTTGGCACTTCGTCACATGAATGTTTTGAACACATCAAAGGAAAAAACAAGTTGAAAAATCATTTGTTAACGTCAAAATTTCTTAAAAATCAATTATAACCGGCTAATATGGAGGCTGAATCTGAAGTAGTTAAAGAAAAAATTCACACTGAACCGATCCTAAATGACCCGCGATACATAACCTTATTGAGTATAATACTGCTTTTGTTCACTCTTGGTAAGTTTCAAAATGTTTTTTAAAGGTTTTATTATTGTTATATATATTGATAAAGAAAGCTAATTATTACAAATATTATTTCAGTGTTTTGGTGGTGTTTTTCAAGACGTCGGCATTTGAGGCGGTCAGTGCTACTAACGGGACTTTCAGATTCAGGAAAGACTCTTTTATTTGTGAGACTCTCTTACTCACAGTATAGACAAACTTTCACATCTATGAAAGAAAATATCGAAGAATATATAACATCGAATGTTAGTTTATTTTCATCAATCGAAATTATTTACTATCTTTATTATAAATAGTATATGATTATTTTCTGTTTTTTAGAATGCCCTAAGAATCGTAGATCTGCCCGGTCAGGAAAGATTGAGAAACAAATTCTTTGATCAATACAAAAGCAGTGCTAAAGCCATTGTATATGTTGTAGACTCTGTAACTATACAGAAAGAAATAAGAGATGTCGCTGAGTATGTAAAAACATATCTAATAAATTAAACAATAATTTAAAAAGAAAATAATGAAATTTTAAACTGTTTTTTGCAGATATTTATACACCATTTTGCTTGATCCAGTAGTGCAGAGCAATTGTCCTCAATTTTTGATTCTTTGCAACAAACAAGACCAGCCCATGGCTAAAGGCAGTCAAGTCATCAAAGGTTTACTAGAGAAGGAATTGTGAGTAACTTTAATTACTCTTTATTTTTATAATAAGAATTTCTTTATTATACTAGCTGACCTGGCAAACATTATTTTGCCATATAAAAAATATGGGTTGGTAATAAAAAATAAAAACAAAAGCCTTTGATCCAAATTAAAAAATAAATAAATTAGGGGTGAACAACCTCTATAGCTTAGGAATATGAAAAATAGATGTTGGCCGATTCTCAGACCTACTCAATATGCTCACAAAATTTCATCAGAATCAGGCAAGCCGTTTTGGAGGAGTGTGGGAATGAACATTGTGACATAAGAATTTTATATATAAGATATATTTTTTCTATTTCAGAAACTTGGTCCGCGTCACAAAATCTAGTCAGCTGCAATCAGTGGATTCATCACAAAGCAATAGTTCTCTGTACCTCGGAAAGCTCGGAAAAGATTTTGAATTTTCTCATTTGAACTGCAAAGTGGAATTTGCTGAGAGCTCAGCTAATACTAGTGATGATGATAATCCCGCTGATATGAAGGCTTTGAAGGATTGGATCTCAAAATTATAGAATCCAAACACATAGAGTTTGTACTCTACTTCCAATGTTCTCATTATATTATGTATGCTTAACATGTATTTAATACATGTATTTTTGAGACTTGAATTGTTAAATTTGTGCATTTTATAGTATTTTGTATGAGAATGATCCCTTGTACTTTTTAATAAAATATCTAAATTATTTTGGTCATTTTATTTCTTTATACTTTTTTGATTTTTATAATAGTATAGATGGATGTGGCTACATTAAAATAGTATGGTATTTATTTATTTTTTAAATTATGGCATGATAATAATTCATCTTCATCTTTAATTAGATCATAAGTCTTGTTACGTTATTTTTATAAAACTTAGTTAATGTTTTGAAAGAACAAAATACTTTGTAGATAAAGTTATATTGATTGCTATATTATTAACAAAGGATACTTGAAAAAGGATTCGAATATAAAAAAATTAAAAATCGTTTAAAGAAGACATTTCTTGTTTATAATGGACTATAGTAGCAACTGTGAAGATAAAAATCATTGAACTTTTAAAGCCATAGAGCGCGCGAAAAATTGTAACTCGATTTGACGTAAAATACAGAAAGAATCCTCTGATAATTAGTAATATGTAGTTTAAAAAATTCTCGATTATTGTGAATTTGACATTTTGACAAAGAAATAGTCATATATATTTAGCAACATGTATGACGTATATAACATACAAAATCAGGTTTTAACGTAAAGAAACATTCTGCTAGTGAGAAGTAAAAGGTATTAATTTTTATTTATTTGAATCTCCAGAGTTCATAAACATCATCAACATCATCAGGTTATAAGAGACCATTGCTGAGCAAAAGCCTCTTCTCACACGGAGAATTATATTTCAAACTTATAATTCGAGATTATAAGTCTAGGTTTCCTCACGATGTTTTCTTTCACCGCCTGTAAATGGTATCTAATACCTATATTTTAGAAAGTACATATGACTGGGAAAAATCACATTGGCACTTGCCAGGTTTCGTTTCAGTTTCAACTTCGAGGCCACCACGACTTAAATAAAAATAAATCATAAAAAAATCTCTTTAAATAAATATACAAAAAAAAAATATTCCTTACGCTTGAAAAATTAAAAATATATACTTATTTCTATTCAGACATTTTTTTTATTGAAACCCTTCGCCTTGGCATTGATAAACCGTAATGCCCAAACTATGACTCCACAAAATATCAAGATCAATGTAAATATTAATTACTTTGTTATTCTTGCATATTCATAACGTATATTATTGACAGATATCGATGTGCTTTAGAAGGGTTAAGGGGAAGGGTTAAATAAAGATGCAATCGGTACACAATAAGACCATTCATGGTGCTAGTGCAAGGTGCAAATATGCATATTCATGACTTTTTCATTAAAAAGATGTATTGCAAAATCGTCACCCTTATTAGTTTTTTATTCATAGATGCGGAAGAAGAGTAATGATTTTATAATATCAGTAGGCACTTGTATTAAGTCACGGTAATGATAGGAGCGATGATATTGAAGCAGTTTTATTATTATTCGTCCTTTGTTATAGCAATTTTGAAAATCCCAACGTAAGCAACGCTAGTGAACCAATCTATTATACCTATACGTATTTTCAATTCTATCTTTACTATTAAAAGAAATGGGTATTACGCCTTTTTATTCTATAGGTATACTTTAATACCAAATGTAGGTAACGCAGACAGCAGACAGATACGTGAACATTTATAATATTAGCTTGAATTATCATAATATACATGTTCTAAGTCCTTAAAAGAGTAAAGTACCCTTATTAACCGGCAAGATAAGCTGCACAAGCAGCAAGTAATAATTTATTGTGCACTACTTTCCCACGCCAAAACCTTTACAAACCGCTTGCCTCCCACGGGTACACGCCAGCTCCTGTCATTCATTCATTAAAAAAAACGGAAGCCTGTGACGTCGACAAATTCCCACACAGATATATAAGAAATGGTTATTTTAATTTCCAAATCAAATATTAAGCGACGAATTGCTGACAAAACGTTCGATGGCACTTATGAAATTGATAAAAAATGTTGTTTTAAAACAGCTGTCTACGAATATAACTCCATTTTGAAATTTATTTTCAAATATATTATTATTAAGATACATAAATTATATGTGCTAAATGTCAGATATTAACCGGAAAATATATTGTCGTTGAAACTGACCCTAATATAAAGACTTCTTTAACTTTACGAGTATCATGTTATATCTCGTTTTAATACGTCCATGTGTTGAAATAACATTTATCATTACATCTTAAACAGCATTAATTATCATAAGACAGCAGCTGGTCGTGAATCAGTTAGTAATAGCACAGGTTTATGAATAACTAAGTTATGTACATTGCGGTGCATTACAACGCAATATTACCTCTAGATTTTATCATTTCGGTAAAATGTTGAGTTGTCAAATACATCACAATAAGAAGGCGAAATCCACGCTCATATTTAGTATTGAATAGATCTGCAGCATTATCTCGGGATCTCATGTCGTGTAACTCTCAAGAGAACCTTTAAATTGTGATAGTTTTAATTACGAGCACTCTTAATTAACAAAATAAAAAAGCACCCACTTCACATTGAATCGAAACGAAGTAATGTTTTAAAAACAATTTAAATAATATGTATCCGTTCATTAAAAGTTTCGATTTAAATCTGATGACATTACCGCTTTAAATTGAAAACCATTTAATTCAATATTCAGTAAATTATTATTAATGTTATTATACATATGTTTTGAAATCAAAAGACCGAAAACGGTTTTCGATATGTACCTATATTACGTTTTAAGTTTGCGTAATACCTGCTATAATTTGAATGCAACTCAATAATAAGGAATGTAATAAGGGATCAAATCAATATTATATATTTATTCATACAAAAATAAAAATTAGGACATGCATTGATTTCTTTTTATTGCTAGCATATAAACTAAATTACTTCAAGGTTCATTTATAACGATAGTACAAACGTTTGCCTAATTTCATTACTATATGTATCAAATAAAAATCAAAAATCTCTTAGCGTCTTTTTCACAAACGTGTTTCAATTTAAATGTGAACGCGAATATTTTGATCTGTCTATGAGATAACACGAGAAGATAATGTGTTCTTGACGTTACTTTATTATGTATTAAACGTTTTTTTTTTGTATTAATAATCCAAGTCTTAAATAAAAAAGCTGAGTGTCGACACAGGTGAGCAGTAAAGCATAAAAATATATCGCAGTGATGTGGGCAGAACAAACGAGCCGGCTCGTGTGTGGTCCGGACAAGCAAACGCACGCAAATTTCAATATTTATCGATAAATGACCTCTCTGCTTCTACCAGATATGCAAAATATATTATTTTGAATATTCATATCGCTGTCGTAACTTCATAATCTTCGTTTATGTGCTTTTATGGTCACTGTTAAGATACTTACAGCATGTATAATGTTGATTGCGTACTTCAATTCATTTATATCCAACAATTTTATCGACAAATTGCAATTATTTTTAGTCATTTTATTTTTATTCCTTCCTAAACGAATAGATGTTACTCATAACTCTACGTTTATGTGATTATAAGCTGTAAAGTCCGGTACTATTAATAAGTAATTTTATTACTAACATTAAAGAGTGTTCGAGTGGAAACAAATTGTCCCGTGTATATTATAAGAGATTCAAAATATGTTTATATTTAAAAAGCACACAAAAATAGTCGGAAAAAGTGCAAGCAATGAGGCAATCATTTTCCACTACTCGTTAAGGGTGCGCAATTAACCGATTATTTCAGAATAACAGCGACGCTCTGCGAATGCCTACCTTTGTCGGCGCACTGCCTTGTTGACATTTTGTGGAGCAAATCTTCATACCGCGGCCGCTTTCATCTTAACGCATAATCGTTTATTTGATGGATGTTCATACATTTATAAATTGCGTAAATCGGTTAGTAAATATAAGTTTAATTGATCTATATTTGGATAGTCGATTACTAGGTAAGAGCCAGTAATTTATTGAAAGACTCACGACTCAAACTAAACATTTGTAGGAAGCTTTGCGTTTGATGCTATCAAAATAATTCAAATATTTTTGTGATTGTAAGCGAAATTATGATAAAGTTTTGTTAAAAGTATATTAGCATTGAAGTAAATTTCATTGTTATAAGGTGTTTGACTGTAGCCAAACGCTATTTAGCCGCCTTTCGTTGGGTGCAGCGGCAGATCAAGATTTCATGAGGTTTGACGCATACAGGCCTCTGCTCTTTGAAGTATTTGTACTTAAAACTGAGTTTCTGTATGTACATTGTACTATTTGTATTAACTACAGTAATAGTTAGCTTACATATCGGTACAATTTGCAAATGTTATGGTTCGAGAGGCATTGCTTCCTTAATCCTATTCTTTAAAAATGTCAAAGAAACTATGTTAATTGTCAAATGAAACGGGACTCTTTGTTCATATATTTTTTTCGCTATTTTGGTATTATTGAATAATGTCATTTGTCTATTTAAGCGTAAGTGAATAAATTTTAAGTTGGTAATTAGCAAATAGTGAAGTAATTTATTAACGAATTATGGAAAATTATAACTGTGGGTACTACTGGTGATGTGTGTTTAACGAACTTAATTACGAGTACATTTTCAATTGTCGTTTGAATTTTGAATTTATCGTTTTCGTTCGTTGTTGTTTGATGATAAAATTAAAATATTTACAAAGGGAAGGTGTGTCACCAGTTGAGATTGAACTAAAAGGAAGTAAATGTTATTCGTTTTACCTAATAAAAAGTGGTATGATAGTTTTAACTAGTTAACAGGTTGTGTACACACAAATAAGTTATTTTGTTTGCCTTGTTTGTTGTTTTTAAATAATAATAATTTAAAAATATTTGGATCTCTACTGGATATTCCGATTTAAATAACTTTCATAAAGCGGTAATGTACAGATCGTAATCGTTTTAAGGTACTTTCGTGGCTCAGAAGTAGTTCAGAAATTC